GAACGCCAATTGTTTTTTTTTTGTCCGCGTTTGAGATTACACTCGGTTTGCTTCATACTATCGCCAAGCTGATGAACAAGTTAACGTACGAGTAGTAAATTTGGCCGTAATTAAAGCCGACTTTAGCATCCATATCATTGTCAATCTTTTTTTTTTTTCTTTCTGCTCCTCCGAGCCATATATCTCTCATGCTTTTGTACTCCCACATACACTCGCAAAGGTTAACATAGGTTGTCTCTCCCACAGAGATTTCTTTGACAAGATGAACAGATGGGAGGGATTTTATTTGGACCTGGCTGGATGTAGCTGTTGATGATGGCCAACGTTTGTTATTGCATCTAGAGAATTATATTCGATGCAAGGTGAAGAGTGGATGTGCACACTTTTGATTGTGTGGTGAAAACAAGAGAGTTAAAGAGACGAATAGTGTTTGTGTATTTAAATAATACATGTTACGTCACACTTGGGGGCCAATTCAATCTTTAATCGCATGGCGTCTTGTGCAACAAGAAAAAAAAATTTCTCACAGACACACACAGCATAGCCCAACCTTGAAATAAAGGAACAGATTTATCAATTGTCGCTCCTTTCTTTAACTTGCTTCACTTCATTTTTGCACTCTCCTCTTCCTTTTCTTCCTTTATCCTCTTTTCACTTTTTTCTTATTTCCCCCCAGTTTTGCTCCCATCAATTTTGCTCTTTTATTTATTCCAAGCCTTCATTCATTGCCTTTCCTTTCCTTTCCTTTCCTTTTTTTTTTTCTTTTTTTCTTTTTTTCTTTTCCTCCCTCAACTTCATCTCTAGACAATTTTGAACCATCCTGCTACTGAATTATCATCCTTTAGCATTTTTATCAACCTTTCCCTATTTCTGTCCTCTGTCTATTTACGCCCTTGTTTTTAAACAGGTTTGAAAACACAATGGGAAGCAGCAGAACACCATCACGATGCCCATCACCTCGAACTGAACCGTATGAAAAGAAAGAAAGAAAAGGGGAAGCGAAGGAAGAGTCTTCAAGCACCAATGACCCTAAAATCCTCGAGCCAACCGAGCTAAAGATTTTTTGTATTGTTGATGGAGAAGCAACATCTTTTCCTGTAAATATCCCTTCTGATCGTTCAGTCGGCGAACTCAAGCAAGCCATCAAAGCAGAGAAAGCCAATGCATTTAAGGATATTGACGCTGACCAGCTCACCCTCTACAGGGTCTCTATTCCTGACGAAGACAAGACCGTCGTTGAGTCAGAAATTGTGTCGAAAGAGGCTCTCGTACCCGCGTCAATGGAGCTTTGGGAGATATTTAATTCTGAACTTCCAAGGAAAACGATCCATGTTTTTGTCAAGCCACCGCAGCGAGGTATGTATTTGGCTCTTGATGGACTGATTGTTGATATTTTCAGCTGATGAAGCTTGGTTTATATCTTAAACGGCCATGTGCATAATATCACCATTTGGTTTGTGTCTTGATAACTCAGCGTTCTTTCTAATTATTCGCCTTTGATACTTAGCTCAGAAAAGAAAACAAGATGGAGATGCTGGTGAGTGCTTTTGGCTGAGAACCTGGTTATTGATCAATTCAGAGTGATGTGCAGTGCAATAAATCAAAAATATTGACTTTGATCACTCTATCTCCTTTATCAGAGTCACCCTCTAAAAAAGCTCGTCCAAGTATAAGTAGCAGAGGTACTCTTAGGGATGCGATTACAGAAGCGGGGCTTGTAACGAAAGGGATAGTGAATGGTAGGCCTGTCCTCTCGCCTCTCAACTCGAAAGAGAGGGTCAAGCTGCTTTCGTACATGGGGGAGGAGTTTTCAGGAGATAGTATTTACTACAGCATTGTTAGCGTGGCTTGCGAGCTCCGAAATTCTGGTGGTATCAAGGGTTCCAAAATATTGACTGCCCCTGAGGGTCGTGTCTTCCCTGTTGTCGGAACAAGGCATCTTTATATCAGAGAAGAATATAAAAAGCTTTATGACCATATTACAACCTTAATCAAGACTCCTCGTACAAGATGGCGCAAGAACCGATACTTTGTCACTGGAACGCCTGGAATTGGGAAGTCAGCCTTTTTGGTCTACTTTGCCGTCCGCCTCCTTGCAGAGCATGACGAAGAGAATCCACCGATTATTGTTTTCCATGAAAAGAAGAATACCGAATGTTATGCCTACGGAGGAACAACTTGCCAACGTTATGGGGAGAGAGTAGATTTCAAACATTTTCTTGAGCAACCTGAAACGTGGTATTTAGTTGACAGTGGTAACCATCCTCAACCAGATCAAGCCAGGACGATATTTGCGGCATCACCAAAAACTCTCAATGAGCAGTACGCTGAACTCAGCAAGGAAACTACACCAATTAGCTACTATCACATGTCACTCTGGAGTTTGGACGAGCTTAAGGAATGTAGAGCCAATGTAGAGGATTATCATCCAATGGATGAAGAATTTTTGGAGGAGCTTTTTTACAAGTTGGGGGGAGTGCCAAGACAGGTTCTACAGTGTCCAGTCGATGTACTATCTGAAAAGCAAAAAGATATTAACCGCGCTAAAGACGCTGCGTTTTCCCGCGTCAATGCTGCCATTAACGCAGTCAGGAACCCAGCAGATCTTGTAGCGCTCTTTGCACGAGGAAAAGAAGCGAGTGAATTTAGTGGTCGTTTACTCCATAGAGTTCCCACTTCTGACCACCTCGGCTTCCACCTGGTATGGGCATCTCGTTGGGTCGAATCACGGATTATCGAGGAAATGAAAGATGACACTTGGCGCGATGTGTTGGCGAAACTTGTCAAACGCGGAGAGGATATAGATAAAGGCCCACTGTTTGAAGTCTATGCTCATCACTTATTTCGACGTGGTGATATTAGATTTCCCTTTAGGGATCTTCAGTCAGGCGAAACAGGATTTCTTGATTTTCCAGCAAACCCAGAAGTGGTGCATATCCGGACTTCAAATGAATTATCAGGGCTCACTCAAGCAGCTGACAAGTTGTTTGTACCATCTATAACCACCTTTCCGTGCATTGATTTTGCATTGGGGCCCAACAAGCTATTTCAGGTCACAGTATCAGAGAAGCATCCGATCAAGCAAGCACCATTCAAGGAGATAATTGAATATATTACTGGACCCTGCTTGAAGGGAGACCAATCAAAGTCGAAGGGAAGTGACGATACCATTTTCCTCTATTTTGCGGTGCCAGGAAACATATATGATAATTTTAAAGTTCAGAACTTTCTTACCACCAAAGATACGGTCGTCAAGAATCCATATGTATGCTTAAAACATGTAAGACAGCGTGTCATAAAAATCGACATCGAAGCTGCATATTCAGGAGGAGCAGCCGGTACGAATCTGAAGAATTAAATCGAATACCAATCAAGTGGATGAAATTTTGTCTTTTTTAAAAAAAGCATTATACCCGTTCCTTGAGAATTTTTTACAATGGTTCATTCTTTATGAATGAAGCCATCATCATCCACTTACCTTTTAGACGAATAGATAGAGCGGTTTAATCCGTCCTCCCTTCTACTGGGGCATATAGAACTTTATAAAGCTTCCTGTGATCATCATGCGATCTTGTGTGCAAGAAAGGGCAGATTTTTGTGATACTATTATCAAAGAGTTTTGTAAAAACGGATAGAGATGAAGAATCCTGTGGAGAGCCCAGTGAGAGTCTGATGATGAGACCCAAAACCATATTATTATCACCAGGACAGCTGGCATAGGAAATTATCCTTTCTCATATGCTTTGTAATCTGGATGCTTGCCACTTGCGGAAGACCCATGAATTATCATCATCCAAGGCGCCAGAACGTTTAACCAGGAGCTAGGATGACAGCTCCGCTCTAAAGACATAAATGTCGTTTTAGCCCCATGGTGCGTGCACGGGATGGCAACCTGTGATCAATGAGATCATATTTGTTATATGTTCGGCCAATTCAGTGTCAGTATGTGAAGGCGGCGCGTCTTGAATCTCTAGGCGTCCAGGGACATGGAATAAAAAAACATCAAGAATGTGGCCAAGGCTGCCACGCGCTTGACCGGTAAAATGTGATACAATATTGGATTGTGTCGTCAGTATATTCATAGTTCTCGATATATTAATGCTACATGCTGTTGAGGGCATCAATCTCGCCAGAATCATCCCCTCTCACATCAATTACCTTGGGAGCCATGCTAGACGGATGGGAGATTAGGAGGAAAAGGTCCTTGATGTCTGGGATATCCACGCTTGTTTATAATCTCACCAAATGTTCTGTGTCTTGCGTTCATAGGCGGTTAATCGCAGTTTGGTTTTCGTATGCCCCTTGAAGAACGTAAGCAAAAATGCCTTTATGTTTTATATTTGATACTCATCAATTTACCCTTTTTACTTGTCCGAAGGTAGAATGACGCCTAGCCAATGGATGCTATTGCAAGTGTGTCCACAGGTCCTTGCAGAAGTTCATTGAGGGAACTCGGCTCCATCCAGGACAGATTTATTCCTAGCGCTCTTCACAAAAGTAGCAGAATTACTTGGTGGAGTTGGCTTTAATTGCCTTGACAAGCTCCTGCAAGAATGGTTCAACAATCTAATCAGGGTCCTTTCGGAGCGGCATCAAAGCAACTCTATGTTTTTGATTGTTTTGAACGAGGCGCAGGATGTGGGGAGGGGGGGCTAAATACTAGTGTATTAATAACGACGACACTATGCGACCAATATTATCAGCATTCTTTCATGGATTGGAGGGTTTATCAGAGGATTTACCACGAATCTGCATAGTTCCTTGCGGGATAGGCTTTTGTATTTATGATCCTGCTTGGGTTAAGAGAACTGGTAAAGCTTCAAGGAATATCGGGAAGTTCTCGATGACCCGAATTCAAGAGTGCAGTATCGTTTCCTAGATGGGATAATCAGGCAAAAGTCCGGACATACTTCAAGACACTTGTACGATATTTGGAGAAATAAAGTTCCTCAAGCTCTGCATCAAAGCGGAGAGGCCATTTTAATGATCAAGCAATCGAGATGCTATATGCTTGGTCCTGTGGTCGTCTCCGTCCAATGATCACTATAATAGAGAACGTCATTGGACGTGCCGATGCAGGCCTTTGGAAGCAAGAAATCAAGGGCCTGGTGTCGTCGCTCACTGATCCAGGATATAAAGAATCTGGTAACCTATGCCATGAGTAATCTAGGATTCTGAAGCGTATTAACAAAGGGGATGCAGGAATTAAAACCAGTGTCGACATCAGGGAAACCTTCGGTCAAGCCGTAAAGAATAGATTACTATATAGTAAAGACTTGATATTGGAGTACAATGAACCTGTTCCGGTCGAGGCTTCGTTTGCTCGGATTGTCATTAATCAAAGGAAGAAGGAGTTTACAATTATCGTTGAGCCATTAGCATTTAATTTATTTGAAGTGGATGACCCTGGATTGGTTAAATTGGTTAATAGTGTGTTGCTAAACGCCCCCACGTCTGGCACAAAGGGCACACATTTTGAGTATTTCAGTCCCGCTTTGTTTAATTTCAATCTTCCAGAATTATAACAATGAACGAATTCTTGGATTCTCACTGTAATAAAGACTTAATACATGAATCCAAGCTAATCTCGCTTTTTTTTGTTTCCAAAAGAGAACCCATCTGGACCAGATATCGTCTTTGTACTAGAATCGGAGGGTAAATATTATCCTGTTTCCGTACAGCCAAAAATCGGCGATAAGGTCAAGAATTAAGGATGCCCACAATACAAATTGCCATAATTGCATCAAGGAACACCTCTCATCACCGTCTTCTCTCGACTTTTGCTCGAATGACATATCCTTGTTGCTGTTGTTTAGGCCTTACTTATCACGTTGCCTTATCATGTTGTCTTATCATGTTGTCTTATCACGAACAGGGTGATTATTCAGTAGCTAAAGTCAAAGAAGTCCCTGTCATCAAAGACAAACGAATAGAAACGACGTGCTCAATATTAGCTTGTTGAACTTCCTTGAAAGTGCAAGGGAATCCCTCAAGAAGTCAGAATTGACTCGAGTTGTGGAGGATGAGGGAGAAGGAAGCAAACCCAAAGAACCACAGGCAAGGAGGACATCAAAGAGAATTGTCGATAAAGCTCAAGCTATGGAAAATAAGGGAGAACTGAGCAAACCCAGCGGATCAAATAAAGGAAAAAGTGAGTCAACTCAAGCGGAGGACGACAAGCCCAATAGGCCAAGCAGGGATAAGGTACCAAGGAAAAAGTAGCGATCGTTTCTTTTACTCGCCATTGTTTATGACAATGGCATAGACGCAATTTTGTAATATAAGACTAATAAATTGAAATATCGCTATTCAGAGAACCTGAGCAAAGAGAAGTGCGCACGCCAAGCGGATTGTCGCAGCTGCATCATCGGAATTTTCTCAAGCAAGTGGCAAGTTGTTTTTACTGTCTATTCCTATCTTTCCACCTATTAGTTTTGTGTTGGGACCCGACAAGCCATTCCAGGTCACATCAGAGGAGCATCCGATCAAGCAAGCATCATTCAAGGAGATCATTGATAATATTACTGGATCATGCTTGAAGAGAAACCGATCAAACCTCGGAGAAAAAGGTAATTAATTGATTAATTAGAGCATGATAACTCTTTTTACGCGAAATATACCATCCTTTTTTCTCATCCCTCGTTCGTTCTCAATCAAATCAATGTTCTGCGGTGAGAATGGCAGAAAAAAGAGAGCCTTTCCCGCGGTGTATCCGACTTGGGAATTTTTCAACTTTAAAAAAGAGACCTCCAGCCAAAATGTCAAGTTTGGTCCCAGCCTGAGAGAGAAGTGTCTGCAAGAGCAAGCCAGATTTGCCTTTCAGTACGTGCATGTGCACATGAACTTCGTCCTCAGGCTGGTGACGAGCCTAGGCTACCTCTACACTTATGACGAAGGAGCATCTCTGGACTACTCAAAAGCAATGAATAGGCGCCTCGAGGTGGCCAATCAAGAAAAAGCTTATACTCAGGCCAGTCTAGGCGATATATATTATGATGGCTAAGGAATACTTCGAGACTACTCAAAAGCCTTTGACTGGTGTCTTAAGGCTGAGCAAGAAGATCCGGATGCTCAACGTACTATTGGCTTAATGGACCAAAAATGGGGAATAGGTTTCCAACGATCTTATTGAAGCCAAGCTATAGGCCAAGGTGATACTGATGCTCCGACTCTAGTGACTAAATGCTCTAGGATATATTCTTATTTTTTAATCTGAGGCGCTCTTCAATAGACTTTTTTTTTTTTTTTTTTTTTTTACACTTAAATAAACATGATGGATGGTACTTTTATTATTTATTATGTCTTGACTTGGCCACCAAAGCCACAGAAGCATTAGAACAATGTAGCACTAACTCTAATATTCGCCTGGGATTTCCTAGTTTTGTTTATTGCTGGGTAATGGATGATTTAGATTTAAGCATTCATAGTCATTACATAAATAAAAAAATAGGAAAATGGGGGAATAATAAAGAAGGAGTAAGGATTCAATGTTGGATTACAGGAACCACATCGCTTTTAAGAGCTCGAAGAGCCTTTGTTACAAATATTTTTGTTATCCTTCCAACGAGCCAATTGTAAGGCCACGAATAAAGGCTTTCCTTCCTCCTCCCTCCCCCCTTGGAAGGAGACAAGGCTAGTGAATAGAGATGAGTCTTCGGTCGGTGGCAGAGGCCATGTTTTCATATTGGTCAATCAGCTTTAGTGTAAGGACTGTGCGCTGTAAATGTTTTAGTGACAAATATCGCTATTGGATATGCATAGTATGCAAAAACAAAGTAGCCTGAAACGGGCTTTCTAGATATTGAATATTGGAGACTGGATATGTAGAGTGATGAGATCCGAAGGGTAGAGCATCATAACATACAATTTGTCAAGACATTATTAAGACTTTTTTTTATATCAATGGTTTCGTAATGAGTAAGTAATCAAACAGGTATAGCACCAAATAATAATAACAATAATAAAAGGAAGTAGAAGGATCATTGTAAAAGAACGCGTTGGAAAAAAAAAAAAAAAAAAAAAAAAAAAAAAAAAAAAAAACTCGGGGCGGTGCGGAGCGTGGTATCCTTTTTTGGTAAAGGAAACTTTTTTTTTTTTTTTTTTTTTTTTGGTAAAGATCATGCGAGGTTAAAATCATATATAGCAGTAAAACCAGCAATCCTTTTTCTCTTTCTTCTTGGTCCCGAGAACTATAAAGACGAGAATTAGCTGATTCACCGTGCGGACAAAAAAAATAAAAATAAAAAAGAAAAGGAAAAAAACACTAGCGAGCTGATTGGATACTTGTTACAGAACAAGGTACCAGATAAAATGATAAAATTGGGGAGAGGGGAGCAAACGAAAGAGTGTCGAGGGGAAGGGAGAGGGAGAAGACCAGACTTCAATAAAGAATATCCGTGCATAACACTCAATTGTACGTGCGCGCCTTATTTTTTGGCATGAACATGTGCAAGCCAAATTCGTACGATAAGACATCTTATTTCTTTTTCTTTTTGCAAATCATTATGGCATGAAAGAATCCTTTCTTTTTTTTTTTTTTCTCAAGCTCCGTAGTCCAATTTTGGTGCCGAGAGAGTCGGTAATAAAACTAACCGAAATGGTCCTAAACCCGAGGGGGGGGGAGTAAACAAATATGAGAAAAAAAAAGAAAGCTAATGACTATGATGGAGGGCCCATCCTATCCCATCCCCCATTTAACACCATCCTCAGCGCCATCCTCTTCCAATTAGCTAAGCTTTTTGGAAAAAAAAAAAAAAAAAAAAAAAAAAGAGAAAATCCTTGACGCCCAACGATGGCTAAATGAGATAACAAAGTTATATATTTATTTATGTCACACAAAGAAATTGGGCGGATCCTTGTTACACGCACCACAAGTAAAGAGTAAAGAGTAAAGAGTAGGCTACATGTATAGTATATATATAAAAATATTTCTACATATCCATAAACATAAAAGTAAGCTTCAAGCAATTATTTTTAGATTCAATGAACGTGCACAAATAAGTTGAAGCAATCCATACTCTGTAAATTCTAAGTACTGTTTATGTATTGTCCATTGTATATATATATCGACGTTACATATATACATGTGTTGTATATCTTTTTTTGACTTTGATCTCATGATCAAGCCCTGGCGCCGTACCGTTATTATTGTTATTTTATTTTATTTTTTTACTCCGCAATGTTGTTTGTTGCTTTTCTTTTTATGTTTTCCAGCCCTTCTCTCTTTTCTCTTTTCTCTTTTCTCTTTTTCCGTTTTTTTTTTTTTTTTATGCTAGGGGTAAACAAGATTTCTTTGGTTGGAGAGTGAGAAAGAAAGAGGAGTAGAGACTGTTGTTGATTGATTGAAGACAAAGGGAATGACGATAAGGAGGTGGCACCGACATTTTTAAGCCCTACAACAGTACTGTGTATATAATACCTGTACTCAGGGGCTGACAATAAAATAAACCTTATTTGTATTACATGAACATGAACGCCCTATCAGGAAGAAGGGCTCTGGCGCCAATGCAGGATGATGATGGTATATAATAATAGTGATATTAATCCATAAATAATGATATTATATTACAATAATAACGATAATAATTATATATCATCAAAAGGATATTTATTACTCTTTTCTACATTTTTAGAGTCTTATTCGACACCCTGTGCCTTGTAAAAGTAAAAATACAAAAAATACGCCTATTTATTTTATTCTTTTTATTCTCCGGTATGTAAGATTGATCCATTCGAGGAATACTTTATTACAGGAAGTAAGAGCCAAGTTGGTATACAGACAAACAAGCAGACAAGTAGACAAGTAGACAAGTAGACAAGTAGACAAGTAGACAAGTAAACAAGAAAACAAGTAGACAAGTAGGCAAGCAGAAAACAAAAGGGAAAAAAAATAAAAAAAAAGGAGGAAAGAAGGAAGGAAGGAAGGAAGGAAGGAAAGAAGGAGGAAAATAAACTTGCTGAATAAAAGAATCTTTTTGAAATAGGAACATATAATGTATACAAGGAAATACAGGGCAAGGATCTTAAGGCACGAGCCCTTTCATCAAGAAAAAAAAAAAAACCAATCATCCAATACATTCGATGCAAAAGGATTTTTTTTCTTTTGGTTAGTCTTTTTTTTCTTTTTTTGTTTTTTTATTTTTTTTAAATGATCTCCTTTTTATGATGAAACATGATTGCAGATCAAGACAAGGCAAGACAAGGAAAGGCAAGGCTAGACAAGGTAAAAATGCAAAGGCAAAGGCAAAGGCAAAGGATAGGAAAGAAGGTTTTTTTATCTTTTCATTTGTGATTTTTCAATTTAATCTAGGCTTGCAAAGGTTCCTTGTAGAAAATAAAAAAGAAAGAGAAAGAGAGAAAGAAGGGGAATAAAGGCGTGGAGATAAAATAGCCCACAATTTAGACGCGTCAATGTTTTTTTTGTTTTTTTTTTGTTTCTATAATTGTTATTATTAACAGAATACATGTATATGAATGATATGCAGCCCGTGGAAAAAGAATGAAATATTTAAGCGATGTTTTGTTGATGATTGTGGATCTTTTTATAATAGTGCATACTATCATTATCATTCAGGAAGGACAAAAGAGGCATGGCGACCTACGCCAGATAAAACAAATAAAAGCAGCCAATCAGATTAACAGACCACATCGGTAAACTAGGGCAAGTAAAAGAGTGCAAACAGGCATGGATAGTATCCAACAAATAAAAAAAAAGGGGAATAGACCCCACACACACACCACAAGGAGAGGAAGAGGAAGAGGAAGAGGAAGAAGAGGAGAGAGGAGGGAGAGGAGGGGAAAACAGGATATGTGCTCGTGCCCGTGCTTGTAAACTCCAATGGGGACGGAGACTCTTTTGAAAGTCTTTTCTTTTTTCTTTTTCTTTTACTTTTTCTTTTTCTTTTTTGTCTTTGTGTGAGTGCAGGATGTATGGATGGAGCAAAAGGAAAGTGAGATTATTTAGATTTTTAGCGTTTTGTGTTTATGTTTGTGTCTGAAATCTCTGTGTCTGTGTTATTAATGTGTTCGGGATGTGTACATGTATGCAGATGGATCGATGTGAAAGTGTCCATGGCATTGTGTTGACCCGTTCTGCAAACACAACGCACAAGCCCAAACAAAAAAAAAAAGTTTTCTCCACTTTTCTCTTTCTCTTTCTCTCTCTCTCTCTCTCTCTCTCTCTCTCTCTCTTTTTCTTTTCTTTCATCTCATTCTCCCACACTCTTTCTTTTTTTTACTTTTTTCTTTTTCTTTTCTGTCTCTGTTTCTGTCTTTGCCTCTCCTCACTCTTTACTCTTTCCGACTCTCCACTCCTTCCACATCTCCTTGACCTTAGATCTTTCTTTTATACATACTTTTGTATTATTTTTCTTTTGTCAATTGTCAACGCTTTTTATCTTTTTTTTTTTTTTACACAGATATTTTACTGGTCAGTCTGTGCAAAAGAAAGCCACCGTTTTTTTTTTTTTTTTCTTTATTCTTTATGTGTGCTTCAACTTTTTTATTTTTTTAACCCCTCAACCTCCTGACAAAGTCTAACGAAGTTCCTTTATTCTACTAAACACCATTTGTCGTCCAATTCAATCGTTGCATGTCCACCTTGTTGGCAGTCAGAGTGTGAATGTAAGTTTCACATCCCATCCAACTCCATTCCATCACCACTCTACTCCATCACCACCCCATCACCCTTTCTCTCTTTCTGTTTCTATTTTCTATTTCTCTCACTCTCAGTCTTCTTTTTCCCCTTATTTTTTATTTTTTTTATTATATTTAACTTTATTTTTGACTGATTTCCAATTGCACACCTCTTATAAGGAAAGTGTGCAATTTTTAGTCTCACAGAATAGCACACTTCGTGTTATGATTTGTTTCTAACATTTATTGATCTTAATGATGGTTACTGAGATGGTTAAATGGGGTTTAAGATAATTAATTCCTTTGATTCAAATAAAAAAAAACCCTTTTTTTTTTTTTTTTTTTTGAATGAGCAATCCAATCTTTCTCTAAGAGAAGAGGACAGAACAGAACAGAAGAAGAAAGGAAAATCCCATTGCATTGCCCTGAGGCTGCTCTCAATGCAACTTTCTTTGACTTTTTTCCTTTTTTTCCCCCTGTTCCTTTTGCTTCCTTTAATGCTTCTCTCTCTTTCATTCTTTCATTCTTTTCTTCCTTCTTTCTTTCATTCAAACAGTCAATTGTCCTTAAAAATAGCTCAACAATCGAAGCATACAGCATTCAGAATTATTTCTTTTGTTCAAAACAACAAAAGCAACAACCACAGCTTCATCAACTGTTACTACAAACACGTCCTATATAAAGAAGGACATTGTCATAAAAGAAAGAAAGAAAGAAAGAAAGAAAAACCCTTTCCTTTTCTTATCTTTTCCATCTCTTTCTTCTCTCCTCCTCTTCTTCTTGTTTATACCTCTTCTCTGTTTCCTCCTTTTGACCAATCTTTACTTTGGTGCTACACAAATCATTTGCCCTGTCTATTGTAAACATCACACAGCATCCATTTTACATAATATTATCTGTATCTTTAAAACCATCTTCAAAGGATCAAAAGGCAACAGTAATTGTAACAGCAACAGTAGCGACAACAGCAAAAAAAAAAAACAAGAAACCATTCATTTCCATTCCCATTATCAGTAACAATATCAGTATCATTGTCATTATCATTGTCGTTATCATTGCCATTAGTATTGTCATTAGCGTATTCGGATCTCATTCTCTAAACGAAAGAAAATTTAGATCTCCCGCGACTTATTTTGCATTTTTCCATTGAAATTTCTGAAATCTTACAAAACCTCCCTGCTCTTTCCCTCCTTCTTCCTTTTGTGTCTGAATCTAACATACCATTGATACATTACAACACGTTCCTATCATCACTATCCGTCAATTATCAGCATCATTCAGCATTAATAACCGTTGTTTAACGAACATATCAACAACAACAACAACAACAACAACAAACCTCCTCAAAGGAAATAAAAAAAAATATAAGCCAACAAAAAAAAAAAAAACCAGCTAAAAGGTATGATGTTGTACCCTGTTATGTCATGCCCAGTGTATATTGTTATTATTGTAATGTCTTTTGTTGTCTGTTGGTTCCTTTTAGTTCCACCCCTTGGGGAATGGGGAGAGGGAAAGAGGGAGAGAGAGGGAAGGAAAGTTATCATCAATCTGTGGGGAAGTTGATTTGCATATACATTTTTTTTTTTTCTTTCTTTCTTCTCTTGCCTCTCTCTCTGACTCTGTCTTCCCATCTTCGTTTTCGTTTCTTTTCTTTTCTTTCTTTCAAGCCTTTGTAATTTATCCCGCCTTTTACCATTACTTCTATTGCATCAACAACAACAAACTGCAAGCAGATACACAAAACATAAAGCGTTCGTTCAACATTCACATCATTTAATATCACTTCTTTGTTACCATCAATCCTAATCCCAATCCCCTCATTACCACTCGCTCACTTTCTTTATTTTATTTGATTAACGACACCCTACTAATATCCACCCAACAATTCACTCATTACATCTATTGATATCCTTCTTTCTCTTCTCCCCTCCCTTCATCTTTATTTTGCTTTTATCACAGAGTAACGTTCTCTCCGTAATCATTTATACATATAAAAAATAATTGATTACCTATTACAATACATCCCACAAGAAAAGAAGAAAAAAAAAAGAATACCACCACCAACTTCCATGTCACTCTCCATCAATACAGCGCGGAACCATGTTCGTTCCACGTCGGGAGAGATGCTCAACATGCCACCCGCACATTACCAGATTCCCCGCGGAGCAATAAGCATGTCCAATCTGCGGGACAACGCCTACATGCCACCAGGAAGTCGAGGTGGTCCACGACCCAGTAAGGAAAAAAAAAAAAAAAAAAAAAAAAATAACGGAGAACTCGGGCGTTTTTTCTTTTCTTTTTCATTTGTTCCTCTTGGTCCTCTTATTCTTCCCTTTTGTTACTTTCTTTTTTTTTTTTTTTTTTTTTTTTTTTCTTGTTGTTTGATTATGCGTGTTATAGGACGAGGACGACCTGAAAAAAAAAAAATTCCCGAAGAACGATCTACTTTTGACTGGCCAATAACTGATTTTTGACATTTTTTTTTTTTCTATTGTATTCCATTGACTAACGCGTGTCATTTTGTCCAACTGTGGTATCTTGGTTTTTGTTTTAAAAAAAAAAAAATGAAAAATAAAAACAAAAGTGATGGATAGATATGGTCCTCCTGGCCCTCCTGGCCCTCCTGGTCCTCCTGGTCCTCCTGGTCCACCTCCACCACCACCTCCAGGAGGTCAGCATGGACTCTCATATGATGATGTTTATCGTAGGGCACGACCCAAGAATTACCTCAATGGTCCCATCCCACAGCCAGGTACGACGATCAATTTCTTTTTGTTCTTTTTTAGATTGATTGAATTGATGGTTATTTTATTTTTGTTTTTATTTTTATTTTTATTTTTATTTTATTACGAGATTCAGAGATTAAATTATGACATCGTCATAATCAGTCTTTAGTTTTATTTTATTTTGTTTTATTAATTTTGCGGAACAAAAATTACATCCATGACTCCGACTTTATTTTACTTTATTTCACATCTTATTTTGTCTCTCTTCTGTCTCGTCCTAGCTCGTGTGAGAGCGAGAGCATGAGCCAAAAAAAAAAAAAAAAAAAAAAAAAAAGAAAAAATAAACCAACTTCAAATGCTTACATATCTTTTTTTCTTTTTTTTCTTTTTTTACCTTTGCCTTTATTCTCCTTGATATATATGTATTTCTAAAAACTATCTTTGCTTAAAAAAAAAAAAAAAAAAAAAAAAACACCAACAATATTAAACTATTGTTTATTATGAACATTCACTTTTAGGCAATGAAATGTCCTGGCGTCCTCAAGCGAATTTGCCTAATATTGAAAGGCCGCAGATCAATGTCGAAGAGCTTGCTGGCAAGCAAATGCTTCCTTTGGAACCAAGAGTAATTGTAGAGCAGGCTGTTGATGATTCCACAATGACACCTATGAGTCGGTTTACCAGCATCATGGAAGTACTAAGGTTTCGAGGGTTGTATATGCCGAATGCAAAAGCATACTCAGTCGTCGATATCAAAGGCAGGGAAACCGCTGCATGGACATGGGAGAAATTGCATGGAAGAGCAGAAAAGATCAGCCAGACCATCTTGGAGAAAACACAGCTGCGTCGTGGATCCAGAGTGGCACTCGTGTACAGAAAGTCAGAGATCATGGAGTTCTTGGCTGCATTTTACGGATGTATGATGGCAGGGATGACAGCTGTACCGATCAATGTCATTGAGGAATTCGCAGAAATGACTTATATTCTCAGTTACACAAAGTCTGAGCTAGCACTGACAACAGAATACAACCATAAGGCACTAAGCAAAGACCTCGCCTTGCATAAAGGTGTTGATTGGCCCCTGGGCGTCACTTGGTGGAAGACTGACACCCTCGGAAGTTGGAACCCAAAGAAGAAGGATGGCTGGCCAGATATCGAGCTCCCTGATCTAGCCTATATCGAATATAGTAAAGCTCCTAATGGCGAACTGAAGGGAGTCGCCGTCAGTCATCGAACCGTGCTTTCACAATGTCATGCCATCAAACAATCACTTGGGTCCAATCCCAACAGACAATGCGGCAGCGCTCTATCTCCGTCTTCACCCACCACCATGTTTGCTCCACGCTCCAATACTGCTCCTTCAGAACCCAAGACACCATCGACACCTACACACCCCTCCTCTCGACGCTCTAGCTCGACACCTGTTGATACCAAGAAGACCGATGTCGTGTTCAGCTGGCTGGAGCCACGACAGCAGGTAGGCCTTGTCCTTGGAGGTCTTCTTGGAGTATATAGGGGTAGTCATACCGTCTTTGTGCACAGTGGGATCACAGACACGCCTGGTCTTTGGGCTCATTGTGCACAAAGATACCGTGTCACTCTAGCCATGGGTGATTATGAAGGTGTGCGAGAGCTCCTACGATTCAGACCAACAGAAGGAGCCAAGAAAGAGGCACCGAGTCTGACATGTCTTGAGACGTTCTTGATCGATGCTGTGATGGTAAAACCTCTTCTGGATCTACAGTTCGCGAACGAGTTCTTGACGGACCTTGGAGTGCCTTCACCTCACCAGGTGGTCGTGCCCATGTCTAGCTTACCAGAACATGGAGGGATGATTTTGAGTATGCGAGACCACCTTGTGTTCCCACGAGGGGCAGATTTGATTGATTTTGGGTTTGAATATGAGATCCCAAGAGGACCTGTACCGGAGCCAGGGGCTCGACGTCGACCTCTGGGATATTCGCCAGCGTCCAATACCATTTGTCATTATTTATTAGATCGAGGAGCCTTGAAGAGCAATATGATCCAAGTCTTGGCTACAGGAGAAGAAGCATTAGCACGAGCATCAGAACGAGGAGTTGTGCTTGTTGGAGCATTTGGCTATGCGTCACCTCGAGGTAATGATATTGCGCCCTTTTTTTTTTTTTTTTTTTTTTTTTTTTATCATTACATGAATATGTTGTTTTGCAGACTTGACGCATGGGAAAAAAAAAAAAAAAAAAAAAAAATGAAAAGAAAAAGATAATGTAATACATGACAATGCGACACATTACACTTGGGACATTGGGTTCTAATTTTATTTTTATTACATTTTCATTTCATTATTTCGTTTATTTTAAAAAAAGCCACTCTCGCCATCGTCGACCCAGAAACAACAGCTTTATGCCAACCTAATCGAGTCGGAGAGATCTGGATTGACTCACCATCGATTGCATTCGGGTTCTGGGAACTTCCCAAACATTCTCAATCAATTTTCCATGCCCTGCCCTTAATTGTCCCTGTGGATACGATGATCCCTGAAGTGTACGATCCAGTCCCTGCTGGGTTCTTGAGGACAGGCCTATTAGGAGGATTGATTGAAGGACGGGTGGTGATCTTTGGATTGTATGAGGACAGGATTCAACAGGAAATTGTGGATTTGGTCCATCCAGAGATCGTTGAATTCGATTACCATTACACAGGTGATCTTGCCAACACTATCCTTGATCGTATTGTTGGCTTTACAGCATGGTAAGGAGAGTCTTTTTTTTTTTTTTTTTTTTTTTTTTTTCTCTTCATTAGTTTGCTTACGTGAGCTAAAAAAAAAAAAAAAAAAAAAAAGTAACAGATGATCTATCAGGAGGGATTATTTGAGCCAACTACTGCAGCATCTTCAACTCATGCATTTTTTTTTGCATTTTGTTTTCCTTATCAAAAACAATAGTATTACCTTTGAATGTATAGTCAACAACGAGCACTTACCTGTGATCTGCGCCGAGACACCAAGGACTCAGCGGGTTGATCTTGTGAAGCTCGCTGATTTTGCTAAACAAGCAATGATGGATTATCATGGATTACGATTGTATTGCATAGCGATTGCGCCGATTGGGACTCTACCACGAGCGTTTAAGAATGGGAAGAGAGTACTGCATCCTGTCTTGTGCCGCAAATTATTTGAACTAGGTCGATTGAGATTAATGCATATCCATACCTCTGTCGACGACACTGTCTTCAATATCCCCTTTGGGGATGATACCACTGGTGGCATTTGGGGGGTTGGTAAGTCCAAAGGAATCATTCATCATGACTGAGCTAATCATTACATGCGGAAAAAAAAAGGAAAACTTTAATGACCAACTATTTTTTTTTTTTATTTTCACATGATTGAAATAGAGGCACTTGCTATACGTGAAGCTACTATGCCGTCACATGCTCGCATGGTCCAGTTTTCATGCTGTGACTATCCTAAAGAGGTTTTGGACGAAAAGACGAAAATCAATTTATCTCAGTTTACTAGCCTACCAGAGATCCTTGCCTGGCGTTCTGTTGTAAATCAGGAGGAGACCGCGTTTGTAGGGGTCGATAGTCGTGGCAAGGATATCAAGGGAGTGACGTTCCGCAAGTTTGGAATCAAAGTGGTTTCTATTGCTCAATATATTGAGAAACGTGGAGGGTTCAAAACTGGAGATAAGGTCGTGTTGCTATTCCCTAATGGCGTAGAATTCGTAGCAACCATGTATGCTTGTTGGTTCCTTGGATTGGTCCCAATTCCGATCCAATTACCGGAAGCATCTCATTTGCATGAGGATATTTCATTGTTGATGGGACTTTTAGCAGAACTCAAGATTGCAAATCTGATTGGAAACACTGCAACGGACGAGTTAATGAAACAAAAGACAACACTGATTCATATCAAGGCATGTATCGGATCAACTACAACGACCGCAGCAGCAGCACCACCCACAGTCTTCAATGTATCCAAGGCTCCCAAGGTCAATAAAAACCTGGGTAAGGAATCAGGATATGCTGCGCCCCCTCCAGTGGCTCTCATAAAGTCCGCACCAGCCGCCATCTTTGTTCATTATTCTACAGATATGAGACGAACCTTGGTCAAAGTAGATCATGCTGCGTTGATGGCACAGGCTAGGGCACAGAAAGTTCAATGTCGACTCAAGACCGGAAGACCTATTCTGTCCTGTTGGAAGACGTTCTCAGGAATAGGTCTCTTGTACTCTTGTGCTCTAGGCGTCTACGTGGGCGCGCCCACTGTGATGATCCAGTACTCTGACTTTACAACTAGCCCTCATATCTACTTTGAGGCTCTCGAAAGACATGGAGGTAACGTTTTTTTTTATTTTTTTATTTTTATTTTCTCTATTTGATGGATAAGGCTAATAGGAAAAAAGCCCGAGGACAATGGCCTGAGCTTATACCCTCATGTATTTATACTCTTTTTCCTTCTTTTTATTTGTGCGGACTAAAACATAACAGGTCGGGATGCACTTTTGAACTATGCAATGCTGGAACAAGCGATCAACTCATCAGAGCCGGTCTCGGTCTCGTCCTTCAACTTTACAGGAGTCAAAAACTTTGTGTTGAATTCTGAAGGACGACCTCGAACGGAGGTGAATCAGGCGATTGAGAGAAGATTTGCACAATCGCGACTAGAAAAGACAGTGATCAATGCGATGTTTGGACATATGATCAATCCTATGGTGACCACCCGATCGTACATGAACATTGAGCCTGTCCGTCTACACATCTCCTTGAAGGCTCTCCGACGAGGAATTGTCCAAGTAACGACAGAACAGGAGGATCCTACTGGCATCTGGATCGAGGATAGCGGTATTGTAAGTTTTAAAACTAGTGCAAGCTGTTTTATGGAGCATAGCAATTTTTTTTTTTTTTTTTTTTTTAACTATTGACAGTGAGGTCTTACTAAATCCTTAATACAACTGTTTTCCTTACTATAGCCTATCTGTGGAACAACAGTTGCTATTGTCAATCCTGAGACAAAGGAAATCTGTTTGTCGCGGGAGATCGGAGAGATTTGGGTATCGTCTGATGCGAACGTCCAATCTTTCCAAAGCCCAGGCAGGGCACATGAGCGCAGCTTATCAAATCCTCAGAATATGATAGCTTCCAGGACAATGGCGATGACAACTGCAGTCAATGGCTCAGCAGACAAACCAACTGGAGAACCAGTGTCACCTTCAGATGTCAATAGCCGATACAATGTCACTATTGCAGGAGGAGATGCTAGGATTAGCTATGTTCGTACAGGAGAGGTCGGTTTCCTTTGGAACTACTCTAAGGAGAGCTTCAATGGTGGCAAGCCAACAAGTCTTTTGTTCGTCCTGGGCTCCATTGGGGAGACCTTTGAGGTGAATGGATTGATGCACTTCCCTAAAGATATTGAAGCGACCATAGAGCGATCGCACCCTAATGTTGCTCCAAACGGAAGGTAAAAAAAAAAAAAAAAAAAAAAAAAACAAACAAACAAACTTTCAGCCAATCAATCAGTTAATCAATCAATCAATCAATCGATAAAATCAATTAGCCAATTGGTTTTTATTAATGATGTCAATCTCTCTCTGCCTGCGCCTATATTTTAGTATTGTCTTCCAAGCGGATCAAGCTGTAGTCTGTGTGATCCAGGTTCGCCAAGCAGATGTGACAGTAGTGAATTTGAGTTTGTCTGTCATGCACCAAGTTCTGGAGAAGCACCAATTCGTACCCGATGTGATTGCTATAGTGGGCGAGGGTGTATTGACCAAGAACCGATATGGTGAGAAGCAGCGTGGCAAGATGCTTAGCCTCTTCATGAGCTCAAAGATGTAAGTTTTTTTTTTTTTTTTTTTTTTTAATATTACATGCAAATAGTGATCGACCATTGGTCATTAACTTATTAATTTTTTTTTTTTATTTTTTTATTTAATTTCCCACAATGCGCTAGGCCACTTCTCTACATTCATTATCCCCGCGGAAAGTTGCCCAAATCTATCCCAGAGCAGATGCAGCCTACACTGCCTACAACAATCATGGGCCGACTTGGTAGTGGACATCACTACAGCCCTTCATCACCAGGAGGAAATTCTGAGAAGCCAAGCTCTATTCGATCGAACCGCTCAGCAACATCGATGGCTTCGATGCGTTCGGTCCGCTCATTTATTGGAACAATGTTCAACAATCTCAAGGGTAACCAAGGCGGGCATGGTGGAAATGGCAATGGCGGCGCTAATCTTGGCAATGGTGGCAGTTATCCAGTTGGATATAGTCATCATTCACACGGAAGCACAAGCAGCATTAGTGGATATCATGGATCTAGACCTGGCTCGGGATCCTCTATTGGACTAACATCATCTTTCACAGGTATGCTGCCTCCTTCAACACCTACAGGACCATCTGCTCTCTCTGCCTCAGCTTCTCCTTCTGCCTATTCCAATGGCAATGCCTCACCCAAAAGCGATAGTCTTGTGAATGGAGAAGTGAGAACAGCCCTCTTGGAGATTTCTCAATGTGAGTCACCCATATCTACTCCGACCTTGAATACAGCGGTCTTGTCTGGTAGCAGTAGCGCCAACAGTGGAACAACAGCTGTCCCATCGCCGTCTGTTGCGTCGTTAGTGCCATCCTCCAGTACAGAGTTGGGACAGACAATTGTTATTCCTACGATCACAACTTCGACAACTGGCACTACAACAGCACCAGCAACAGCGGAAGCTACGCCAGCTATGGCAGCAAGCGCTACTCCTGCGTCTAATGTCGAGACTGCTAATTCTTCTCTTCCAGAATCGATGGCCAAGGTGTCGATCAAGGAGCCTGAGGCAGCAGCAACAGCAACAACAACTGCTCCTGCTCCTGCTACTACCAAAAATGAAGCAGAAGACGATACACCGGCAGCATCCATTATTGTAAACACTACCAATGTATCCATGGAAGGTTTCCCTTAAACGCTTCAACATGCATAAGGGCTTCTTAAAAAAAAAAAAAAAAAAAAAAAAGAAAGACTTTCTTTTTTTTTTTGTTGTGTATCATTTGTTTTTGATAGTTTTGCTTAAATAGATCAAGAAACATATTCAGCTACACTCAATAATAATATTCTAAAGCACTTATAAATATACATTCATATAACTATACTTACATACGTGTATAAGACTATGTATTATTTGTACTTTCACTTTGCTTTCACTGATCCATAATTTTTTACTTACCTATCATATATTCGTACAGTAATATACCGACTCGTAACCTTTGCCTAATTTCGAGAAAAAAGTTGAATCTCTCCAAAAATGAAGTGGATAAATAATCCTTGAAAGAGTCATAAAAGCACATTCCATTTTTTCCTATGATAACCCCGTGATCAACTATCGTGGTCTGGTCGCTCTCAAATCAAATGTGATGTATAAAATCGTCACTAAGTTTGGAGAAGCCAGCGCCCGTAGATTGAATAGATTTGATGGACTTGGTTAGAAAGGTAGATAGATAGGTACATGTATATATTTTTGACCACTTCTTGAATAAATACTTCTTGAGCATCATATGTAGATCTCCTCTACATCTTTTCTTACTTTCTTTCCCACTCTCTAACAAATTCTTATCGGATATCTCCCTTCAAGTTTTACAGGTGGTTATATATATGTATATAAAGATATGGCGTATGATATGTGTTCATTCTAATGACTGCTGCTTCTAATATTTTTCAAGCTGTGGGCGCTGGAGTCTACCTTTTTTTTTTTTTTTTTTTTTTTGCGGCTGAGGTCATTAAAACAATCATGCATGTAACGTCTATCGAGTTATTGGTTGATTTGGAACACGCAAAATGAAAAAATGTCTATAATGGACGTTCGAATCCACAAAATTTTCTTATCCCCAAAGCGAACATTAATATGCCAGACTTCTCTATATTGTAAAATATCTAGTGTTCAATCTGTTATCCTTCCATATCGCTCAAAGTTTCTGAAGCACCATTTGTATATATTGATTGGATAAAGGAGTGATAGATTGATGTTATACCTTTTATCTTTCTAGTTAAACGAGCTTCGAGCCCGAAGCTCTTGCCAAAGTGGTTACGGCAGAGTTCTGGTCGTCTCTCTCTCTCTCTCTCTCTCTCTCTCCAAAAGTCATTATCGAACCCTTGAAACATTTCTGGGAAAACCAGCAAAGCTACGGCCAAGCTCCTTCAGCACTTCAATTAGGCCATTAGGTGTTAACCTTTTAGCCTGCCTGCTCCTCAATTTTACAGTGCGTACCTGGCAGCGCTGCTGGATACTGTCATTTGCTGAAGCATGTGGAAGAAGCTCCAGAAGAGGGGTTCTTTGAAAACGAGTGCATAAACGCAATGACTCTGAGAGACAGATAGCCATCAAGGATGCAAAAATAATCGGCACAGCAAACAATACGTTAAAAAAAAAAAAAAAAAAGGAAAAGCTAGATGAGGATATTCAAACAATAAAGCAGCTAAATATGAGCGGCACTTGTTCAAAAAAAAAAAAAAAAAGGTCTTATACACGGCCATGGGTCATCTGCACTGATAATAACAACAAAAATAAGCATAAAGAAAACCATTGCATATGCTCCTCTTCCTTCATTATCTTATCCCTTCCTTTCTCCTTTCTCCTTTCTATTTGCAGCTCAAATTGGCAAATGTTACTGTTGGTTATTGAGGAAGAATATTTTAGTCTCCCGTTGTCACGTCAAGCAATATACAGAAATACACAGTATGGGCATGCAATGGCAAAAAAACGAAAGAGTGTTGGCTTTGTAGCCTCAAAAGAGGTAGTAAACGACGATCATAAGCACAGTCTTTTATCTTCCTTGGAAATAAAAACCTTTGTCGGTTTTACATTTTATTTGTAATAAAGCAATACAAGTAAATAAAGGAGAAGAAAGGAGGAAAAAGGACAGTGAGAGAGAGATGAAAGAGGAAAGATGGAAGAAATCAAACAACGAAACAATAGGAATAGAAAAAAAAAAAAAAAAAAAATTACATGCTTTGTCTGCAGATCAGGGGAGGATGGGGCGTGGACAAAACAATTCTGTTTATATATTTTTATTTGACGCGCTCAGGCCTCCATTTTACTTTGTGGAGATGACCTTTTTTGGAGCGTTCATTGTTCAAACCTTTTTATTTTCACCCACTCTTTCTCTTTACTTGTTTCCCCTTTTTCTACCTTCTCCTCTTCCTTTCTGAACAATCATCGCTCCAAAGTTGGAAATTCCTGTTTTCTCCTTCCCCACCACTCCCCTTACGTTTCCTTACCCTATCATCTTTCACGTCCTACACTTTATAATAGACTATACATACTAGCTTCTACTATCCTAGCATACCGCGCGTCCTTTAAACAAACGCGTTCTCTCACAACACGTCATTTACGCGTTATCAAGCTTTATTTTTCTAATAAGAAAAGAGGGAAAGAGAGTGAGAAGAGAGGAAAAAGCTATCATAAAGAAAAAAAAAAAAAAAAAAAAAAAAAAAAGTTCAAATTTCTGTTTTAAAAATCATATATAAGATAAAAAAAAAATATGGCGCCTGATCCTCAAATCATTATAGTAGGGGCAGGGATAGCTGGCCTCTGTTTGGCCATCATGTTAGAGCGAGCAGGGATGAGCCGATACATCGTCTTAGAGAAGGCCTCACATATTCGACCTTTGGGAAGCGCAGTTTGCTTAAGTGCAGTGATGCTTCGGTGTTTTGAACAGTTGGGTCTCTTACCTGAGATCATTGAGATCTCGAAGCCTTGTGTTGGAAACGTCTTTTTGGATGGAGATTTGAATTTTATTGGTAACTTGTCGTCTATTTTTATTGGACAACGGTAAGTGGAGTGTAATGAACATGTGCATACTTTTTTTTTTTTGTTTTTTTTTTGTTTTTTATAATAACAAAGGAACGAATATTAATCGGAATAATAAAAAACAAATAAAAACAGGTATGGATACTTTAACATCATGGTCCCTCGGCCTGATCTCTACACGGTCCTTTATCGGCATGTGCCGCGCCACAAGGTGCTGTTTGGAAAGAAAGTATTACAGCTTTCCCAGACAGACGTATCAGCCCATGTTCAATGTTCCGACAATTCAGTTCTCCATGCTGATATCGTCATTGGAGCGGATGGAGCCTATTCTGGCGTGCGGCAGGCGCTCTACAAGTCTATGCTCAGTTCTAACGCTCGCCTTCAACGTCGCCATCGCCGCCATTATGATCACCATCACCATGGCGTCTTTAATGCAATTAAGAACATTGCCCAAGAAGGGACTCAAAAAGAAGAAGGGAGAGTAGGTGGGGGAGGACTAGATGGCAATGAGATTATTGCGTCACGCTCAAGAATGAATGGTTGCCAAGTATCAGAATCAGACTTGGCACCACTACGGTTTGATCAGCATGCAGTCGTAGGAATCACTAAACCTTTGGATCCAGAAAGGTACCCCTTTTTGAAGGATAAGAGCTGTCAGGTTGTTACCGTCATGGCCAAAAACGGGTTCTCAGTAAGTGAGCCTTTTTTTTTTTTTATCTTACAATAGTGAATATGAAAGTAAAAAAAAAAAAAAAAAAAAAAAAAAAAAGCATGTGTCTTTGTCTAATCTACTATATTTTTTTTCTTGATTCATGAAACTGGAAATGAAACTGGAAAATTAAAAAGGCGTGGTTGTTCCCAATGACACGTAACCGTATCTGCTGGGGCCTCGCGTCTCGTACTTTCGAGACGGCTTCAGAACAAAAGCAGGCTTCTAAAGGGCTCGCTGCCAACTTTAAGATCTCGGAATGGGGGCCAGAGGCTGTCGATCAGATCCTGCAACTGGACTATGTCAAGAATCAAAAATCGCCCTATGGAGGAACTCTTCAAGATCTGTTTGACCAAACTGAGAAGGGGACACCTGTAAGAATCATGTTTGAAGATAAGGTAAACTGCCAAAGACGAGGGAGGTTTTTTTTTTCTAAAAAAAAAAAAAAAAGGTCCAAATAATAATTACAACAGTATGTTTTTTTTTTTCTTTTACTTTACTTCACCAAAGGCATTCAAGACGTGGTATTACAAGAGAACAGTGCTGATCGGTGATGCTTGCCACAAATTAATCCCATTCTCCGGAGTGGGAGCATTACAGGCCATCCTGGATTGTATTATTTTAGCGAACGCATTGTATGACATGCCAGATGGGAATAGTTTCACATCCGCAGACATCACTCGGGCGTTCCAGGTTTATTATGCTCAGCGATCCAGAGCTGCAGAAGCTGCAGTCAAAGCCTCAACCCAAGTCTCTGATTTCATTAGTAATACAAGCTGGCTCAGTCGGATGGCTCGAAATGCAACCTTGGCGAACATGCCGGATTTTGTCCTGACCCTTGTGGGTGATCGAGTCTTTGCAAGTCGGCCGATCCTGAGCTATTTACCATTTGTACCTGATTATGGGGCCCGTAAGAGTAACCCACAGCCCTTGGGCAGGAGAGATCGGGAGGAATTGGAGTCGCTGAGGCTACGGGAACGTAAGATGAAGGAAGAGGCAGCGAGAGCGTTGAAGGAGGAGAAACGTAAGGTGAAGAAAAATGCGAGGACAGCTATTATAAAAACAGCAGCGATATCAGCATCAACACCAACGCCAACAGCAGCAACAGCGCCAGCAAGCACAGAGGAGTCTTTGAAGAAAAATGCTGTCCGTATCCCAAGGGCCGCAACTTCATCCTCGTTTGTTAGTCAGCCGAACATGTCCTTGTCGCTGCAATACCAAAATTCCATGGGCAAGGTTTCACCTGATCATTCATTGTCCAGCACATCTACATACTCTTCTATCTCGGCGGATCGGCTCTCCGAGCTTTCTTTTGAAGGAAGAACACCAGCAGTGGCTCTTTGTAGGAATAACTATAGTGTAGAAACGGACGCTGGCATTGGCGTTGGTGGTAGTGGTTCCATTAGTACTAACAATACTAATGGTGCTAGCCATCAAGGAGCTATAGGCACCAAGTCTAGCTTGAAAAACAATGGCAGTTGTGCTTACGTCGCTGATGATGACACTGTTTCAATAAGTGACTCTGCCTCCATTTTTTCTTTTTCAAGTCGATACACATTGCCGTATAGCGCAGATGACCTTGAGCGCGAGGCTCACGTCTATTGTTATGGGCGCAAGGCCGTTGGCCAACGCAGAAGCAAAGACAAAATGGCCCATCCTCGCTCTCGATCTCATCCTCATCCCCATGATGATGACAATGGTCACCACGTTCGTCAGGATTCCATGGGATCTACAATATCTAGCCTATGGTACCGGTATGCTCAATTCGGTCGACCTTCTACAACCGAAACAAAAACAACGACAATAACGCCTATAGACGTGCCAGCATCTACATCAGTAATAGCATTGACGGCTGATGGTAATTGTGGCCATCGTTCCGACTACCATCGCCATACTGATGCCCCTTTTATGGCATCCGCAGGAAGTTGAGAGTCTACCACTTTGAGAGAACTGCACTGAACTGAGAGCGTACCTCGGCCAGTAGCATCAGTGAACAGTACCTGAGGACATGTAGAAATGATATGATCTCAAAAATAATAATAAAAAAAAGCTATGCCCTCGTCAACTAAAAAAGACGATGTCTTTTTTATTCTTTTCCTTCATTTCCTTTTTCATGCACTCCCTTTCAAAATCGTGCAGGCGCAGAAGGAATGGTAATCTTTTGGCCCTCATCGCTTTATTTATGTCTTTGTGCTCGTGAAGTTTCTTTTTTAATTCCTCTTCTTGAGAAGCACTATTAATCTAGTGAAAGAAATGCTTTACTCGTTGACCATGCCTATGTCACTTTTAGTAATACGAAAACATATATTGCGTTGATATATGTATGTGTTATTTACATGGGTTCATATTCAATATAGAGCAACAATGCTCGGGGCGGCTTACTCGTTTGGTTTGTCAATCATGAAAATTGGAGAGAGGAGAAAGAGAAATAACTTGATCTGTGAGATTTGGGCTTATGAAGCTTTATTATTATTGTTATTATTATTAAAATTGAAGGATTGAACCAAGTGCTTTCCATGACGAATATTATCATTACTATCATTATGGTTCTTTTTTTAATTACATGCTTTGATTGCTCTCTTTGTATGGTCCAATTGGACGTCCCAGAGCCTTGCATCCTCCAGGACGGCTGTTTGCATCCTTGGGGATCCAGCTACATTGGTTGTCGAGATAATAACAAAGATGATAAGAAATAGTTTTTTTCTTGTCGTGAGTAGAGTGCCCAAATATCTTTTTTTTTAACGAAAACGCAATATTATTATAAAAAAAAAAAATAAAAAAAAAATATTGCACTTACCCTTGATCAACGCCATCAAAATACGACCACAAGGCATTCGTTTCGGTCTTAAAGTTCCAATAGAACCATCCAAATCCTTGTTCGAACGCATCCATTTGAGCTTGAGTGAAATCCGACAAGAATTTACGATAGTCTGGTGTGTAGGCATCGGCATTGTTCTGAGCTTCACATGAACAAAACCCAGGGATATGACCGTTCTTCTTGGGATCGCATGCAGCAGACACTCCCCCGGTAGGATCATCCCCATTTGTGAACGTTCCATCCCATCGAGCACCAATCCCTATTCCGTTCAAATGTCTTGCACAATCATTTGTCGCGGATGAGAACTCGCCGACGAGTGTTGGACCGAAACGGACAGAAGACCGTTGCATTCCTTCGGCCCAAACATCACAAGGGAAATTGGCTTGGTCTTTACGGGAAAGCCGGATCAGATTATGATCAAAGATCAAGTATTGATGAATGTCCAAAGCCAATCGATCGGAATTAGGCATAAATCCTTCCCAGTCTTTTAATCCCAAGAACCCATCATGGATAATAGCCCAAGGCCCTTTTCCTGCTCCTGCTCCTGCGCCTGCACCTGCACCTGTTCCTGTCCTATTTCCTTTAGTTCCTTGTCCATCAACAGACCCTGTAATATCTCTCATCGCCGCAAAAACCTCCTTGTACCATTTATCCGTTGTGGTTCGTTCCAACATAAAGATGGCTGGTTCATTCAAGATCCCATACAATGGCGTGACATGTTCCATCCCAGGTCCTTGCAACAACCGGGTCATTTTTTTTGTATATTCAATGGTCCGTTGACCGTTCTTGAGCCCCTCTGGTGTTCCATCCAGCCAATGGATCTTGCCAGCTTTTCCAGAATGGTTCCAACCATTTTGAGACCCTGGAGCCGCATGCAACTCCACCATGACTCGGATACCATATTTGGCTGCCCATTTCAACCCTTGTAACAGATAATCGAGCGCTAGATCTGGAACATAGGGTTCTTTTTCTCCTCCTTCTGTTGTGGCTAAGTCACCCAGGGCCCAAAATCCAATAGGGATTCGAACATGATTTAGTCCCAGATCTCGGATCCGTCGGAAAGTCTCCTCGGTGACCCAAGTCTTGTAATGTTTCTCCAAGTACTCTCTTGCCTTTTGAGGCCCCAAAAACTTGGTCAAGGAATATTCATCCGTCACGTTATTGACCAGGTAAGGTTCAAAGAGGGATGGAGTGATGAAGGGCTCCAAGACTAACCAACCTCCTAAATTCACACCTCGGATCGGCTGCTGACCATATAGAAAAGGTTGATTCAACGGGGGCGTCTGGGCGTTACACTGAACGGAATCTGAGATTGTGATCGATGAGGATTCTGTGAATCGCTCCAATCCTACCTGTTTCCTGCCATCGGTATCTTGTTTACCACCCCCGTTGGTATTGGCATTGCCGTTGCCTTTATTGTTATTGCCTTTGCCGTTGCCATGCATTTCCCCATGCGGGTGGCTATTGTGTCCTCCGTTCGAATGGTCCCAAGGTTTCGTGATCAATAAAGCTGTCAATATTGCAACGGTTCCCAAGGTTAAAATCGCAGAGCCGGCCAAGACTGCTTTACGGTGACGAGCGAAAAATGATTGTGATCGGCCATTATTAGTGTGGCTGTGGTTGTGGTTGTTGCTAATGGCCGTGCCAGATCCTTCTTTGATTAGGAAATCATCTGTGGACCCTTGATCCATCTCTCGTTGCATTTTATGTGAAGAGAATATTTAAGAAGGAGGAGGAGGCGCGAACGAATGTGTTTGCTTGTCTTTGTTTGTACGAGTTGGTGAGATGGAGTAGAAAATAAGAAGAAGGATTAAATTAAATTTAAAAAAAAAAAAAAAAAAAAAAAATGGACTCTTGTAATAAAGATTGGGATTGGGATCGGAGGGTTGAAGGGAAGGGATCAGCTCGGACTAGGGTTTTGATCGGAAAAGGAAAAAAATGGTTTAGATCGTAATAAATAGAGTTAGTGTGAACTAGAAACGTGTTATGCTGTGTATTTTTGACCGACCGTTTACGCGAGAAAATAAAATATCTGACACAAGATCAGTAATTACGCCACGTGGTAATACAACATCAAAAAAAAAAAGTTTCATTTCACACAGCTCATTGCACACACACACAGCAGTGTTGATGATGAATTTTTTTTTTTTGTTTATTTATTTATTTTATAATTTAGTAGTCGTGTATATATGATGGATAATAATAATAATAAAAAAAAAAAAAAGAAATATACGAATCTTACTTTTTTTTTTTTTTCTTTTTATGAGGGTATGGTACAAAGAAATAAATGAATGAATGATGGGATGTTGTTGATGAGCAATAGTTAGTTTTGTATAGCGATAGAATGAACGTATACATAGAATAAAAAGAATATATAAAATAGTTTGAGCTACAAAGCCAGTAGGGTGCAATATTATGTGCCATGTTCTTGTTCTTGTGCTTCCTTTTTTTGCTTGTTTTTTTTTTTTTTTTTACAAAGCCTTGATGTACTTCTCGAGTTCACGAGTAGCAGCCAAGATAAGTCCGGTGAAGGGAGGCGAGGGCTTGAGAGGACGAGTCAACAACTCGGGATGGTACTGAACACCAACAAAGTAAGGATGATCAGCCAATTCGACAATTTCCATACGCTGACCAGTCTCATCCTTGCCAACAAACTGAAGACCCTTGGCCTCAAATTGATCAATCATCTGAGGATTGACCTCATAGCGATGACGATGACGCTCAAGGACGGTTGATCCACCTCCGTACAACTTACGGATCACAGAATTTTCAGTTCCGGGCTGGAACTCTGTGGGGCGGAGACCGAGACGCATGGTACCTCCGAGGTGAGTCTTGCTGACTTCAGGCATGTACACGACAACAGCGTTCTTGCAATCCTCATCCAACTCGATAGAGTTGGCTCCTTCGATGCCACACACATTGCGAGCAAACTCGACGACAGCAATCTGGAGACCCAAGCAAATACCGAGATAAGGGACCTTTTGCTCACGGGCCCACTTGGCGGCAGCAATCTTGCCCTCAGTTCCACGACGACCGAACCCTCCGGTGACGAGAATACCTTGAGCGTCGCAGAGGTCCTTCCAGGCTTCATGATACTTGGAGGGGTTGCTGGTTTGGGTCTCGGGCTCGAGATCAGAACCCTCGATCCATTTGATGATCAACTTTTTGCCCAGAGACAGGGTAGCATGCTCAAGAGCCTTGACGACTGAAGCATATGAATCCTGAAGGTTGGTGTACTTTCCGACCAAGGCAATCTTGACTTCATCCGAGGAGTGGAGACGCTCTTGAGATTGAGTCAATTGGTTCCACTTTTTCCACATCTCAGTACCCTTCTCCTTCAAGGCAGGCGAGATCGTGACGGATTGCTCGATTTCCAAGCGTCTCCAGAGAAAGTCGATCAAACCCTGCTCCCTCAAAAGCTCGGGAACATGGTAAACAGAGTTGCAGTCGCGAACAGCAAGGACCTGGTTAGGCTTGACGTGACAGAACATGGAGATCTTGGAGCGGATGCCCTCATCCAGACCAGTTTTCTCACAACGGCAAGCAATCAAATCAGGAGAAAGGCCCAATCCACGGAGATCACGGATGGAGGCCTGAGTAGGCTTGGTCTTTTGTTCACCAACAGTTCCGATGGTAGGAACCAAGGAGACGTGGATCAAGGCAAAGTTCTCGTGGCCAACACGGAACTGGAACTGACGCATGGCCTCGACGAAGGGAGCAGACTCGATATCACCGACAGTGCCTCCAAGCTCAATGATACAGACATCGGGTTCCTCGCCAGTGTCATCGACAGGGATGGTGGCAACACGCTCGACCCAATCCTGGATGGCATCAGTAATATGAGGAACCACCTGAACGGTCTTGCCGAGGTAATCACCCTTGCGCTCACGCTCAATGACATCGCGATAGATCTTGCCAGTGGTGATGTTGTTGGCTCTGGTCAAAGTAACATCAAGGTAGCGCTCATAATTGCCAAGATCAAGATCAACCTCACCACCATCGTTCAAGACGAACACCTCACCTAAAAGAAAAAGTAAAAAAAAAAAAATTGTCGTGGATTGGATTAATCTCCGCAGACCAAGAAAAAAAAAAAAAAACAAATTGGACTGGCTTTTTTTTTTTTTTTTTTTTTTTTGTTTGCTTTAGCAACTGCAACTGCATGTAAGAGTAAACGCTCTCATTTGCAAAAGGAATGTTGGCAGTTATTGGTTGTTTTGTTGTTGGTCTTGGAAAGAAGAGTTCATTCCCACAATTGGCAACATTGCGTATTATATATTTTTTTTTTTTTTTTTTTTTTTTTTTGAGCTTTGCTTTCAATGGAACAGCTAATGAGGTACAGAGTAATTACCGTGATCAAGAGGGGAGAGTGTTCCAGCATCGATGTTAAGGTAAGGGTCAATCTTGATCGATGTGACCTTGAGGCCCATGGTCTTGAGCAAGAGACCAGTGGAGGAAGCAATGATACCCTTGCCGATGCCTGAAATGACACCACCAGAGACGAGGACGTACTTTTTGACCATAGTTATTTTTGTTTATATATATTATTAACAAGGGAAGTGAATAATTAAAAATGAAGTGTAAATGAAGAGAAACAAGAGAGAATGGTAAACTTGGAGTATTTTATTTATTTATTTCGTAAAGAATTAAGGAGGCCCGAAAGGGAATGAGCAGAAGATCGATGCAACGCAGCCTTTTATACTTTCCCAAAAGAAAAAAGAAAAGAAAAAGTAAAAAAGTGGCTTTGTACACATGTGTTTGGATCACCCCTTCTTTTTTTGACCCTCGGACTAGAAACGGACTAGAAACTCCTGTCGTCTCAATTGGTCTAGTCCCACTTGCCACCAAAATAAACAAAGTTGTTGTTGTTCGACTACTGGCTTTGCTGTTGTTATTGCAGTTGTTGGTGCCCTTGTTGCCTTTACAGTTATCCCAGAAATATCAACGTCAACATCAATGCCATGCATCTGAATGTTTTTTTTTTTTTATTATTTTTTTTCACGCTCAAAGATCATATTCAAAGTGCACATTCTCTTCGCCTGCCTCTACGACTCTAAATCCAAGAGACTTGTAAATCTGAACTGCACTCGCCCACAATGTCTCTGTCTCCACCAAGATTCGATCAAATCCTCGGTCCCGTGCCACCCCAGTCAGATGACGGATAATCTGCTTCCCATATCCCTTCCCACGATGTGCTTTCGACACAGACAAACGCAGCATCCTACAGAGTTTCAGCCCATCCCTTTCCTTGTTATCATCGTCCATGTCCTTGTCCTCGTCCTTATCCTTCGATGATCCTGACTTTGGTTCAGCACACCATGTCCCATAAACATCCTCTGCTGGTAATGGCAATAGGATCCCACAAGCAACAACCACTGCTTTTCCTCCTTCTTCTATTTCCAGAACGATAACTGTGGCATGGTGGTATTGAATATAATAACCATCAATGTCATTGACATCTTGATTGTAACTCGCATCGAATGCTGATCCCCATCGTTCTGCTAGACCTTCAAGCAGTAAATGTCGAACTACTTCTTGATCTCCTTTTTCGAAATTCCTAATTCTGGCTGCCATGTTATTTTTATTTTTTTTGTCCTGTTGATTTTAAAGTGTGAGAAAAAAAAAAAAAAAAAAAAAAAAAAGCTTCATGTTCAAACCCATTGAAGTCATGTAAACAAAATCAAGCCATCCGCAGCACATGGGCAAATTACAAGCATAACAAGCCAATGTTGTTTACATGTTGAACTTTTTTTATTTTTTTATTTTTTTTGTTGTATTGTATCAAGAGAGAGATATGGGTGTGAGAAAAAAGAGTTTTGAGTAAAAAAAAAAAAAAAAAAAAAAAAAGCACGTGGAAGGAAGGGAGGAAGGGAGAGTTTTTTTTTAATTTGCAGAAGTGAACCCACAGATACAACAGAGACAACAAAAGGGACAGCATTCAAGGATCTCCTTCAAAACCATCCACGTCTCTCCTCGTCCACTTCCCTTTTCATCATCGTCCAGTCCTTTACCATACCACGATTCCTTCTTCCTCCTCCACCATCCCTTCTGACGAGCCTCTGGATTGAACTGTCCTGCAGATTGATATATATTCTCTTCTTCATTCCTTCCTCCTCCTCTTCCTCCAGGAATCCACATCGATCCACGTCCATATCCAGATCCATTTCCATACCCATGTCCATACTCATGCCCATGTCCGTGTCCATATTCATAGTCATAGCTATGTCCATGTGAATTTCTGCCAGAATTATCCATATCTAATGGCGTCCTCTGTTGTGCTCCACCCGCCTGTGTCTCGTTAAGAACTTCTTGATAATAATGAGGAGGATAGATCGGTGGAAGACGTGCGACATAGGCCGGAAGAGGGGACAAAGGTGGTTCCGAGTAAGTCAAAGATAATGCTCGGGGACGCACATTTTCTGGTCCTTGTCCCTGTCCCTGTCCCTGTTCAATTTCACGCTCACCATTCATGGGCGTAGACAAGGGCATTGACATTGAACGATGCTCTATGCTTCTTTGAGAGGGACCTTGATTTAAGATCGGTGGTGATTGAGGAGATTGTGATAACGGTGATATTGGTGATATTGGAGATGAAAAATGCTGTTGTGACCTAGAAGGAGATGAGGGTGATGTTGGTGATGACATTGATACTAATGCTGATGCTGATACTGATGCTGGTGTTGATGTTGATGCTGGCACTGATATTTGTGCAGAGTGTCGCTCTTGGTGTTGTGGCCATTCTTGGTGATATTGTTGCTGCTGTTGTTGTTGTTGTGCAAGAGAGAAAGCTCTAGTTGACCGAGGTGAGCTGAATGAGTTGGGTGAGCTAGGGGAGCTAAGCCTAGGGGAGCCAGGTGAGCTGGATGATGCAGGGTTAAACTCCTGTGATAATGGATCGCCAATCATCATTGGCACAGCACGAGGCTGTGTTGATATTGTTGCAGACTCTTGAGGAGGATTGTTATTCATCTGTCCTTCTTCTCGTTGTAATGGTCAATATGAAGGGAAGGGGGGGGCAACAAAAGGAAGAGAAATAAATTAATATCCCAGGTAGGCTATTTACAAAATGTAATTTAAAAAATTGATCCCGGGGCTTTGGTTTGAGACTCACACAAGCTGTTTTTAATAAACAAAGGGCGTAAAGTTTAAAAAAATAAAAAAAATAAAAAAAGCAGGAACAGGAACAGGAACAGGAACAGGAACAGGAGCAGGAACTGGGGGACAGGGAAAGAACAAACGAATTGACGAGGCCAAGGGGGAGGAGTAGGCTTAGGGCAAAGGTTTGAATAAGGTTAGGGCGAGGGGAGAGAAGAGTTGAATTTGATTGCCTTGACTGCCTTGATTGCTTTGTTAATTATTATTTGCGCTTTCTGCTGGTTACACCTGGTTGATGGGATAATTGGAAGAAGAATAGGGCGCCTATTTTATCGTGATAGTATATTTCCCGAAGTATAATGAAGCAAAAAGTGAATTGTAGAATGAATAAACGAATGAAGAAAAGAATGAATGAACAGGAATGGAAAGGTTCATCTTTTTCATAAAAGATGACGAATGTTTGAGCCAGAGGAAAAAAGAAAAAAGGCGACAAGGCCCAAGGTTAATTTAAAAATAAAGGTAAAGAGGGTGTGTGCGTTGTTGAGTATTCAAAGGTGAAGGGACATGGATTGAAAGAGATATAGGAGACTGAAAGATGGGTTGATCAATAGAAAGTATCTGAGGAAGTGAAGAGAGAAAGTGTGTGTAGTGAAGAGTGTAAAAAGTAGATGGGTAGGGGAAGAAAATAGGGCAGAGTGAAGGAGGAGTGAGAGCAATAAGAGGAAGAGGAAGAGAAAGAGAAAGAGAAAGAGAAAGAGAAAGAGAGAGAGAAAGAAAGAGAAAGAGAAGGAAGAAAGAGAGGATGAATGAATGAATGGCTCTTGTTATTTTTTTCTGGCACGCATGTCCATGCGGACTGATATCACAAGAGGGAAGGAGAGAGAGGCGGAATGTAAGGAACATCCTTAGGGGTCAAGTCCATAAAGCATTTAGCCATTAGCATTGACAAAAGACCTTAGATGTATACATGTATATATAATATAATCCTGCTGGCTTTGTGGTGAGATCAGGTCCACACAAACAGGGTATCGGTCCATGGAAGAATTAAAAATAAATTCCAGTGGTCCACAAACAAAATTCATCTGATACAAATTCAGGCACCCAAACAACACTAAATTACTCGAGTTTCACATCAATCTTGATACTCAGCAAAGCACAGAAGCATACAGAGGCATACAGAGGCATACAGAGGCATACAGAGGCATACGAGTAAATAGTATAAATATGTATATATATATAAAACAGGTCGTCGGACATCTCTCTCCCGATGCTTCCAAAGTGTACATTAATATACACATGTACAGTATTATACCTGTTTCTGTATACCCAGATTATCATACATGTACAAAGTATTGTTTACCGGATATTCATGTATCCGTCTATTGCCCGTATTCGCCTTTAGATATATATATATTTTTTTTTTTTTTTTTTTTTTTTTTTTAAAAAAAATGTCAATTAGAGGCTTGGAGGCTGTTTCTGTCAACAGACAAATAAATAAATTGTTCAAATTAAGCAAAAGCCTGGCAGCTGGAAAAGAAAAAAAAAAAAAAAAAAAAAAGTGGCAAGCAATTGTCTGTGCACCATTCTATTTCTATTTTCATATTTTTTTTTTTTTTGTTTCTATCAGGGTTATCTCATTTCAGCCGTCTATTTCCCCTTGCCCTTTTTATGCCCCTCCATTATAAAGCGCATACAAAAAAAAGGGGAAATAAAAAAAAAAAAAAAAAAAAAAAAAAAGGTGGTTGGTAAGGTAATGCGTGTTTTTATTAATGAATAAGATGAAGTAAAAATAATGCTTTTTTTTTTTTTTTTTTTTTTTTAGAAAAAAAATGTTGTTACATTCTCGGGATGTCCATTCTGAACGATTTGTTTCATCTTCAGTAAAGTACCTCCCATGCTAATGATGATTTCTCTCTCGCAAATAATCTCAAAGTTTGTCCCTCTCTTTCCTTCGCCTTACATATTAGCCTTGGTGGTAGTGGTAGTGGTAGTAGTTTCTGCTGCAGTAGTAGTAGCAGTCGTGGCATCATTAGTAATCATCGTCTTTTCATCATTGCCACTAGTCTTGGGAGTAGCAGTACCGGAACCGGTGTCAGCATCAGTCGTGCTCTTAATATTCAATCGAACATGTTTCAGATTAAACGTCAACAAGAACATGATGGCTGCCATAGGGATCGTGGCCTTGAACACAGTCTTCATACTATCCAAATAGATTGCCTCCACAATCCCCCTCCACTCCACTGGCAAATGAACAATCTTTTGTGAAGAGGAAATTGCCATCGCTGCCAACTCTGCCGGGACCTGAGCGTCCCTCAACCCATTCTTGAGGTGATTCTGGAACAGAGCCCCGTTGATCGCCACTCCAAATCCAGATCCACTCATGCGGAAGAAATTGTGCAAGGCCGAAACGGTCGCCAAATCCTTTCGTTCCACAGAGGCCTGGATCGCCACAATCAGACAGGGGAACAATTGTCCGATTCCAAGACCAGAGACCAAAAGGATGACGACATGAATGATCTTTGAAGAGGTCGTAGCAAGTACTAAACAGAGACCAATCCCAATGAGAGCTCCACCTGTGCCTGTAAAGATATAAGGACGATATTTGCCATATTTCGACACAAGGATACCTGCAATATTGGATGAAATGAAGATACCCGCCTCAAGTGGGATCATTGTCAAACCAGCAGCCGTTGCAGTCTCATGCTCGACGATCTATAGGAAATACATAAATAGATGATTAAATAAATAGCTATGCAAAGAAGTTTCGGCAAAACATATAGAGATAGACTAGATTGATAGTCTTTTTTTTTTTTTAAAAAAAAAAAAAAAAAAAAAAAAAATTACCTGGAAGTAAATAGGAAGATAAAAGATCAAGGTCCAGAAGGTCATGCCCATAAAGACATTGAGGCCGAAGAGTGTCACGACATTTCTGTTCCTCCAGAGGTAGGACGGAACAATGGGATGTTTTGCATACCTTGCTTCGACAAAATAGAATGCAGCAGCCGTAGGGATCACCAATGCATACAAGGTAATGATCAATGGTCTATAGGGAGATATGGACGAAAATAAACATATACAACAGTTAGTCGGATACTCATTCAAAGATTGTTCAGCAATAGAAGAGGAAGCTTTTTTTTTTTTTTTTTTTTTTCCCTCTCTTTCTGACTTACGAGTTCCAAGGAAACATAGTTCCACCCAAGTTTGTGGGCAACAACAAAAAGACGGTGAAGATCGCCATAAAGAACGTGCCAGCCCAATCAATGGCCTTCAATTTCTCCCAAACATTTCCTTTAGGTCTTGGTAACTTGAGCATGATGGCCATGGTCGGGAGGGTGATGGCTCCAAGGGCCACTTGGATATAAAAACACCATCGCCAACTGACCTTGTCCACGAATGCACCCCCCATCACCGGTCCCAATAAGGCGGAGATTCCAAAGACGGCTGAAATAAAACCTTGGTATTTACCTCGATCACGAATCGATACTAAATCTGCAATGATGATATTGGCTAATGAAAAGATTCCTCCAGCACCCGTGCCTGTTAAGGCACGACAACCTAAAAACATGTTCATGGACCTGCTTGCACCTGAGAGGATCGAGCCAAGGACGAAGATTCCGACTACCAAAAACACTATGGGCTTACGCCCAAAAATGTTTGAACAACGACCCCATAGACCTTTTATATTTATTTTTATATTTATATTTATATATGTATGTGCATCCAAGGTAAGTTAAAGAGAAGAAGAGGAAAAAAATAAAAGGATTAATACATATCTTCAAGGCAAAAAAAAAAAAAAGAGATTAATGCGGCGCAGTCGAATGATTAATTGGAATCGTGAGAAGAGAAAAAGAGAAAAAGTTGCCCGCAAGGGTTCCCTGATCTCCATCATCAGAAGCTCAAATAAACATTTTGTGTCACAAACAATACAAACAAACAATAAAAGCGGAGAAAAAGGGGTGGAGTGTAAAAAAGAAAGATCAACGCCCAATTCTGACAACTTACAAAAAAACACACACAATGAAGAAAAAAAAAAAAAAAAGGGTTACATGAATAGATTACAAAGGAGTGTATAAAAGGAATAGTTTTTTTTCTTTACCTTGAAATGCGTTAGCAGTGATAATATAACATGTAAAGACTAGTTCAACTTTGTTGGAACCAGCAAATTCAGTTCCAATCCTTGGTAATGCCGTTGACACAATACTATTATCTAATGCAGCCATGAACATGGTCAATGCGACACTATGAAAGAATAAAAGTATTACATAAAGAAAAAGTTTGGGTGTAGGAGTTAGTGTCAGAGTTAGTACAAGTTGGAAGGATGTACAAGTACAAGTTGGTATATTTTAAAAAAATAAATGACATCTTTTTTTTTTTATACCCCAAGAATGCAGGCATCAACTGTCGCATGGGCAACGTTTGAACCTCTTGTGACAAGATCTGTTCCTCCGTTTGTTCTTCCTTGACTGGAACACCACTCTCGATATCCATTCCTAAGCTTCCTGAATCATCATTATCAAGGTTTGATACATTCTTATCTTTCATTTGGCGTTGTTGTTGCAGTTGCTGTTGTTGTTTTTCAGAGTCTGCAATCGTAATGGTGGTTGCATTGTCATCAAAAGTACTGTTATTATCTTTTGTTGCTGCTGTCGTTGTCGTTGGTGCTGCGGTGGAAATGATCATGTCCTCGACATCATTATTATCAGGACGGGTGGTGGAAGAACTGGATGCTCTAGAGTGAATGCTGGTTTTGTCAGCCATTATGGATGAACTGGAATTGCCCTTCTTTCGAACTTCTCTCTTCCTCAAAGATAATAACAATAATAATTAAGTGTTGGATAGTGAATCTGGAATATGATAATGTGGGCTTGGATCTGCTTCGAGGTGATTTGATTCGATTTGATTTGATTTGATGAGAAAGAATGGTCGAAATTGATTCGTCTGATATTTAATGGTTGGGACAAGTAGGATAAGCAAAAGGAGTATCTGGATAACCCAATATAGTGAGAAGAAAGAGGAAAGAAGAAGAAATCGTTGGCTTTTTTTTTGAACTGATGTGGGCTTTTATATTTTTCGCCATGTGTAAGTTATAAAAGTATACTTTTGCATGTAAAAGAAAGATGAGCCATGCCCATGCCCATGCCCCAATATCCATGTCATGCCATCCCTTTTATATTTCAAAGTTTATGTATTTTATTCCCTGTACGGTTAGTTGCGAATGTTTTGTTATTTCCTTCCTCTTCTTCGGTCGTTGTTGGTTGGTTTTTTGTTTTGTTTGATCCACTCAAGCTCAGCTTTTTTTTTTTTTTTTTCTTTTGCATCGTGCATCTTTTCGCCTTTTGGGCGTTTTTCATTTCATTGGCTCGGGTAATTAGATTGCTTGAAGCCCCATGGTCACGTGTGGGCCCTCCTCTCTTCTCTACTCTTTTTTTTACTCCCTTTACTCCTTTACTCCTGCCACCACAACCTGAAATATAAAGAAGCAGCAATTTCCTGTTCTTAGGATCCTTGCACAAAACGACTGAGTGTGTGTGATTGTTGAAGATAATATCCCCTTCACTTCTATATTCCTTTAACGTTTTATTAGGTTAAGCACATTTAGGCTAGTTTGAGAGGGGAGGCTTATTCGAATTAAAAGCGTTGTTCGAGTCTAAATAAGGGAAACAGTGCAATTTTTTTTTCTTCTTTACCTGGCGCATACATTCGTGCGAAAAAGCTTTTTTTCCGTCAAATGTAATCTTTGATTTCACACACATTATGTAAATACTTTCTCTTTTCTTTTCTTTTTTTTTAGGGACACTAGGGGTGACCAAAGCAGAAAGCAGTATTTTGTCGCGGGCATTACATTGTACATCTATACATACACATTATGTTTTAGATGTTTATATCTTGTTCTGTATCTTGATAGTGACTCAACAGCATATAATAACAACAATAACAACAACAGCAATAGCGCAGCCAGGGTTGTTTTATTTTTCAGTCATCTTGAGTCATTATCGACACTCCTTTAAAAAAGAAATAAAAAATAAAAAGAAGTATCGGACAATAGTCGTGTAGGGTTTGAAGTAAGAATATCGCACATTTCGCAGTTCAAAAGCAGGACCTTTTCTTTTTTTTTTATTGTATTGTATTGTATTAAAAGGTAAAATTACATAGGCTACATACATTATGTCTGAATTATAAACGTGAAAAAAAAAAAAAAAAAAAAAATGGGTATGAAAAAAGATTTTGTGGAAACTTAGGCAGAGGCCGCAGCTTTCTCAGCATAAGTATCATGACCAGCCCAGTTCTGAGTAGCTCTAGGACATTGATCAATCGAACTTGGGTTGTTGCCCCACCATTCTGGCATCTTGATGCCATTGTTCTGAAGCGCAAAGAAAATCACCAAGGCCGAAATAGCCACTCCTGCATCCAAGGCTGCAGACATCACATAGTTATACTTGGACCACCATCCAAAATAACGACGCTTGATCACAAAGTTGAAAATGAACCCAAGGAAAGCCCAGGTAGGCATGATCGAGGCTCCTGCTGGAGGATAGGGTCCACCTCCCAACATGAACGCAGCCATGTTCACATCCTTGACCCAACTATTTGGATACTTGCGAGACAACAAATAAAACGGAACTGGGAGTACAAACCCAATGAAGAAGAACCACACAATTGGATAGTACATCGACGATGGTGACAAGAACTTTTTAGGGCCCACAACACCCCAAACGATCGAAGACGCTCCAAAGACCGAAGCAGATGGACAGGTGAAGGGATAAGCAGCCTGTGTACAAATATCCTCAATGTTGGTCATCAAGTACGAGGTCGTGCCCATCGCCACCAACGCTGCAGCCAGTGTGCCGATCATTTGGAAGATAAACATGTCACGAGGAGGCACCTTCATATAGTGCCCCAATTTAAGATCTTGAGTAAATGTGATGGCTTGTTGAACTGTGATGAATCCATACGTCTTGAAGATCATGTTTCCAATAGGCCTTCCAGGCGAAATCACACCAAAGACCCATTGAGAGATCATCGAGATCGATGGTGCTTGAGATGTAATCGCTGTCAGAATACCCATTGGCAAGGTCCAGATAGCAGCCAGGCACATTGCTACCAAAACATGCCACCAACTCATATCACTGGTAGGATACAATTCAACCGTCAAGATCGATAGAGCACAGGCAACGACGAACGTCGCAATATACCACCAATCAGGGCATTCAGGGTATTGATCCATTAAACGTGCATGGATGTCCTCATCCTTTTGCTTCGCACTACGGATACGACTCCAGATATCCTTTCCGTGATAGAGCAGAGCGTGAGAGACAATCGCACCAAGAGCACATAGACCCTGACCGTACATGGTGGCAAAGAAGGCTGTGATGCGTACAGGTGAATAGGCTGCATACTTTTCTTCATCCAATGCGTTGTTGACGAGGACTCGGCCGAGATCATAAGGCTGACCTACTCTGTCATATGTCTTGGTGTTGTAGATGGGGAACAATTTACCATCGTAACGGTTGGTGTAGTACATGATAGGGATCAAGATCCAGATAAAGAATGTAAAACCTGCCATCATATTGGCCTGAGCCCACCAAGGGATAGCCAAGGGTGAGGGGAGCCAAGCAGACATGGAGGACCAATCAAGAGTGAAGGAAAGGTAGCCGAGACCCTTGAGTCCAGATCCAAGCTGGTTCAGGAGGATGGAATCCCGATTGATCCAGCACAACCAACTGACCGATGTCAACAATGGGAAGATGTAACCAGGCAGCCAGTAATAAAGGAATGAGGCCAATGCCACAAAGAAGAAGAACAAGTTACGAGAGATCTTCCAAGACGTTGTTGCTTCTCCACCAATGGCGACTCGAAGGCTACCGTTGGCTGGATTATTACGATGGAGCGTATGGAATAAAGTGGCGTTGACCAAGTTGACGGGCCAGACCATGGATGCAGGACGGACTAGGAAACGACGAAGGGCTCCTGCGAAGCCATAGCCTACAAATTGAGTTGAGATGACCAAGAGAAGACCACCGCCAAAGCCCCAACTGTCATTATAATAGAGTCGTTGAATGACAATGATATCGATCGCAGCAAATGTAGTCACTCCAGAGTTGGCCATGATAGTGATGAGGACGTGTTCTTTAATGTTAAAGGGACCAGGATTAAGAGTCCATTTGTAACCCAGGGTATTGAATGTACGAGTGGGGAGGAAATGAGCCATTAGTTTCCCAAGTGGATAGGCAAGCAATTGAGCAACCATGACGCGGATCGTCAAGGGATTGTCACGGAACCAGAAGAACTGGTTAACAAAAGCGAGGACAATGGTGAAGAACATGCCGAGAAACCATGCACGGAAGGTGCGGGTGGGTAGAGAAGAGTCATCCGTAGGAGGAACAGCTGCTCTAACTTCAACAAGGGGCTGCAAAGAAGGGAAGAAAAAAAAAACGTGTTTCACTCGAGTTAGCCTGTGAAAAACTAATATTCATTGAGGCTAATAAAAAATAATAAAGAGATGATATAAAGATAAACTTACAGAGTCTTCGATAATATCGTCCAGGCTCCCGATTGAAGCGTCTTTTTCTTTGAGGTCGAAGGCCTGAGGCAGATCAACAACGTCTGCTTTGCCCTTTTGTGCGGCTACTTCCGCCATTGTGGGAATTTTTTTAAAAAAAAGGGTGAAAATGGGCGAGAGTGCTGATTAGTGTGCTTCGCAATCTTGGAAATGATTAAGCACTAAAGATGTCAATGTGTGTGAGAAAAAGAAGAAAGGAGAGGAGAGGAGAGGAGAGGAGAGGAGAGAGATGTTTGAGGCCTCCACACACAGACACAACACTTTCTTCAAAAAGTATTGGTTGGGATTTGAAAAGAAGAAGGTCAGGGCAGGTAAAAAGAAAAAAAAAAGGAGGGGGACTGACATTCCTTGATGACCCTTTTATAAAGTCATCCTGAATCGCTGAATCGGCTAATTTTTGTTGATGTAGCCCATGTGGTACAATAGTGTAACATTTGGTCAATGGACGCTGAGTAATTGAAGTCCATTACACAAGAAATGGCAAATGGGCCGATCGTTTGAGAAAAAAAAAATTTTTATCTTAGAAAAAGAAACACTGAGTATGAAGCGATGGCGTGCTCGTTTTCATACCCAGACAATAAAAAGTCTTAGAAACAAAAATAAAAAATAAAATCCGCACCCTCTCTTTCCCCTATGTCCTTTCTAGTTTAAATTACATGAACATGTAGTGTAAATACATGTACGACACATGCACTGAACATAGAAAAATAGCTGAGCATTAATTAATAATCATTCCGAAGACACTAAAATGACGTGCTCGTCCACTTCTTTGCTTTTTGTGAACCCATAAGGAATCCAACTAATAAAGTAAACCTGAATGGTTTAAGGCCCTTGTCCAAAACATGGAGCTTGCTCCGAAAGTCCAATCATTATACCTCTAAAGACCTTAGCTTGCTTAATAAACCCTTCTCTCTCTCTTTTTTTTTCAATTGGAAATGGTAAAATGGCTGAGCATGCTGATCGTTGAGAGATAAGAATGATGAATATCTACCGAGTTATCGTGTGGCTCGAGCCACGTTTTTTTACTTTTGTTTTCCGCTAACACAGGTATTGGCTGCGCACAAACGTCATAGGAATATTTTAATACAAACATATGAATGCAGCATGTCCTTGCTCTTTAGGCGGAATAAACCAATACTCAAACTTCTTGCCATGAATGATCAAAGGTATATATTTATTCGTGCTTGCCACCCTATATACTGCCTTTATATGAAATACAGCTCTTTTCAATCATCCTACATTCATTGGCTAAACAGGCCCAAACACATTGGTAATCAGGTCTACAACATGTGAATCCCTGGTTCAATACTACTGCCAATTAATTTCTTGATTCTAGACAATGTCCTACAATCCACATCTTCCCTTAAGATCCCTACAATCCACATCTTCCCTTCAGGTCCCTAATCCCTTAACGGACGAGCACACTTGAAATTAATCTGCCAGTTCATCCAATCCGGTTCTCAATGTTAGATGTAACCTTCTAACGTTGCCGTCTGCATTACAAGCCGGCAAATTGAGCACACCCAGTTTAATCAACCTTCCTAGTCGCTCGAATGCCATCTTCTGTTTTTGTCAAGCCTTTTTCTTCAGATCCTTGACTAAGCTCTACTCTCTAATTGGAGTCCGGAATAAAGTGAAGTTACTCCAGAGCAGACCCCACTTTACACCATTCACGCTTTCTGTCACACGTGGACGATTAGAGCAATCTGCCCACGTCTCTTTTCTTTTTTACTATTAAAAACTTACTGATTGATCTTATAACAGAGTTAACCTGTTTGTGTCATTCTTCGCTCATCGTCGGAACCAGTTCACTTGGCTTCCCACTTGGCTTCCCACTTGGCTGGGAACGGCTATGAAGCTATGAAGCTTGAGGAGGAAAAAAAAAAACCAAAATTGGATCTTGAAGGAATCTGTCTAAGAATGGTCACTTCCTACACCGTCAAGTGAAACATCTCTCCTAGAACTAAATCCTCCTAAATGCGGAAATACCGATAGATGTCGTCGCCTTTTTTTTTTTTTTTTTTTTTTTTTTTCAAAAACGTGTTAAAAAAGAATGAAAAGAATCTTTGCTTGGGGAATGTTTGCTGTAAATAAAGTTTGAATTAGATGTCGCCATGTCCTTATCCAGAATATAATGAGAGTGTTTATGTCGCCTAAAGCCAATGTCTGGAACTTCGTACAAAATCAGGAAGAGCAAGTTCAACCTCATTGTCCTCGATTGTCATGTTTGTGATACGCAAGGTGCTGATATTAGGTTGCTCTCTAAAAGCGTTCTCCAAAGCTCTAGTCCTTGGAGACAGATGGTGGGCTCTTCGTTTTTAAAGGAATATATACCTATTATCTATACAGTATTGAAACTTTGGGCCTGGGTTAGAGAAGTAAATTGAGAAGCAGGCAATGTAACAAAGATGAACCGCATTTGACGATACTATACTTCGTGTGGTTAGAGGGCAGGCTACATCCCTGCGATAACAGAAGACAGTATTTCCAAGAGCTTTTCAAAGTCTGTACAAATACTATTATGATCCTAAAGCGCATTGCCTGCTGGAAAAGTCAAATGGGCCACCATTTGAGGTGAGTTTCTTCCATAGCACGTGGGGTAATGTATTTAAGACATTGAGACATATTCTATTGTGGAGTATGATTCTCGGGAATGACCAATTGCTGTAGTTGCATGTCGAATTAGGATCTTTGAAATGGCGATGAGTTTTGGGCAAGAAGGATTCTTGTGGCATCTACCCAGCCAGTAAAAAAAAAAAAATTACTCGCAAGAGGCCGTTGTTTGGGATGCACATGTTACAGTTTGGTGGCGCACTTCCAGGAACTGAGCTGAATGCACCATGAAATAGGTCAACACATAGTAAACAGGCGCGGTCCTGTACTCCAGCGAAGTCATTGGATATGGACATGGATTACAGCAAATTCGAGCAAGTCAAGCAAGTCAAGCAAGTCAAAGAGATGTAGTATGGTCTAGATGGATGTTTATTGGATCATGAACAACAAAGTCAATGAGCACTTGTGGATAAGAATGATGATACAGCAAAGTGGAATTAATGTCATATAGATATGTTGCTATCGATGGTCCAGTCCACTTGCCTTTGCCTTGAGCTTGTGAAAGGCCTGATAGACATATCCCACGCTGTTAAACTATCTACTTTATGCGACAATCCTGACAATCAAACATAGCATGAAAGAGATAAGGTCTTTCTTGGAACGTACTTTTTAAGGTTGCAGCCCCACTCTGCTATCAACATCATGGAACAGTAAATGCTCTTATATACTCCGCTTTGCAGCCTTACAAACAAACAAACAAACAAACTCTATTAGGAGACTAGGATGGAAAGAGAGCACAGACCATGGTAGGAAAGAAAGAAGAAAAAGATTGTCCAAGACTGTCAAGATAGAAAGGAAAGCAGAAGATGGAGCAGACAGACATAAAAGCTTATTAGATATCCCAGTAGTATCAAAGTATCAAGAAGAATTAAATACGGTCCATTCGCAAGAGAGGACTGTTTTCGAAATAAAAGAAAAAAGAAAAAATGCCAAATTGCAAAGATCTTTTCATATGAGAAAAAAGTCCCACAATCACTCGATGCTGTCGAAGGCTGGTGACAAAAGAAAAGAAAGCGAGTCACTATGCCTCTGAGAACGTATAAAAGGATCTCGCTTTCCTCTCTTTCTTGGCTCCTCACCGCAAAGCAGCAACAGTTCAATATGTTTCCACAAATTGATTGGTGCAACTTTAGCCGAGTAGCCCATGATATGCGGGGAGTGGAGTTGAAGCTCGGAGGGGGTCTGTCCTGTCGGGACCCAGGTAGATCTCCTCTGAGTCTGCGAACCAGGTGGGGGGCGCGCAACCAGACCACCTCCTCGTGGTGCGCCCTGGGCTGTCTGCTCTCAGCAGCAGGCAGGCGAAGAGTCTGGCAACTCTTTCTTATTCATCACATCATATTCGTTCTATTCACGACTACTTGTCAACATTGTGGTATCCATGATGGGGAACAAACAAACAAACAAACGACTCCTCCTCTTCCTGAGACTTCCATGGCTAAATGGTGATGTCTTTCATGATGAAGAAGACGCAGCTCTTATTGTTCTTGCTCTTGAGTCCAAAGTCTTGTCTTGTCTTGGCAAGTGTGCCACCAAATTGAAACATTTACATTCATCAATAGCATCTTCAGCCTTGTTCAGCCGTTTTTTTCTTAAAGTCATTGAATGGGCCCCTCCATTTCAACAATTCCATCGCAACATGCATCTTCAGCCATTGACCATTTCTGAATTAGTCCAATTACCTGAAAACATGAGCATTCTTGTTGGCGAAAAATATTACAGAAATTATCAACGTGTCTGTAAGGTTTTCCACATTGCTTTGCCGTGGCTCTTATCATTATATTCTTTGATCAAGTACCAAGAAGTATCATACCATCTCGACGGATGCCTACCATTGCCAGGGCGCGACTCTTCAGATCATACAGACCATAGCACCATCAAGTTTGTTCATCGGGCTTACTCATCTAACCAAGTTTCATAGCTCCATACGAGAGACTGAATGTTCCTTCAATGACCGAGACTCATAGTTACCCTTGGGATTGGAGCTTTGGAGAGAGTCCCTATATTAACACCTTGCGTGCGATAAATGAAACTGGTCTGTACTTGCTGCTTTGTATGAGGTTGAAGCAAATGTCTTTGAGCGGCACAAGTATCTTTACTCTATTCTGCATATGGCCAAAGACTTTATCACCTCGCAGGCCTCTTGATCCTTAATCAACGACGCTTGTCGGGGGATACTAGCTCGAAAGTGTCTAAAGTTGCAGAGCTTACATCCCAATCCTCATAGCTGGAGGACCAACGGCGAGCACAATAAGGCAGTATCTGCAGAACGGAGCTCCTTCAACATTCATGTGCATTTCCGTGTCTGAAGGGTTTATATTTGAAGGGTGTCTTATCAAGCAGTGAAGAGATGGCAGCTATCCTGGGACACACAAAATCGTGGACGGTGTTAGGATTTACCAGGACTTTCTCAGCTTGATTAGATAAACTATCAGTACCGAAAGACCTAGAACATCTAAAAATCCAACCATGGTTGTTGTGAAGCGAAAGGGCTTGAAGAAGCGATATGGATTGTAAAGCAATGCCTACCGAGACCACATAGAAATTCTGCTTGGTAAAAGAATGCGGTGTCTTCGGTAAGAGAAAAAATATATATTACAACAGAATAAAAAATAGGTGCATTTATTGAGCATATCGTGGTCTTCAGTAACCGTCGAGTTTTGGAGAGAAACTGTGTTTGCTCTCCTATAGCCCCTCTCATGAAGCCCAAGCACGCGATCGCTTAGTTTTTATGCCATGAATAGCTGAGTGGTTGTATATAAAACTACTCTTTGCGTCCGATTCAGATGTTTGACAGACAACTTGAGAAGAAAGATCAAGAAATGCTTCTCAAGAATGTCTTCAAGATGTCATCCACGAAGCAACTGCCACAGTGAAAGGCTTCTGCAAAAGGATCTAGTCTTGAGAGACACATGAAGCTTTGGAAGGCATATATTTTCTCACTCTTGTCATGCGCAGGTGACGAAGGCTTTAAGAAAAAGGATGCATGTGTTACTCAAAAGAGAAATGAGGGAACCTTGCATTCTGTCCTCATCCATCCAAGTACCACCGACATGGCGGAGCATCAATACCAACAATTCCGAAAGGCTGGCATTATTGAGAGAGTTTGTGTCAGAATTGCTTCTACCTTTGCAAACAATGGCAGCTCGTCCTGCCATGTGAGTCTGCAAGACATTCGAGACGTGTTTCCAGATGCACAACGATTCAAACTGGAGGAACTTCCCATTCCATTCCTCATAGACCCTAATGGGAACAGGTGTGTTACTGATTATGCTGCGCTTTAACAATTATCTTTGGAATGTAAACGAAAAAACTCAATCTGGTATATTCTGTCTTCTTATCAGAGTCGAGCCACCATGCATTGCATTTTATCCTTACAAGATCCTGGATGTCATTACAGAAGCGCCACAGTTAGGCAACAGCAATAGCAGCAGCAGCAGCACTGAAGCTAGCAGTGCCAACACCAGCAGCACCAACACCAACACCAACACCAACACCAACACCAGCACAAATACCAACACCGACAATACCAACAGCAATAGCAACAGCAATCACAGTGCCGCCATCCACTTGCCTACATTCAGAAAGTCAGCAAAGTATGCTCGGGATACTCTTTCACCATTGTCAAACTTGATCCAATCTTTCAATTCACTCCTTACTACTCGCAACAATGCATATATCGAGGTGGTCAACTTTAACCTTGAGAAGGTTGCGGATTTGCTCTTGGAGGCCGAAGAGAAGGACGACAAGGTGGCTAACCTGCTTTTGGAAACCAAAGAGAAGGACAGCGAGATGTTTAAACTGCAAGAGAAGATGCTTAAACTGCAAGAGGAGATGCTTAAACTGCAAGAGGAGATACTTAAACTGCAATTGGAAGCTAAGGAGAAGAATGAAAAAATGCAGCATCAAAGCCTCGACAAACTTGCCTTGCTTCAACAGCATGTTGATGCTATTCTCACCCAGAATGCTGGACTTCACGAATGTCTATTTTCCCGACTATTTATCATTTTACCTGTCGACCACACCAAGTGGGACCCAATGAATGTCTTGAAGAACAAGCTCCGTGTTCATTTCCTATGTGAATGTGGAGACCACACTACAATGACAAGCAAGAGTAGTCAGAGTCAACTCCATATTGCCAATCATGATGGATACGAGATCCGAGACAGCGCGAGATTCTTCCGCAAGTATGGAAAGCACATATTCATCCTCTTGCAGTGGCTCAAGCTAGGAATGTCCTCGTCTACATCTCTGGCACTATCCCAAGATTCGATAGATGCCGGTATCGATTGTTCAATCGACTATATGGAAGCACTCTCTAAAGAGGACCCAACCTTGAACAGCATTACTACAATCGATGACTATGATGACCTGAACGGATCTGATTTTCAAAATATGAGGACAACCCTTCGAGTCAATGATGAAAGCAGGCAATTTGGGGATATGTACAGGATCATGACCGAAACAGGCCGCACCAAATGGGTTTGTCTCGACCACTGTCGCTCGATGTATGAAGAAAAAGAACAGAAGGCATTTATAAATGCAGTGAAAGTGAATAGTGGCAAATATAACTCGCATCTTGGTAAATTAACTATCACATTGGAGTCCAGAGAGAGAGCTAAAGAGCTCTTCGATGCACTAAGCAGTTCAATACGAGTTTACGAGTTGGATATCACATTTGACTGGGATTGGACTGAGATTGATCTTGAAGCATTTGAGAGTGCTTTGGCAGTGTCGAGTGTATCGAATCTTCGACTTGGACTTGCACGGACTCAAGGAAACACCGAGATAAAAGCACCTTCAACATCCGGGCGATATGAAAGACTTATTCGAATCATGGAGCTCAGTAATATGAAAACAATCCATATCGCTCTATCTCAGGATCTCATAAAGCTTCTCAGTTTACGGCCCAGAAGATCGTCACGCCTTCATAAGCTGACATATGAGATGAAGGCTCAATTGACTGGAACCATTGAATTACAAGGAGTTGTAAATTCACTCAAGACTAGCACGACATTGACGATTTTGAACTTGAGTAGCGGCTCAATCGGGGGTGAAGGGACTCTGGCGCTGTCAGGAGCGCTCAAGGCTAATACTAGTTTGACAACTTTGAACTTGAGCTACAACAGAATTGGAAAGGAAGGAGCTCTGGCATTGTCAGAGGCACTCAAGGTTAACACTAGTTTGACGACATTGGACTTGAGCTACAACAGAATTGGAAAGGAAGGAGCTCTGGCATTGTCAGAGGCGCTCAAGGCCAATGCAACTTTGGCGACGTTAAGCTTGAGTAGCAACTCGATTGGAAAGGAAGGAGCTCAGGCATTGTCAGAGGCACTCAAGGTTAACAATAATCTGTCGACTTTGAGCTTGGGTGACAACTCGATTGGAAAGGAAGGGGCTCTGGCACTGTCAGAGGTGCTCAAGGCCAATGCAACTTTGGCGACGCTAAGCTTGTGGGGCAACTCGATTGGAAAGGAAGGAGCTCTGGCATTGTCAGAGGCACTCAAGGTTAACACTAATTTGACGACTTTGAATTTGAATGCCAACTCAATTGGAAAGGAAGGAGCTCTGGCATTGTCAGAGGCGCTTAAGGTCAATGCAACTTTGACGGCTTTGGACTTGATGTTCAGCTCAATTGGGGATAAAGCAGCTCTGGCAATTTCAGAAGCACTCAAGGAAAACGCGGTTTTAACTCAATAAATAAGAGCGCCTTAAGCGTCAAATAAGGGACACTGATGTTGTTAGACACACTCAGGACTGTCTGGCCGACTTTGGATCGTTTTTGGGATACATGATTGATTGGTAGATGAAATAGTTCTAGAATAGTTAAAGAAAATAGTCTGGTTTAAATAAAAAGCTTGCTTGTAACAGCCAAGCAGCCATGACAGCGTTGGCTTTTAATCCTTTGATGCCAGCTCTTCCTCTTCTTGGAAGACCTCGCATGCCTATGTCGCTGAAAGCTCATTCTTTACAATAAGACTGCACGCTCATCAATATCGGTTCAGTGGAAGATTCGTAAACAGCTTTCTTCAATGCTACGCTACGTAAAGCATAGTTGCAAAATATAAAGACGGCAAAATTGTTCTCCCTTAGTACAAAGACTTCATTGTCGCTTGGCTGTTACAAGCAAGCTTTTTATTTAAACCAGACTATTTTCTTTAACTATTCCAGAACTATTTCAACTATCAATCAATCAAGTATCCCAAAAACGATCCAATGTTGACCAGTCAGTCCTGAGTATGTCTAACAGCATCGGTGTCCCTTATTTGACGCCTAAGGCGTTCTTACTTATTGAGTTAAAACCGTGTTTTCCTTGAGTGCTTCCGAAATTGCCAGATCTACTTCCTTTCCAATCGAGTCGACCGCCAAGCCCAAAACTGTCAAAGTTGCATTGACCTTAAGCGCCTCTGACAATGCCAGAGCTCCTTCCTTTCCAATTGAGTTGGCATTCAAATTCAAAGTCGTCAAATTAGTGTTAACCTTGAGTGCCTCTGACAATGCCAGAGCTCCTTCCTTTCCAATTGAGTTGGCATTCAAATTCAAAGTCGTCAAATTAGTGTTAACCTTGAGTGCCTCTGACAATGCCAGAGCTCCTTCCTTTCCAATCGAGTTGCCCCACAAGCTTAGCGTCGCCAAAGTTGCATTGGCCTTGAGCACCTCTGACAGTGCCAGAGCCCCTTCCTTTCCAATCGAGTTGTCACCCAAGTGCAAAGTCATCAAAGTTACATTGGCCTTGAGCGCCTCTGACAATGCCAGAGCTCCTTCCTTTCCAATCGAGTTGCCCCACAAGCTTAGCGTCGCCAAAGTTGCATTGGCCTTGAGCACCTCTGACAGTGCCAGAGCCCCTTCCTTTCCAATCGAGTTGTCACCCAAGCTCAAAGTCGACAGATTATTGTTAACCTTGAGTGCCTCTGACAATGCCTGAGCTCCTTCCTTTCCAATCGAGTTGCTACTCAAGCTTAACGTCGCCAAAGTTGCATTGGCCTTGAGCGCCTCTGACAATGCCAGAGCTCCTTCCTTTCCAATTCTGTTGTAGCTCAAGTCCAATGTCGTCAAACTAGTGTTAACCTTGAGTGCCTCTGACAATGCCAGAGCTCCTTCCTTTCCAATTCTGTTGTAGCTCAAGTTCAAAGTTGTCAAACTAGTATTAGCCTTGAGCGCTCCTGACAGCGCCAGAGTCCCTTCACCCCCGATTGAGCCGCTACTCAAGTTCAAAATCGTCAATGTCGTGCTAGTCTTGAGTGAATTTACAACTCCTTGTAATTCAATGGTTCCAGTCAATTGAGCCTTCATCTCATATGTCAGCTTATGAAGGCGTGACGATCTTCTGGGCCGTAAACTGAGAAGCTTTATGAGATCCTGAGATAGAGCGATATGGATTGTTTTCATATTACTGAGCTCCATGATTCGAATAAGTCTTTCATATCGCCCGGATGTTGAAGGTGCTTTTATCTCGGTGTTTCCTTGAGTCCGTGCAAGTCCAAGTCGAAGATTCGATACACTCGACACTGCCAAAGCACTCTCAAATGCTTCAAGATCAATCTCAGTCCAATCCCAGTCAAATGTGATATCCAACTCGTAAACTCGTATTGAACTGCTTAGTGCATCGAAGAGCTCTTTAGCTCTCTCTCTGGACTCCAATGTGATAGTTAATTTACCAAGATGCGAGTTATATTTGCCACTATTCACTTTCACTGCATTTATAAATGCCTTCTGTTCTTTTTCTTCATACATCGAGCGACAGTGGTCGAGACAAACCCATTTGGTGCGGCCTGTTTCGGTCATGATCCTGTACATATCCCCAAATTGCCTGCTTTCATCATTGACTCGAAGGGTTGTCCTCATATTTTGAAAATCAGATCCGTTCAGGTCATCATAGTCATCGATTGTAGTAATGCTGTTCAAGGTTGGGTCCTCTTTAGAGAGTGCTTCCATATAGTCGATTGAACAATCGATACCGGCATCTATCGAATCTTGGGATAGTGCCAGAGATGTAGACGAGGACATTCCTAGCTTGAGCCACTGCAAGAGGATGAATATGTGCTTTCCATACTTGCGGAAGAATCTCGCGCTGTCTCGGATCTCGTATCCATCATGATTGGCAATATGGAGTTGACTCTGACTACTCTTGCTTGTCATTGTAGTGTGGTCTCCACATTCACATAGGAAATGAACACGGAGCTTGTTCTTCAAGACATTCATTGGGTCCCACTTGGTGTGGTCGACAGGTAAAATGATAAATAGTCGGGAAAATAGACATTCGTGAAGTCCAGCATTCTGGGTGAGAATAGCATCAACATGCTGTTGAAGCAAGGCAAGTTTGTCGAGGCTTTGATGCTGCATTTTTTCATTCTTCTCCTTAGCTTCCAATTGCAGTTTAAGTATCTCCTCTTGCAGTTTAAGCATCTCCTCTTGCAGTTTAAGCATCTTCTCTTGCAGTTTAAACATCTCGCTGTCCTTCTCTTTGGTTTCCAAAAGCAGGTTAGCCACCTTGTCGTCCTTCTCTTCGGCCTCCAAGAGCAAATCCGCAACCTTCTCAAGGTTAAAGTTGACCACCTCGATATATGCATTGTTGCGAGTAGTAAGGAGTGAATTGAAAGATTGGATCAAGTTTGACAATGGTGAAAGAGTATCCCGAGCATACTTTGCTGACTTTCTGAATGTAGGCAAGTGGATGGCGGCACTGTGATTGCTGTTGCTATTGCTGTTGGTATTGTCGGTGTTGGTATTTGTGCTGGTGTTGGTGTTGGTGTTGGTGTTGGTGTTGGTGCTGCTGGTGTTGGCACTGCTAGCTTCAGTGCTGCTGCTGCTGCTATTGCTGTTGCCTAACTGTGGCGCTTCTGTAATGACATCCAGGATCTTGTAAGGATAAAATGCAATGCATGGTGGCTCGACTCTGATAAGAAGACAGAATATACCAGATTGAGTTTTTTCGTTTACATTCCAAAGATAATTGTTAAAGCGCAGCATAATCAGTAACACACCTGTTCCCATTAGGGTCTATGAGGAATGGAATGGGAAGTTCCTCCAGTTTGAATCGTTGTGCATCTGGAAACACGTCTCGAATGTCTTGCAGACTCACATGGCAGGACGAGCTGCCATTGTTTGCAAAGGTAGAAGCAATTCTGACACAAACTCTCTCAATAATGCCAGCCTTTCGGAATTGTTGGTATTGATGCTCCGCCATGTCGGTGGTACTTGGATGGATGAGGACAGAATGCAAGGTTCCCTCATTTCTCTTTTGAGTAACACATGCATCCTTTTTCTTAAAGCCTTCGTCACCTGCGCATGACAAGAGTGAGAAAATATATGCCTTCCAAAGCTTCATGTGTCTCTCAAGACTAGATCCTTTTGCAGAAGCCTTTCACTGTGGCAGTTGCTTCGTGGATGACATCTTGAAGACATTCTTGAGAAGCATTTCTTGATCTTTCTTCTCAAGTTGTCTGTCAAACATCTGAATCGGACGCAAAGAGTAGTTTTATATACAACCACTCAGCTATTCATGGCATAAAAACTAAGCGATCGCGTGCTTGGGCTTCATGAGAGGGGCTATAGGAGAGCAAACACAGTTTCTCTCCAAAACTCGACGGTTACTGAAGACCACGATATGCTCAATAAATGCACCTATTTTTTATTCTGTTGTAATATATATTTTTTCTCTTACCGAAGACACCGCATTCTTTTACCAAGCAGAATTTCTATGTGGTCTCGGTAGGCATTGCTTTACAATCCATATCGCTTCTTCAAGCCCTTTCGCTTCACAACAACCATGGTTGGATTTTTAGATGTTCTAGGTCTTTCGGTACTGATAGTTTATCTAATCAAGCTGAGAAAGTCCTGGTAAATCCTAACACCGTCCACGATTTTGTGTGTCCCAGGATAGCTGCCATCTCTTCACTGCTTGATAAGACACCCTTCAAATATAAACCCTTCAGACACGGAAATGCACATGAATGTTGAAGGAGCTCCGTTCTGCAGATACTGCCTTATTGTGCTCGCCGTTGGTCCTCCAGCTATGAGGATTGGGATGTAAGCTCTGCAACTTTAGACACTTTCGAGCTAGTATCCCCCGACAAGCGTCGTTGATTAAGGATCAAGAGGCCTGCGAGGTGATAAAGTCTTTGGCCATATGCAGAATAGAGTAAAGATACTTGTGCCGCTCAAAGACATTTGCTTCAACCTCATACAAAGCAGCAAGTACAGACCAGTTTCATTTATCGCACGCAAGGTGTTAATATAGGGACTCTCTCCAAAGCTCCAATCCCAAGGGTAACTATGAGTCTCGGTCATTGAAGGAACATTCAGTCTCTCGTATGGAGCTATGAAACTTGGTTAGATGAGTAAGCCCGATGAACAAACTTGATGGTGCTATGGTCTGTATGATCTGAAGAGTCGCGCCCTGGCAATGGTAGGCATCCGTCGAGATGGTATGATACTTCTTGGTACTTGATCAAAGAATATAATGATAAGAGCCACGGCAAAGCAATGTGGAAAACCTTACAGACACGTTGATAATTTCTGTAATATTTTTCGCCAACAAGAATGCTCATGTTTTCAGGTAATTGGACTAATTCAGAAATGGTCAATGGCTGAAGATGCATGTTGCGATGGAATTGTTGAAATGGAGGGGCCCATTCAATGACTTTAAGAAAAAAACGGCTGAACAAGGCTGAAGATGCTATTGATGAATGTAAATGTTTCAATTTGGTGGCACACTTGCCAAGACAAGACAAGACTTTGGACTCAAGAGCAAGAACAATAAGAGCTGCGTCTTCTTCATCATGAAAGACATCACCATTTAGCCATGGAAGTCTCAGGAAGAGGAGGAGTCGTTTGTTTGTTTGTTTGTTCCCCATCATGGATACCACAATGTTGACAAGTAGTCGTGAATAGAACGAATATGATGTGATGAATAAGAAAGAGTTGCCAGACTCTTCGCCTGCCTGCTGCTGAGAGCAGACAGCCCAGGGCGCACCACGAGGAGGTGGTCTGGTTGCGCGCCCCCCACCTGGTTCGCAGACTCAGAGGAGATCTACCTGGGTCCCGACAGGACAGACCCCCTCCGAGCTTCAACTCCACTCCCCGCATATCATGGGCTACTCGGCTAAAGTTGCACCAATCAATTTGTGGAAACATATTGAACTGTTGCTGCTTTGCGGTGAGGAGCCAAGAAAGAGAGGAAAGCGAGATCCTTTTATACGTTCTCAGAGGCATAGTGACTCGCTTTCTTTTCTTTTGTCACCAGCCTTCGACAGCATCGAGTGATTGTGGGACTTTTTTCTCATATGAAAAGATCTTTGCAATTTGGCATTTTTTCTTTTTTCTTTTATTTCGAAAACAGTCCTCTCTTGCGAATGGACCGTATTTAATTCTTCTTGATACTTTGATACTACTGGGATATCTAATAAGCTTTTATGTCTGTCTGCTCCATCTTCTGCTTTCCTTTCTATCTTGACAGTCTTGGACAATCTTTTTCTTCTTTCTTTCCTACCATGGTCTGTGCTCTCTTTCCATCCTAGTCTCCTAATAGAGTTTGTTTGTTTGTTTGTTTGTAAGGCTGCAAAGCGGAGTATATAAGAGCATTTACTGTTCCATGATGTTGATAGCAGAGTGGGGCTGCAACCTTAAAAAGTACGTTCCAAGAAAGACCTTATCTCTTTCATGCTATGTTTGATTGTCAGGATTGTCGCATAAAGTAGATAGTTTAACAGCGTGGGATATGTCTATCAGGCCTTTCACAAGCTCAAGGCAAAGGCAAGTGGACTGGACCATCGATAGCAACATATCTATATGACATTAATTCCACTTTGCTGTATCATCATTCTTATCCACAAGTGCTCATTGACTTTGTTGTTCATGATCCAATAAACATCCATCTAGACCATACTACATCTCTTTGACTTGCTTGACTTGCTTGACTTGCTCGAATTTGCTGTAATCCATGTCCATATCCAATGACTTCGCTGGAGTACAGGACTGTGTCTGTTTACTGTGTGTTGACCTATTTCATGGTGCTGGAAGTGCGCCACCAAACTGTAACATGTGCATCCCAAACAACGGCCTCTTGCGACTAATTTTTTTTTTTTTACTGGCAGTCAATGCATTCTTTTCTTTTTAAGATAGTGGCGATCTATCTTCTAGATAATAAAACAGTCGACTATACCGAAGTTTTGAACTCTTGTTCAGCCCTTTGACTGTTGCTGTCAGTCTCATTTTTTCTCAGTCTCTTCCTCTCTTCCTATCGTCCTCTATCTGTTGTCTTTGGTATGTATTTGACATATTATTCATCTAGTAGTTGATTTGAGTCGATAAGGTAACCTTGAATACAGATTTTAACTAATTGTCGAGTATGCTTGAAGACTTGTGTTGGTCATGGCATCTGCATTGCTTGAGCCCAATATAGGGATGAAGGCCATCCAAGAGACAGAGTAACTTTCTGAAGCTGGTTACAAATATGGATATAGAAAGTCTCAGCAAAGCAGGCCAAGCCTAGGCAAACATGATGGACTGTGGATAACCACTCATGACTCGTAATGAATGGCCAATAAAAATTAACAGCTCGAAAGGAGCTTTCTTAAGGCCGTCTGTGGCCAACTTTTTGTGTGTACAACTCTCTGTTAGGTACACCCTGTACGTATTCTTTTGACTTCACCATCCCTCCGCATGCGACCTTCCCCTTCTTCCTCTTTTACCCTTTCACATCCTTCTTTTATATACATTAGAAAGTACTTGTATATCCAGTAGTTTGCAGAATGATGTCCTCCATCGTAATAGACGTTACTGGCCAACAATATTATTTGGGATAGTTCTTTTTTCTATTGAATATCAATAGACTATAACGAAAAAAAAGGACATTGACAGATGTATAGCACTATGTATACCTCACCGAGGTGTCCTTTTGTCACCAATGGCCCTGAGGCTTTTTAATCTTTACTTGGAAGGCATTTGCAGGATGGGCAATGATCATGACCTCCTTACAGAACTATGTCTCGCTGTTGACTTTGCACTCCCTCGACTCCAGCGATCGGAGAGAAAGACTCTTATTACTTCAGCTTGCAATGGGGAAAAGGTGGTATGCCAGGGCATCACTTCGGGTTACAATGAAATTACTCGCTTATTTGGATGTCTGGGCCACCCAAACAATGCTGAGAAAAGCGATAAGAAATCAGAAAAGTGGGGAAGCAACACTGTCCGTCAAAAATCGTCACAGCGAAGTAACTTTACAGGTAATAACAATAGTAATGGCAGCGGCCAGGGTAATAATTACTACCAGAATAGCAACGGAGATTGCGTATTATATTCCAAGTGCCTCATACGATAGCACTGATCAGCATCATAAAGAGAGTATTTATGCCGATCTAGCGGAGTAAATATCCCAGTTCATGTAACAATAAATCTTTTACAATCAAATTGTATAAACGCGAGGGATTAATGTCCCAAGTGTCTAGCCTTGACCATACAAACATCCTGTAATAAAGTCCAGTATGGCTTAAGTAGATGAGAATACAGTGAATGATGAATGTTTACGAGTTATTAAATAGTACGAATACTCATTTGATGATATTTTAAAAAGTAATCAAAAGGAGAAGAAAAAAATACAAACATTATGGCATTTTATATAATGCAATGGTAGTTGAACTCACCGCACCAAAGCTTGATGTCCTTGCATGCAACTACCAAACCCTCAATCATCACTCTAGGCCTCTCCTTCCAGCGCAAACGAAGCATAATCGTGTGTATTTGTAGGCTCGCTCTCGGGGAAAAGGATAGCAATCCGTAGGAGAAATCAACAGTATCAAAGCAGGTTTTGAGCACGCACTAAGGCACACAAAGGAGGTGAATCTAACGGACTTTCTTTTGTAACGTTTTTTGCCCGTCTATTTTTTTATTTTACACATTTGTATATCATCGCTCGCTACAGCTCATTCATCATACTCAACAAGGGCTAAAGCACCGTTTTGTCCCAAGGCTACATCATGGACAACTACCTTACGTCCGTCTTGCTCCTGTGGCATGCGGACCTTACGTGGCTCAAAACAATGTTCAAAATCACCGTGCCCCAATCGTCCAGTCTTGCCACATGTGCCCCAAGTGTATAGACTCCCTTTGTCTAAAAAAGATATATTGTTATTTAGATAAGGATCTGACAATTCAAAAAAAAAAAAAAAAAAAAAAAAGCATTCCATCTCTCCCCTCGCATCCGCACTCTTTCCCTGCGCTTCCTCCCTTTCTCTCCCTCTTCCTCTTCCTCTTCCTCATGCCTTTATACATATATGCTTTCCATCCACCTGCTTTTCTGTATCTCTTACCATCGATTGCAGCTGCATAATCTGTACTGGCAACGACTCGACGAATCCCTGACAAGGCAGTAATTTGCTCAGGCATAAGGACATGAGTCTTGTCACGACCTAAGCCCAAGGCGCCATATCCGCATGTGTATACTTTTCCAGATTTGGTCAGCAACAAACCAAATGTACCACCTGCAGCAACGGCCTCAATCGTCTCTGACTCTGGAATAGGATGTGGAATATGCATTGGCTCGAGAATCTATTACACACAAAATATAATATAGAGGCATATATATGTATACAAGAAATGTAACTGATCCTCATTAGTTATCAAATCAAGCGAGATGTAAGCGTTACTCGGCATAGTTTTGAGTTTGGTGACATGGAAGGTAATTTTTTTTGTTACCCTATCAATCTTCTTATTAACCATGCATTGGCCATATTCGGCATTCCCCCAGATCCATAGTTGGTTGCTTTCTAGCAGCGCTAGAGTAAAATCTGTCGAAGACGATATTTGTTTGATACGCCCAACCTCCTTTCCTTTTGCTTTCCAACTCAATCGTTCGATCAACGTGGGAAGTGCACGATCAGAACTTGATTCTGGTCCCAAGCCTAATTGACCGTCTGCACCCCATCCCATTGAATACAGATTCCCTTGATCTAGTGGGCAAAAAAAAAAAAAAAAAAGACAAAAAAAAAAGTGCGATACATTTATTTAGTCAGATAACAATACAGATTCAAATTAGTGTCCTCAAAGAAATCTTCTTCCCACCTGTAAGGACGATTGTATGGTCTAATCCACATTGCACTTGGGTAATATTCTCGTTTGAGTCTGGTAAATCGACTGCAGTAGGTGATGGCTCAAATACAAATCCAGGAACTTCCTGCCCTCCTAGTTCTTTACCCAACGTGTCCTTTGATCCTCCTAATCCCAATTGCCCATACATTGAGTTTCCAAACCCAAACAAAATTGTTCTTTTGGGAAGTGTTGATGATGATGACGAGGATACTGGTGACTGTAAAGGTTCAGCCCCTGCAGGGTTGGCTGCACCAACACCCTTTTCGCCATCGCTGCTGCTTTTGCTATCATTAAAATCCTGTGCTGTTGCGAGCAACATGGAATGTTCACGCCCACATGCGACCGCCAGGATATCTAAACCAGACACGTCGATAGCGCTGAATGTACTCTCCTCATTCCGAGCTCCGTTACCGAGTTGTCCGCTATGGTTCATACCCCCGCCCAAGATCCCTGCCTCGCCCTCACCCATCAATGCGATCAGACGATGTGATGCTCCAGCTGCTATCCGTGTTTGATAAGGACCCTAAGATCAAGGGGAAAAAAAATGTTTATTTTTAAGGAAATTGATATAATAAGTATGTAATGAACATTTCTCTTACCCGCGCGGAAATAGAATCACTATCAAAGACGTTCATTTCCTTTGAACCGTAGCCCCATTCAATCACTGCGGCTCTAGATAACCAAGAAGAACTATGGAACTGGTTACTGCTGCTACTACTTCTGTTGGTATAGCGGAGAGAAGAAATGGCACATTTAGACAAGGCTCCTCGCTGAGCTATGCGGCGGGTTAATGAAAAGGCAAGGGTCATTAGGAAAAAAAAAAAGAAAAAAAAAAAAGAAAAGACGACGGATGCAATGAAAGGAGGGATAACAATGAAATGAGGTGTGAAGACGAAGAACCGGTACAGTGCTACGAGACTGTGACTGCACTTTTAATTAGATCAGAGTGCCAGAACGCGCGACCTCTTGGGCTTTTGACAAGCCCAATTACAATAACAAAAAAGCAAAAAGGTGGCATTTGATCAAGTCCACCATTGCATTGCATTGCATTGCATATTTTTTTTTTTTTTTTTTTTTTTTTTTTTTAATTTTTTTTATTCAAGAATTTTATATGATTGCTATTTTTGCACTTCAAGGAAAATATATTTAAGCAAAAACTCTTCATATGGCTCCGACATTGTCGTCGTCTGTGGGGAACCGCTCCACAAGGCAGTCATCGCTCACGGCTTATTTACAACAAGATCTACAGGCAAGAACAGAGACACGAGAAAATGTCGCCCCCTCGCCAACCTATGAACCAGCCCCAGACACAATCATCCCTCAAGACATGGAGATAAATAATAATAACAATAATAGCAGTAATAACAATACCAGTGATTATACCGATCTGGCACAGGCATCAATATCAGATAATACAAAGGAAATGAATACACATGAATCCGAGCTGGAGATATCATTACCGACACTAAATTCAAATCAGGCAGCAGAAACAGCTCCGATTCCTGCTCCAGAAACAGCAGCATCAGCAGCAACAGCAGAAGATGCACCTAAGCAAGTTTTTTCATTGTTCCTCACACCAGAACAACGGAAAAAAAAGCTGGAGGCGGATGCAGCAATAGCATCAACAACAGCACTAACTACTGCTACTAGTACCGCTGCACCCAAACGGGGTAGGAAAGCAAAGAGCAAAGGTCCTGCTAATAATGCACTGTTATTGTCTTCCTCTAATATCAACAATGACAATAACAACATTTCAACGTCTGTGGATATTTCGAAGCCACCGCATTCCAAATCAATTGTCGATCCCAATATGTCAAAGTCAGGGGAAACCCACAAGTTCTTCCAGGAAGCCAAAGCATCAAAATTGCTCGCCATGGAAACAGCGGCAGCAGCAGCAATGGAAGGAGGAGTAAACGAATCAGAATCAAAGGAGCAACGGAATGTTAAGCGATACAGCTCGAAGCCTTTAGAATCACCCTTCCCACTTCAACATCAACAATTTCATGGAGAGGAAACTATTGATGTCATCAATGGCATGGTTGCTAAACTATGTCACCTTGATACTTCTGGTTCATCGTCATCGCCGTTTCCTATGCCAAATTCGTCTTTTTCATATCGCAAAAGAACCGATGACAACGTCAACAACAACGATAACGACAATGACAACAAAAACAACAACAGTAGTAATGCTCCTTTTGGATGGTACTCTTTACGAGGGTCGCCTGATCTGGGCATCACTGCACCTAATTACAAACTTAAACCTCGAGGAAGGGATTGTTGGACACATTGGGGTAAAGATCGAGATCAAAAATGGCGGGAATGGTCTGAAAGGAGTTACCGGTTACAACGACCTACAGAAAAAGAAAGACAGCAGTTACTCAATCCCAAAAAAAGCAACAAAAACAACAGTAACGCCACCAGCAGCAACAGTAAATATGTCCATGAATCAGATCATGCTGAGGAGTTCGAGTCTTGTCAAAGGCTTTCAGAGGATGGACCACTTTGGCAACAAACCTGGGCAGAAACATTATTACAAGGCGCTGGTCTGAAACCAGGGTCAGCAGAGGTACCCATAGACATGAGGGTAGGCGAATTATGGACAGAAAAATATCGACCAACTCGAGGGTCCGAAGTTTTGGATAATAGGGCTTGTACTGAATATCTGACTCAATGGCTTAAGGGACTGGAAGTTTCAGGTTGGACATTGAACCCTGAAGAGAATTCTGCAAATGAATCAGTATCGACAATAGCATCAGCAGGACCATCATCACCATCAATCTCATCATCATCAGTAGCATCAGTACCAGTGAATCGAAAAATATTGGATATTATGGGAGCAGCAAAGAAACGTCGGAAACGTCCTAGACGGAAAGGGGCCGCTGATCTGGATGATTTCATTATCTATGACGATGCGGATGATTTTGAAGATCCATATGGTTATGAGAGTGAGGAAGAGGATGGGTTCTTTGCAAACCCCAAGCCCTTGTCAAGTTTCTCACGGTTAGTTCACGATGGAGTTGAAATGAAGGGCAACACAAATAGATCAAGAAGGACTTTACCAAAAGTATTTGATATCAAGTCCAATACAATATTGATTAGTGGCCCAACAGGAAGTTGCAAGACAGCTGCTATATACGCATGTGCAGAAGAAAGTGGATATGAGGTTTTTGAGGTGTCACCAGGGATGAGAAGGACAGGAAGAGATGTTTTAGGTGTGGTTGGAGAAATGGCCGAGAATCATCATGTGCGTGTAGTTGGAGCAGCAGCAATAGTGAGAACAGAGACTAAAGATGAGGCCGTCCGTCCAATGAGCGGAAAGGCCCAAGATTCTAATAATGCTGCTGCGTCTACAGCAGTAGCACCACCCAAAATGACCATTCAGTCCTTTTTTCAACAAAGTCAAAAAAATCAACAAGCAAAGAAAAAGGAAGAGGAGGAAGAAGAGGAAGAGGAACCTCTAATTGACGAAGATGAAGTAATGGGTGAAGCTTCAGATATCGATGTGGAAGGATATGAGAGTAATGACTCAGCGATGACCTCAACAGCAGCAGCAGCAGAGATTGAATCTTATGATACCAGGCAATTGAGATCATCGAGGTTACGAAAAGTGTCTCCTGCTACTACTACAGGGTCTGAAGGGATAGGATCGCCTATGAACCAAGAGGATACGCTATCAGATCTGTACTCTCTTTTATCAACCGTCAACCCTCGACAATCTATTATCCTTTTAGAAGAAGTTGATATTCTATTTGAAGATGACAAGGGATTCTGGGCGAGTGTCGTAACTTTGCTTTCAAAGAGTAGGCGGCCTGTTATCATGACCTGCAATGGTAAGGATAGGCGTCTATTAGCGGCACGAATAGATTTTTTTTTTTTTAATTCCTGATGTGCCTTCTGCCTTGAGATATTTGTCCCTTAAATCTACTTTGATCCTTCTCTCTCAGATACGTCAAAGATACCTGAAGGAACCTTTCGTTTCCAGGAACATCTTGAATTCAATCGACCAAGTTTACGCGAGCTTCATCAGTATTTAACACGTGTCTGCAAGATCGAGGGATATATCTGTTCGTCTGAATACATTTTGAGCATTATTCAACATTATCGACATGATGTTAGGAGATGCTTGATGCAACTGCAGTACGATTCTGGTATTGCAAAGAGTAAGCCTACATTGTGGAGTAGTAATCACAGCTTCAACAACAGTATCAGCAACAACAACAATTATCATAGTAGTAGTTCATCTCCATCTGGTCGTAGTTCATCTAGTAGCCCCAGCATGAGCCCGAGCCCAAGTTCGAGCCGGAGCTTCTCACCCATCTCGGAAAAATCTAGCTTTCTTAAAGATGCCAATGATAGTAACAGCAACAATAATGGTAAAAAACCTATTCAGAGCCTCTCAGGATCTCCAATGCGTAGAAAGCCTCAGCGTTTGTTGAGGATTAGTGCCAAGGGGATCATACCAGCTTCTGCACCGGGCATCTCTGTGGATAAAAATATCTCGAGCACTATGAGTCCCGACAACAATCAAGTGCTGTCGTTGTTGGAATTACAAGCCGAATATGCTGAATCGATGTCTCTTTATGATTCCGAGTTGCGGATGACAAGTGGGCGTGCTATTCAGGTAAAATAAGAAAAAGCAAGCATCTTTGAGAAATTGCAAATCTGTAGGAAATGGCATGTTTTGCCTAGCATGGAAGGAAAGTATGCTAAACTTTATTTATTTCCATTTTTTTTTTTTCTCCACATCTTAGTGTTACGAAAACGATCAGTTTGAGGCTAGTCGAGATGACGTTGTTCACGTAGGACAAAATTTCGCCATCTATAAGCGGCCATCGGGGGCAGATCATTTACTGTTGGATCAAGAAATGGCCAGTCTTGTTGAAGAGGGTTATGAATCGCAATACGTGCACCGAGCCAACGAATATGGAATGATGTATCCACACGTATTTGAAGATGCTACCAAGAGGGATGATCCCAATCGATCTGTTGCCAATAGTTTTGTTGCGTTGAATGGGGATATGTCTAGGTAAAGAAAAGGGTCTCTTTCTCTTTAAGGATTATTTTCTCTTTCCTTTATTTATTGCTAATTCTATATTTGTACTTAAAAAAAAAAAAATAGAAATCTGGAATGCATGCAACCAGCACTAGAACAGACTCTGTCGTTACATGGGCTACGATTTAATTTGGACGTGACCTTCTCGACATATGCACCTTTATTACGGTCGATGATTCATGCAGAATCGATCAATACAGCGGTCCCTTCGGGCAAACGCGCCATGCGAAGTGGAGGTCATTTGAGAAGACATTTAGATATGCTTTCAGACAATGAGCGGACTTTGATGCTCTCGACTTCATTCCCGATGTTATTGCCACATCAACGGATTTGATTCATCTTTAACAAAAAAAGAAAAAGAAAAGAAAAAGAAAAAGAAAAAAATCCTTTCATTTCCCTAGGAATTGTACTATAAAAATATAACCCATAAAATTTGTATTTAAATAGAAAAATATTATTACTCTTATATTCTTTTTTTATTTTTATGGATAATCTTTTTTTTTTTTTTTTTTTTTTTTTACTTCTTTGGTGGGTAGAGTATCTTGACAGCATCTTTGGAATAGACATATGATGCACCACTCCAAAAAGTAGTTGCCGCGCATGTGTATCTATTATTAAAAATAAAAATAAAATAAAATAAATAAACGGTATAAAGAATTAAATATATGGAGTATTGCCATAATATCACTATTCATTATTTCTTTATCATGATTTTTTTTTTTGCTTACCCCAAATATTCCAACCCTACATGCCCAGTAAAATCAAAGACGGGAGCCAAGAGGGACAACCAGATATAGGCCATCTGGATCACCGTGTTGACTTTACTGATCATGGTCGGATGAACTTCTGCAGAAGGGATGGAGAAATCCCAATAGCGTCTCATGGTCTTGGGTTCAGGTAAAGAAATATAACGATAATAGAAGCTAGCCAAGACCAAGCCCGCGTCTCGACCCAAGATGATGCCTGCAATCGGAATAGGAATCAATTCTTGGACTGCCAAGGTCACGGTCAAGATGGTCATCAATGTCTTGTCCGCCATAGGGTCCAATATCGTCCCAACAATACTTTGCATCTTGTACCGACGAGCGATCCAGCCATCCAGCTGAGTAAATATATAAGTTGTTGGAGATAGAGATAGGGATAGAGAGAATATAGACATATAAGATCAGACCAAGACGTGCTACGGTGTGTATATTTTCCTTGCAATAAATAAAGACGGGAGGGGAAAAAAAAAAAAAAAAAAAAAAAAAAAAAACCTACGCCATCAGTGAGACTGGCAACACCAAAAAGGATGGCAGCATTGGTATAATCTCCTTGCAAGACCCAGTATCCGATCAAGGGAGCAGAAAGCAACCGTGTAAATGTTAAGAAGTTGGGTAACGTGTAAATGTTTTCATGAAGTAATAGACCCTTTTATTAAAAATAAATTAAAATAAGGTTTATTAGTGGATCACCATGACAACAGAGAGGAAAAAAAAAAAAGCGAAAAGCGAAAAGCGAAAAGCGAAAAGATACCTTTGCGAGTCCTTTTCCTTTTAATAATGATTGACCCTTGTTATCCTTATTACTTGATGCTCCTTGGTCTTTATTGCTGTCGCTGGTATTATTATTATTATTACTAATATTATTATTACTATTATTGTTATGGACACTAGTTGAAAACATCATTCTATGTTGATTGATCCAGTTCTTTTGTCCTGCATGTAAAGATATCCTAAAAAATATTAGATCTAATGCATTAATATAGAATAAAAAAGAACTGAACATTTTTTTCTTGCTTCCTATCAAACCCTAATATTAAATTCACCTCGGCCATGATGGTGATGATGATAATTCTAGAGCACCTTCATATCTTGAGAAACACGTCTGTCTTCTGAATTTGATGATTCGAATTAAATTAAACAAAGCAAATAGTAGTCGTAAGTAATAAAGGATAATAGCGATATCATTTTTTTCATGACTGGAAAGAAGAACAAGGCATGTTATATCCTTATCCTTACGAATGGTGTAGACATTTAGATTGAATAAGAGTTGATCGTGGTATGAGTCTAGGAGTGCCGACAAAGAGATGCATGATTCGAATCTGGGTCTGACAGACAATGAACGGTTGACTAGAGTGAAGAGAATGAAGAGAATGAAGAGAATGGAGCCTTTGGACAAGGCTCCATGAGGATTTGCACGCCATGGAGTAAAAAAGAATGGAGAGAAAAGAAGCACAGCACAGGTCCTTCGGAGACTCTATCAAGGGTTCAATTGAGGTTTAATGTTTTCGAGTGCATTGTCGCGGCAATGCGAGGCAACCAAAAAATACGTCACATTGTGACAATCACGTGGCTATATCACAACAATTCATGCTCAAGGTTTTTTCATGGCTAGTCAGAACCCTCAGGCATTGGTGAAGCCTTCAACTGGGGGTTGTAAAGTCTAGATGTGCAAATAGTCAGTGAGAAACATTCAGCCTTTTAATTATCATACAGACTACGCTTAAATAGTGGGTGCAACTAGCTAGATCAACTATGCGATGTAAAAACACCCAGAGGGTTGTCCAGACCATTGGACCGGCAGCAAATATCCTTCAAGGTCCTGTCCAAGGGAATGGGTGTTTGGACTTGACGAGCAAATACAAGCAGTGCAACTTGAACATTTAATGTAAAATAAAAGAAAGTTAGCATTCTAAAAAACAAAACAATGGTAATAATAATGACAGTAATAATAATTAAAAATTACCTCCCCGAAATTGGTTGATAGTCCAAGCGATGGAATGTTTCTGCTGTAGTCATTGTTCGACACTACACCAAGTAGTGTGAGTTTGTTCCTGTAAATTCCTAGGGCCTTTAGCACTATGTACCACTTGGGAGTGCACCTCAGGAGCGCTTCCATTTTTATTCATAAGGTCAGAACATTGTGTGATGATCATGACGGGACCTTAATAAAAGACTTCCGCCTGGCAGCAATAATAAAAGCAGCTTTTGATCTCCTTGACTTTCAAGCAATTAAGCACGCCTTGAATGCCATAGGCAAGGGATCGCCCCTCCTGAGGTGACAGTTCCAGGCATACAATCATTCAGTTTCTGTTTGTCTAATAATTTGCAAAGTCCCCTCGCTTCCTCCAACAGAACGTTCTTGTCGATGGTCATGAAGTGCTGTTTACGCACCCGTTGCTTGCCCGTATGTCAACCTGATATACATTCAAGTCGAGAGGCCGAGTAGATCCATATCGGACAATGGGGCCGTATCCTTTTTTAGTAAGAAAAGGCCAGAGGCCCTCAACCTCTATGTTGATAATGAGAGGCTAATGATATGTGGTAAGAGGATTGTGATTATACTGAGTGAAAAGAACGGATGGGGGCGGAAGAACGGCTTTCATTTATATGTCTTTTTTTTTTTTTTTTTTTTTTTTTTTTTTTTTTTGGCGCACCATTGATCAAACAAACCAAACAAAACAACAAACAGTCTTTATCTGTTACATGCGGAAGATCTGTCGATGTTTTTTTGATACATGTGTCTTGCATTCTCTAAGGGAAATTTGCTGTTACACCAACTTAAAAAAAACTGCCTTACTACACGGTAAAGCCTACACGTATCATACAATATCATTTAAATAAAAGGTGAAGGTTTCTGGCTCCAGCATAGTTTTTTATTCTCCTCTTTCAAAAATAAAAAAAATGCGCCGATGCAGTGTCTCTCTCATTGTCAGGGCATATAAACACACTTCAATGGCCTGGTGCATGTACACAACACAACACTCAAAGAAAACAATTTTTCCTGTCTTTACTTTCCTGAATAAGGCAATCCTTGATTCCCATTGTTACATTTGCAACAAGCGTTGTTTCGTCCCCAATTTTACAAAAAAAAAAAAAAAAACGCCACGGTACAATGTTTGCATGATGGCATGTGCAGAATACAAAGGAGTACCTCTATAATTTGATGAGTGACCTCTTCTGTGAACGGATATTTTTTCGCCATTGGCGAACCAATAGCTTGTTGTCCTTTACCTCAACCGGTGGAATCCCTACATCTTCCCAACCTTCATTTCGACTCATTAGAAAGAGTCGGGAAAGAACTCTCAGAAAAAGGAAAAGCAAAAAAGAAAAAGTCGTACTGGAAGTACTTTCTTTGCAATTTCCTGACTTCTCTTTGTCAAATGACATTTGACATTTGACATGTACTGAACGGCTATCTTTCATCCAAGAGTACTCTGCATTCTTGTCTATCAGCTGAAGATAGAGAGGTCACTGTTGGTAAAGCTCTGGTTATCTCAAGGATAGAATACTTTGTATGCACATGTATCCGGCATAGAGTGTTCATGACGAACCCAATGTCAAATGTACTAATCCAATGCTAGTCTCGTGTATACCCAGCCAGTGCAGGTCTAAAACATAATCGATGCCACGAATAATTTTAGACAGCCTCTCAAATAGAGCTTTTTGACTGTCTTCTTTATGGCGATCACAGGTAGCGAGAGCTGAAGGAAAAGAAAAAAAAAAAGAGAGCGAAAAGAGGCCTAGTTATCAAGACAGAACAACAATGAAATGATGGACGCGTGGAAGGACTTGGTCCACTTTGCGTTTAACACGAGAACACAACAGATCTACAGAATGTAGTTCGCAAGTAAATCAGTCAAGATCAGGGTAAACGAAAAATTAATGTGACGTGGCTCAAAATTTAATATGCATTCTACATGTTTGATTGCTTATTTTAGCTTTAAGGAGGATGGGTCATCATTCTTCATCCTTCTTTGCTCTTTATTACATCACTCTCTCTTGCACGCATCGCATCGTCAAGAGTAGTATATATTTATATATATTATTAAATATATATCTCAAGGGCAGTTTAACGATCAGTTTCAGGACACAAAAAAGGGATTCAGGTCCAGCATCGAATCATCGCATCGCATCGAAGAGAACTGAAGTTAATTTAAACAATGAACCCTTATGAGAACCAGGGTGGAGGATTCACCCAGCCTCAATCAAGACATAATCAATATCAACCACAACAACAGCAACAAGGATCTTACTATTCACCCAACAAGTATAATCCTAATGCCTATCAACCTGCACCTCCACAGCAACAACATCAACAGTATCCTCATCAGCAACAACAACAGTATCAACAGAGAAGCCACGTGTCATCTCCTCCTCCTCTTCAACATCCTGTTCCTACACATCCTCCAGTTCAGATGAGAGATGCTGCCCCTACACCATCTCCAAGGATGCCTTATGCGCAAGCACAACAGCAACAGCAAGGGGGAGGAGTAGGAGTAGGAGGTCAACCCTATCAACAGAATCAATATAGACCTCAACAGCGATCTAGTTTTGAACATCAACATCAACAGTCAGGAGGAGGATATGGAGGATCACCTCGGGCTCAATACATGTCTCCTCAACAGCATCATCAACAGCCGCAACATCACCTTCAGCAACACCAGCAGCACCATCATCATCACCAGCACCAGCAACAACAACAACATGCGTCTGGTATTCCTTCGTTTCCATTCAACCTGAACGATGGCACCACACAGTTGGGTATGCAGTTTGGAAAATCCGCTGTGATGGCTGGACAGGAATATGTTGAACAAAATGTACGGTGGCTGGAAAACATTGTCTTTTTTTTTTTTTTTCTTAGACAACGTGGACAATGTGTCAAAAAACAGGAGACAAACAGAAAAAACCTAATCATATCCTTATTACTACCATTGTTACTATTACTATTTTTGCTAGCTCAATCGGTGGGTCAATCGTGCAGCATTACAGCCCTACTTCAATGTCAGCAACCAGTACGTTGTCAGCAAACTCAAGTTGCTCATCTTCCCTTGGCGTCATAAGGTATATTTAACATCTATACACATATACGTTATATCCCTTTACTTTTTTGCTTTTTCTTTTTTCTTTTAAAAAAATATAGCAAAGAAGAGCTTCTCATACTTTTTTTTTTTTTTTTTTTTTTTTTTCTTCAGCTTTGGACTCGTTTATTAAAACGCTCAGAGACAACAGGAGAGACCATTGGATATTTGTCTCCTCGGGATGATATCAATGCTCCTGATATGTACATTCCTGTCATGGCCTTTGTTACCTACGTGCTTCTCATTGGTATCTCAATGGGTGCTGATAACAAGTAAGCAATGTTATTACACTACTAGTCATAGCTATCATGAATCCTTACCTTTTATTTATTGATTTATTTACCTTTCTCTCTTTTTTTTTCTCAAACATCTAGATTCAGTCCAGAGATCTTGGGACCTACGGCATCATCAGCCTTGGCTGTTATCTTGCTCGAGTTTACGATGATCAAACTGGTCATTTATTTGTTGAATATCACGAGTGAAGTTCCTATCTTGGATTTGTTGGCCTATTCTGGTTACAAGTTTGTTGGGTAAAGTATTTTTATTATCAATCATAACAATCTCTTCTTCTATCTCTCTTTTAAATAGTGGTTCTAATTTTTTTTTTTTCCTCCTCGACATAGAATCATTGTATCCATAATTGCGCAATTGGCCAAGGCACCAAGATCAGTCTTCTGGGCCGTGTTTTTGTACACTGGCGCAGCAACTGGATTCTTTTTGGTATGTAGTTTTTTTCTTATTTTTTGAAAAAAAAAAAACCTAGAAGCGAATATTAACATGTTAACTTTTTTTTTTTTTTTTTTTTTTTGCACAAAAACATAGTTACGATCATTAAGATATGTCATCTTACCCGAGTCATCCACAGGCACAGTCTTGGCTCCTCAGCGGAAGCGCAGGATCCACTTCTTGATCTGTCTATCGATCTTACAGTTTGGTTTTATGTGGATCTTGGTCTAAACAAAAAAAAAAAAAAAAAAAAAAAAAAAAAAAAAGCAGGAGAAAAGGAAGGAAAGAAAAGACAAAAAGTCTTGGATTTAACGCTGGAATTTTTTTTACAATAAAAAATAAAAGTAAAAAAAAGGACTGTAGCTCGTGATTGTAGAACTGCCCTTTTGTTAATTCAGTTATAGTGGCCTCAGAAAGCATGTAAGTATTAATCATACAAGGACAGAAGCTAGCATTTTGGCTGGCTATCAGCAGTTGTCATCCTTAACTAGGGTTTAGAAGGTTGTAACTTAATCTACTTGATCTATGTTATGCTATGGAACAAATCAAAGGATGCTCATTTGAATAGCACTTCTTCTTAGAGATTCCTGTCCATCACTCTTCGACAATGGACAATTTAGACGAATGGCGTTTATTATAAAATAAATTAAGGATGATAGTATAGGGTATTTTACTCCTCTCCTCTTGATGCTGATCAATACTGTCATGAGTGCTGCTTAGAATAAAATATGCAACGTTACGTTCGTTACACTCATTACATTATTCCTCTCTGGGCTCTAATGTCATAGGTGTTGCTATCCTAGTCTCATCGCTTTCTTTTTGGAAGATCGCTCCCTGTTGTTCTAAAAGCTTTCTATTCGCTTCACCCAAATCGTAAACACCTAGAAACCTTGCATTGTCAGCATTAAGTGTTGGTTGCCTTGTGCTCCATCTCAGACGGTTGTGGTGCTGACCGTCCTCTTCTCCGGTGATCTGCCACATCCGAATAGCACCATCATCGTATCCTGTCGCCAGGAAATGTTCTTTTCCTGAAACATTCCATACAAGGGCTTCAACAATCCCACTTTTAAATGGGATGATGGCCAAGCACCTAGCCGAAATTAGATCCCATACTCGGACAGTTTTGTCATGACTGGCTGAAGCGATGTATTTGCTGTCAGCTGAATAACAAATAGCAGCTATACGCCCAGTATGTCCTTCAAGTGTTTGTAACTCGACCCTTGATTCAGTATCCACTATGGTAATTGGTCCGTTCACACTGCCAATAACTATCATCCGACCCGATGGTGAAAATGCGATTTCCCTTCGGGATCCATCCATAGTTTTTTCATAGTAGAGCTCCCCTGTTTCTGTGCTGAGCACCTGCAGCTTTTTATAGTCCTGCAAATACGCAAGCTTATGGCTGTCAGGCGAATAAATCAAGTGACGGTCGTCTAACCTTATATCCCTTAATTCATATAAGACGTCTCCTGAATGCGTTGCCCATACCCTAATCCTGGTTCCATCATAAGAAACAATCTGACGGCCATTAGGTGAGAACAGCACACACCGTACGCCACTGCCGCTGCCATCCGCTTGTAGAGTGCGTATGAGTTTTCCTGTTTGCGTGCTCCACAGGCTCACAGTCCCATTATCATAACCACAGACAATTTGATAGTCAATGGACGAAAAATCATAAGCACAGATGTCATGGTTTTGATCTGGTAGCTCCAAAGGTTGAGTGGCTTGGCGAAAATGGGTGTCCCAATGATGAATATGTCTACCACTGGGATGAAAGGCAAGAAGCCGACCATCATGCGAATACTTGGCGCTATCTGTTTCGACTTGTAAAATATAAATGAACTGTCCTGTCTGTCTGTCCCAAACGCGTACTGACCCGTTCCTGCTGCATGAGACCAAGTGCTGTCCATCTGGTGAGATCCTTACTTGGGTGATTCTCCCCGTATGGCTGTATGAATCATGGCTAGACTGCTGTGCTTGTGTATCCCACAGATGTATCACCCCATCTTTGCTGAACAACGCAATCTGGTTGTTGTTGGGTGAATATGCCATACATTGTATGGTCTTAAAGTGTCCATAAAACGTATTAGATAGTTCCTCGGACCACGTATCCCAAAGCTGCACCACGTTCTTATCGCCAATGACTATTTGTTTCCCATTTGGCGAGTATTTTAGATCCTGAATCAAAGAGAAGTTCCCTGGAAGAGCATGGTGCTCCTTCGTCTGCATATTCCACTGAAGTGCTTCACTATTGCCAAATGAAGTAGAAAATTTTCCGTCAGGAGAATATTGAACGCCTTTGACAGAGAACTCATGATCCATGGTCCACTTCTTCTGACCAGTTCTAGCGCTCCACACTTCCATTGAACGAGCATTGCGACTACGAGTGATGATTTCCTGGCTGTCAGGCGAATATACGATTTGCTCAATATGTGACGACGGGACTTGAAGCTTCAGTATCGGTCCCCTTGATGCTGCGTTCCGGAGCTGTACCACCTTATCTTCGCCTGCACTTGCAATCTGCCTGCCATCAGGTGAATATACTACAATTGTCGCTCCTCCAGTGTGCTCTCCGAGTGCGTGTTGGACTATACCATGCTCGGTATCCCACACATATACTGATCCGTCCTTGCAAGCTGAGGCGAGGTGACCACCACTCAGTGAGTATACTACATCATTAATAATATCTGTATGGCCCTCCAAACTACGAACCAATTCGCCCGAGGCTACATCAAACACCTGGATTACGCGTTTGTCACACCAGGTGACGATTTGTTGACTGCCTGTAGAGTAGATAAAGTTGCATTTCCCCTCATTTCCCCTCAGGATCTTCCGCTTCCATTCCGATGTATCATAGATACTAATATAACTCGTACTGGCGCCCTGGTTGTAAACAGCCACAGTTAAGGTCTTGCCATCAGGCGAATATAGCCCCTTATATATGCATCCCGCTTCGTGAAGGAGTGGCCATTCACCAAACTGTACTCCTAACATATTTGCTCCACTCAAGTCAGCTTCACGAAGCCAACAGTTGCGGAAGTTGACCTTCCTCAAATCTGCTCCCTGTAGCTGAGCAGATTCGAATATACCGTGACTCAGATCGGCTCTCGGGACCCGGATGCCTCGCAAATCTGCTTCGGCGAATGACTCTCCTGATCGAACCAAGATTGTTATTGCATTGGCTGCTGCTATCCGCCACTTTTTATCGCTCTTCGAGAGCTCAAAATACTCGTACAGCTGCTGCTTGAACTCTGCTTCCAGTCGGACACGGTCTTCCAGGAACTGAAGAATAGATGGCTCATTTACAAAACTTTTCTTTACCAAAGGTGAGTTCCCATCTGGCTTGAAAGAATCATCTTCATGGTCAAACACGTTGCTCTCTTCTTCTTCAAAACTAAATTCAGAGCTGATACTCTGTCGGCGGTTATTCGACATCGCTGATGCTTCTCTACCACTTACAGGCGCATTCATCTTTTTCCGTGGCTCAAATATCGCTCGCACCACAAAGTACTCCAGGATAGACCGATGAACAAACTGATACTTGCTGCCTGTACGGCTCAGAGGCGATGCTTCTCGCAGAAGGTGCGCCCCACTTTCTCTGCTAAAGTCGCTAAAGAACTTTTCCTTCCATGAGCCCTTGTCCCTCGCTGGAGAGTAGTCCACCACTAGATTGCCATCGTGACATTCGTAGATTGCCACAGCCAGCTCTGTCAAGTATCTGATCCCACTCTGTACGAAATCCCCATCACATAACATTCGAAATGTCTTATCATATGCCATAGTCTCGAGTAGTCGCCTCTTGCCTCGTTCGAGCCACAGCTCAACAAACTTATCGTACAGCGTAATGCGCTTGATCTGCGTTGCAAAGATTCCTTGAGGCGAACCCACCATTTGTGGCAGTACTTCCAGCGAAAGAGACAGCAAGAGCGGGTTCTTCACAAGATCTCGTAAACTTAGAACTTTCCTGAATGCACTCTGGTAGTCCTTCTTACTCCACACTAGACCCATGCCAGCAACGTATTGCTCGATGTAGTCGTCAATCTGTTCCTCAGAGAATGGTAAAATCACAGCTTCTTGAAATTCAGCATCTGCTTGGTGATTGCGGCCCATAGGCTGGAAGTGATCGCGATAGTCTACTCCAAGGCACTCACTGCGACAGCTGATTACCATCTGACACCTCCACTCGCCACGCTGGTTGAGGTGGTTAGTGACATACAGATTATTAGTCTGAATGACCTCATCGTAACCATCGCAGATCAAGATGAACGACCGTGTTTTCTTCAGCTCTTTGATCTGAGCCTCCGTAAAATCGTAAATCCGAAGCTGCTTTGCGACCATGTCCTTGGCAGGGTCTTTAATGGATGGCAAATTGATAAACAATGGAATCCGGCCATGCTTCTTTTGATATTCGTTCCATAGAGTGGATTCCAGAGTGCGGTTAAGTGTCGACTTGCCTGTTCCCGAATCGCCTTGGATAAGTAACACTTTTTGGTCGCTGTCTAGAAACCCTTTCACCTTGTCCATTAGCAAGAACGGGTCTTTATCACTCCCTTGGGGGCTCGCTTTGGCAAATTGCCCGATGTAAAAGTGCGGGTCATCTCTAGAAATCCGCCGTCGCTTGAGTTGCCGCAGTCTCTCCTCAATATCAGGCTCATTCTGCACACGATCGAGTAGTGATGGAGATGTAGGTAGAGGCAATGTGACAATGAGGGGATGCTCTGCTGCTGACTTGGGGAAACTATTCTTGCATAACTGTTGTCTATTGGCATCTTTACCCGTAGCAATGTCATTCAGAAGGAACTCTGCAACTACAGTGAGATGTATTTAGGGTATATAATGTATTATCAGTGCCTTCGCCCTCCATAATCTGGCTAATGATGTGATACCATAGCTGCTAACCTTGTAGATCATTACTGGCTACCGAGGTTAGTTCCTTCAGTATATTGATAATCCATTGTTTGATCTCTGCATGATCGCCCCAGTCCTTGTTATTCTTGTAGATCTCTTCAAGGAAATAAACTGCATCTTGGCGCGCTTCTTTAATCAACTGCGGATTGGCTGCAATCTGCCCTAACCGCTGACATATTCCCCATTGGAATGCAAGCTCTTGTCGACAGGGTGCGTCACACACAAGAGTCTTGAACTTAGTAAGCTCTCCTGAATGAAGGAATGCATCAGCTCCACGGAGCGCTGGATACCATGCAGTCTTACGACTAAAAGTGAGTCCTTCTTCCATACTCTGCTTGAATGCTTCTCCACTTGCGTGAACCGACGTTACGCCTTTGTACATACGTAAACTTATATCTACAACATCAGTCACAGACGGAAGTTGTTTCTGGATATTGGCCAATTCATCCATGAAGTCATTTAGATCAAAAGCCTTGACTGCACTCACTACTCCAAACACTCCCCGAAATAGCGCTGATGTACGCCGAAGCATGGCCTGCATTTTTGTTTCATCATCTGGAATATACAGCAGAGCTTGGAAAGCATAGGCTGCATGATATGCCAGGTGAGGGTCTGAACTATCTTTTAGTTCCTTCAAATAGGCTAATAGCGGTTCATGGAGTTGTTCTCGCCTCAGGCCCATAACCTGATTGTCGACCATGGCATCAAGCACACGTGAGACTGCCACACACAGCTGATAGATGTGGTCATTAGCCTGCCCATGCACCCCTTGCAAGCGAGAACTGAGGACGTTGAGGATGTTGACCAGGTCATCAGAGTTAAGGTGCCCAGGAGGAGCATGCTGCATGAGTTGAGCTAGCCCTTCGAGCAAATGAGTCTGTAAAATAATGCTGTGGTTAACTCCATCGATCAAAGCCTCGAGCAGTGCCCTGTATTGATCGCGGCCGAGAACTGGACCCAGAGCCACAACCTCAGCGACAGTAGTAGCCTCAGCTTTTATACCATCACGGATGAATAATGCAACCACACCCGAAGCTAGGTTGTGGAATCGCTCTTGTTCAAGCGGATCATCCGACATGGCTGCAGACCATTGGCGCTCCTGACTACTGAGGTCCGGTTTTGGGATAGGGGTAGTATGAAGCAATTCGAAGCAATGCAGGAGCTGGTGGACATCCTCTAGACGAGCATCTGGCTGAGGGAGTTTGTATTCAGAGATTATTCGCACATCTTCATGGCTAAATAGCTCTTTTAAGATAATTACAACGTTGCGGGTAGTCGGGTTATTTGATGTTTTGGCCAAAGCTGGATTGCCTTGTTGTACAAAACCCAGCTTTTTGGCATTCTTGTAGGTTCTTTTCGAATGGTCCGGCCGACCAAGGTTGTCGAATTGTTCACAAATATTATTCAGAGTAGTTGTAATTTCCTTGCACAATGCTGTATTTGCATTGTCAGTACCGCTTGTTAGGGCAGAGATAAGTAACTTTAGGTCAGACCGTTGTATGCGATAGAGAGCACTCTCAGCGTCCAAGCATATCTCCAGAGCAAGCGAAGGGTCCTTTGTCCTATAGGCTTTGGCTTGTTCCAAGTAGATGGTAGCAAGATCCAAGGCTTTCTGAACTGAAAGACTTTCTCGCTCCGGTCTTCGCAGCCATAACATCTTTTTTGAAAAAAAAAAAAAAAAAAAAAAAAAAAAAAAAATTAACAGACCAATGATCACTGGTTAGACTAATGATTTTCCATCAGGGGAGTGAGCAACGGACGTTGATGTTGAACGGAAACTTACGGTGAAGCACTTCGAACCGAGAAAAGCGTATTAACGATATCAATGAGGCAAAGAGGTTGAGCAATGTAAAAGGAGAGAGAGAGGAAAGTAATTACATGAGCATAATAGAGAAAGAAAAAAGAAAAAGGGGGTGATCCGATCTTAAAAATCAAGTTGGCGAAGACAAGGTTCCACAAGGTTGGGAGGAGATTGAGCCAGCATCGTCGTTTGGTTTGCAGAAGAGTTTTACCGAGCAATGCTATTCCCATGCACTTAAATGAAATTATGTCCTCTCTTTTTCTTCATTTGAAAGTATATAATTCCCTCCATATTAGGCCATATCAGATAATGACCCATGCACTAGATGTCTCTTAAATAACGCGATTGCTGGTTTTTATAATGCCCGTTCAATTGTCGTCTACGCATGGAACAATAAAAAGAGAGAAAAGGGAACAATATTTGGTTTGTCTCCAATAGTGAGTGCAACATGGAAAAGCCCCCTGTATTTTAAAGTTACCAAAAGTTACCAAAAGTCACCCAAATTTATTTATTTGTTTTTTTGAATTGGAATAAATACACCTATTCCAAATACGTTTAAATATTTAATCCGAGTTTTTGACGAGGACCCCATTATTCAAAGAAAAAAGGAAAGAACATCATTCACTCTATTAGACTAAAGACTTTGCTCTCAGACACAATTTATATTTCCTTGCATCCCCTTACATTCAACCTCTTTTAGAACCGAAAGAAATAGCAATTTCATGGTCTTTTCTACAGTCTTTTGCTTTTTTTTTTAATAGCTTACAAATGCCCTTTAAATCTTTTGCTCATTAGTAGAGGACTGCAACTTTGTCTACGCTAGAACACTCGATACTTGTTACAGGACGTTTGCATCACTGAATGTGCCTTGACATTGACGATGTACCGACGCTTCACGACCTGAATGTTTGATCGTATGATTTTTTATTGTTTATAAAGTTAAATAAAACGAGGAATAGGCTAATTGGGATGTTCACCCCGCTAGTTGTCCGACTTGTAATGCAGACCAGTACACGCACTTTCATAAGAGCCATTTATAATAAAATGTGCAGTTTCACACTTGTCGCATTCACCGCACTTGCTGCAAATGAATTGATGTCCTTTGGTTGCTTCACTTTTAGCGATCAATGACCTCTTCCTAGAAGTGTCTCGGTTTGAGTTCGTATCCGGCTCCTCACTTTCCAGCCCTTTGAACTCAGATGCTATCGATGCCACTTCTTTGGTCTCTTGGCTCGCTTCCTGAAAGGCTGAATACTGTGTTGATTCATCGACGGCCCCATGTTGCTCTAAAAGCTTTCTATTCGCTCCACTCAAGCCAATAACGTCTCGAATGTTCGCTCTCGTAGCGTTAAGGACTAGTTGTGTCGTGCTCCACCTGAGGTGAATGCGACATTGGCCATTCTCTTTTTTGCTGACCTGCCACATCCGAATAGCGCCATCGTCATGTCCTGTTACCAGGAAGCAGCCACTTTCGGAAACATTCCATACAAGGGTTTCAGCATCCCCACCAACGAATGGGATAGTAGCCAAGCACTGGCCAGATTCTGGATCCCACAGCCGTGCAGTCTGGTCAGTGCTGCATGAGGCAATGTACTGGCCATCGCAAGAGTAAGACATAGAAGTTATAAGGCCGTTGTGCCCTTCAAGCGTATACAACATGGTTCCTGATTCAGTATCTAGCATACTTATTGGTCCTCCTAAGCTTCCGATAACCATCCGTCGACCGCATGGTGAGAATGCGATCACTCTTCCAAGCTCATCCAACATTATTTCGTAACATAGCTCTCCAGTTCCTGCGTTCCGTAGTTGCAGCTTCTCAGTGTCCTGTATAAAAGCTAGCATCTGGCTGTCAGGCGAATAAACCAAAGAAGAGAACTTATATTCTGCAGCTAGCTCGTACAATAGATCTCCTGTGTCTGCTTCCCATACTCTGATTCTCCTGGCATAGTCACTAGAAGCAATCTGATGGCCTTTAGGCGAAAATAACACGCGATCGACGGGCCTGCCGTTCCCCTGTAGAGTGCGTGTGAGCTGCCCTGTTTGTGTATTCCACAGGCTTACATTTCCGTAATTGTGACCACAGGCGACCTGATGGCCAATAGGTGAAGCGGCAATGACCAGGATAGCATCGTCGCTTTGACCTTGTAGCTCCAAGACACGGACAGCTTGACCTGACTGAGTATCCCAGATATAAATGCCTGTACTACTGCAACGACCGCAAGAGGCAATTAGTCGGCCATCAGATGAGTACTCTATTTCCTTTATTGGCCTTGCTACACCATAAATATATTGCCCTGTCTGGCTGTCCCACGCGCGGATTGTATTGTCCAAGCTACATGAGACTATGTGTTGCCCATTCGGCGAAAGTCTTAGTCGGGAGATTGATTTTATATGAGCATAGTAACCATGACTAGATTGGCGTGCTTGTGCGTCCCATAGGCCTACCGTCCCATCTTCACTGAATGACGCAATCTGATGACTGTCAGGTGAATATACCATGCACTTTATGACATTAGAGTGAGCATAAAATGTGTTGGTTAGCTCTCCAGTTCGAAAATCCCAAAGTCGCACCGCATTCTCGCTAGTACACGTGGCTATCTGTTCTCCGTTTGGTGAATACGCCAAGTCGTCCAAAGCGGGACCTTTAAAGGCATGAATGTGTTCTCTTGTTTGCATATTCCACTGAATTACTCCATTCGAGTCGGATGTAGTGGTAAATTTCCCCTCAGGCGAATGTTGAACATTAGTAATATGACTAATAGACCTCTCGTCGTCCCAGGCAAAGCTGTTCTGACCGGATGTAATATCCCACACATCCAACGAGTAAGGCTCACCACCACGAACAATGATTTCCTGGCTGTCAGGCAAATATACGATTTGCTCAATACGTGACGACGGGACTTGGAGCTTCTGTATTGGTTCTCCTGATGCCATATCCCATAACCGTACCGTATTGTCATGGCCTCCAGTCGCAATCTGCTTTCCATCAGGTGAATACGTCACCTTTGTTACCTCTCCTATATGGCCCCATAATTTGTGTTGAAGTCTTCCAGACATGGTATCCCACACATACGTAAATCCGTCTTTGCAAGCTGAGGCGAGATAAGCACCGCTTGGTGAGTATACTACATCATTAATAATATCTTTTTGGTCTTCTAAGCTATGAACCTTTGCTCCTGATGTAGTATCGAACACAGAAATCGCACTCTTCCTGCACCAGACAGCAATGTGTTGACTATCTGGAGAGTAGACAAAGTGGTGTTCACCCTCATTGACCTCCAACTCCATTCGCTTCTCCCATGTTAACGTATCGTAGACACTGATATGATTATCGTTTGTTTCCCATTCGTGAACAGCTGCAGCCAGTGTCTTACCATCAGGCGAATATGATCCCTTCAATATCCTCTTTCCTTCGCGGAGGAGCGGCCATTCTCCAAACTGTACTCCTAACATATATGCTCCACTTAGATCTGCTTCACGAAGCGAGCAACTGCGGAGGTTGGCCCTCCTCAAATCTGCTCCTTGTAGCTGGGCACAATCGAATATACCATGGCTGAGATCAGCTCCTGGGATCTGGATGCCTCGTAAGTCTGTTTCGGCGAATGACTCTCCTGCTCGAACCAAGATCGTCATTGCATTGGCTGCTGCTATCCGCCACTTTTTAGCGCTTTTCGAGAGCTCAACATACTCGTACAGCTGCTGCTTGAACTCTGCTTCCAGTCGGACACGGTCTTCCAGGAACTCAAGGATAGATGGCTCATTTATAAAGCTCCTCCATACTAAGGGCAAGGTCTCATCTAGCTTGGTAGGGTCATCCTTCTTAACCTCATTGTTTGCTTCCATCTCAAAACTGAATACAGAGCTGATACTTTTCCGACGGCTAGTTGATGTAGCTATCGCCTCACTGTCGTTTGCAATCGCATTCGTCTCCTTCCGTGGCTCAAACATCGCTCGTACTACACAGTATTCCAGGATAGAACGATGGTAAAACCGATACTGGCTGCCTGTGCGGTTCAGAGGCGATGCTTCTCGCAGGATTTTCCTACCACTTTCTCTGCTAAAGTATTCTTCCTTCCATGTACCCTTGTCCTTAGACGGAGAGTAATCCACCACTGGATTGCCATCCTGATGTTTGTAGATTGCCATAGCCAGCTCTGTCAAGTATCTGATCCCATTCTGTGCGAACCCTTCATCGCACAATGTCTGGAACATCTTCTTATCTTCTGACATCAGTATCTCGCCTAGACGCTTCTTGCCTCGCTCGAGCCACTGTTCAATGAATTTGTCATACAATGTGATCCGCTTGACCGGCGTTTTAGTATTGTCTTGCTGAGGGTCCACCATTCGTGGCAATACATCTAACGAAAGTGACAGTAAGAATGGGTTTTTCACAAGCTCTCGCAGACTAGGAACCATCTTAAGTGCACGCTGATAGTCCTGCACGGCCCACAATAGGTCCATGGCAGCAACGTATTGCTCGATGTAGTCGTCAATCTGCCTCGCAGAGAATGGTACAATCATAGCTTCTTGAAACAACACAGCATCTGCTTGGTGGTTGCGATCCATAGGCTGGAAGCGATCCTGATAATCTATTCCGAGGTACTCGCTGCGACAACTGATTACCATCTGGCACATCCATTCACCGGGCTGATTGAGATGGTTGGTGACATACAGATTACTGGTCTGCATGGTCTCATCATATCCATCACAGATCAAAATTAATGACCGATTCATCTTTAGCTCCTTGATCTGTGCCTCTGTAAAGCCGTACATCTGAAACTGCTTTGCGATCATATTCTTGGTAGGATTTTCAATGGATGGCAAATTGATAAACAATGGAATCCGGCCATGCTTCTTTTGATATTCGTTCCATAGAGTGGATTCCAGAGTACGGTTGAATGTTGACTTGCCTGCACCTGAACTGCCTTGGACAAGCATCACTTTCCGTTCGCTCCCCAGGAACTCTTTCACCTTGTCCATTAGCAAGAACAAATTTTCATCATTTGCTTGAGGATTTGCTTTGGCATACTGTTGGACGTAAAAACCCCGTTCGCCTCTAATCTCCGCCCGCTGTCGCTTGAGTAGACTCAGGCTCTTTTCGACATCAGGCTTATTCTGCACACGATCGAGCAGTGATGAAGATGCGAGTGATGTTGGTGCAACAATAAAGGGAAACTGCACTGCTGGCCCATTGAAACAGTCTTTGTACAGTTGTTGCTTTTTGACATCTCCAGTTGTAGCAAGGTCATTCAGAAGTGACCCTGCAGCTACAGAGATACAGATGTAGAACATGTAGTGTATTATTAGTATCTTAGCTCCTTATAATCCCACTGAAGATGCAATTCTATGGCTACTCACCTTGAAGATCTTCCTTTGGCAATGAGATTAGTCTCTTCAATATAGTAATGATCCATTGTTTGATTTGCGCATGATCACTCCAGTCTTTGTCATTCTTGTATATATCCCCAAGTAAATTAATCGCATCTTGACGTACATGCATAGCCCACTGTGGATTGGCTGCAATTTGCCCTAACCGTAGACATATTCCCCATTGGAATGCAAGATCTCGTCGACAGGGTGCCTCGCATACAAGAGCCTTGAACTTGGTGAGCTCGCCTGAGTGCAGGAATGCATCGGCTTCACAGAGCGCTGGATACCATGCACTCTTGCAAATAAAAGCGAGCCCTTCTTCCATGCTCTGTTTGAATGTCATCCCACTCTCGTATAATGAGACCACACCATCACACACGTTACGACCAATTTCAATGACATCTACAATAGGTGGGAGCTCCTTTTGGATATTCACCAGCTCATCCATGAAGGCATCGAGATCCCAATCTTTGACTGCACTTACTACTCCAAATACCCCTTGAGCCACCACTGATGTACGTCGAAGCATAGCTTGCATTGTTGTTTCATCGTTCGGGATATACAGTAGAGCCTGGGAAGCATAGGCTGCATAGTAAACCAGATGAGGATCTGAGCTGTCCTTTAGCTCCTTCAAGTAAGCTGCTAATGGCTCCTGGAGTTGCTCTCGCTTCAGACCTTTGACTTGGCTTCTAACCATGGCATCAAGCACATGTGAAACTGCTACACACAGTTGATAGATGTGACTGCCAGACTGTGCATGTGTGTCTTGTAAGCGGGAACTGAGAATGTCCAGGATATTGATCAGATCATCAGAATCGAGATATCCAGGAGGAGCGTACTGCATCAGAGGAGCCAGTCCTTCGAGCAAATGGGTCTTCAGCAAGATGTCCTGATCGACTCCATTGATAAAAGCCATAAGTAGAGTCCTGTATTGGTCAAAGTCAAGGACTGGAGCCAATAACACAACCTCAGCGACAGTGGCCTCAGCCTTGATAGGATCACAGATAAACATAGTAATCACATCTGATGCCAGGCTGTGAAGTCGCTCTTGCTCATCGCGGTCATTCGATCTGGCTAGATACCATTCTTGCTCCTGGTCGCTACGGTCCTTTTTTAGAATAGGAGCAGTAGGAAGCAAACTAAGACTATACGCAAGTTGTTGTGTATCGCTCAAGTGAGTACCTGGGCTAGGAAGGCTATATTTGGAAACCACTCGAGGTATATCATGGCTAAATATTTCCTGTGGGATATTTATAATGTTGTGGGTGATTGGGGCCTTTGGTGCTTGGATAACATTGTCGGCCTTGTTGGTGGCGGTGTTGGCACTTGCTTGAGCATTTTTATTGCTGTGGTTATTGTCACTGTTGCCGTTACTGTCATTGTTGCTATTCCGGCCTTTGCTGCTGCTATCGTTATCACCATCTTTACTATCATAATCTTTGTCGTCTTTATTGTCGCCTTTATCTATGCTAATAGTTCGATGATGTGCCAAAGTGTTTTCTAGAGCTGCACTACCTTGCTTTACATGGCCCCATCTGGTTGCGTACTTGTAGCCTCTTTTCGAGTGATCTAGATAACCGAGACTGCCGAATAGCTCGCCAAGATTGCTTAAAGTAGTTGCAATTGCCTTGCACAATGCTTTGTCTGCATTGTCAGTGCCTCTTGTCTCTGCCTCAACAAGCGACTTTTGGTCGGACCGTTGTATCCGATAGAGAGCATTCTCAGCATCCAAACATATCTCCAAAGCGAGTACTGGGTCCTTTGTCTTGTGAGCCTGTTCCAAGTAAAGGGTAGCAAGATCTAAAGCTTTCTGAGGTGGAAGATGTCCTCGCTTGGGCATGCTCTGCAGCCACCCCATCTTTTATTGTACCTGACAAATCAACAATCATTTTTAGATTAGCAAGATTTTATTAGCAAGATGATCACCTAGGTAGAAGGTTGAAGGAGACTTACAGTAGAGTAATTGGGAGCAAGGAAGGCGTATGGATGGTATAAGTTATGGCAAAGAAGTCGAATGTATGGAAAGATAGAGAATAAAGAAAGAAGAAGAAATAATTGCAAGACGGCAAAGTCCCCGCGGAGATCGAGAGGAGCACTGCCATTTGATTTGTGATTAAGCGTGCCTCTTGAATAGTAACGCTGCTGGTTATCCCCTTTGTGAATAAAATAACAATAAAAAAGGGGGGATCAAGGACAACTTTAGCCTTCGTGATCACAAATTTCTCCAAGGAGACAGTTTGTTATGCAGTTTTTTGTTTCGATTAAGGTCGCTATGCCGTTGGACCAATCCCTTCTCCAACATGCGTTCAGTATGTCAGACTGGTAAGGCTATTCCTTTTTGATTTTTCACCCACTACAACCATGTCCACGCAGGCTTGACCCGTTCCACTTGCTTCATTGAGACATCTCACACCCGTGTATTTGTAAGCGGTCAAAGGAATAATGGCGTGGGGTCCCAGTGTGCAGTTCACTAGATGGCTTGATTTCGATGGCCTTGGAAGAGACATGATGATTCTCAACTATCCAAAATGAAAGTAAAAAAGGTGCAATGCAAACGGATCTTGCTGCTCCTCCTTTTTGAATCTTGATCAGTCCATCCATAAAGGCATTCATACCCAAGCCTTTGAGCGCATTCACTTCTCCAAACACTCCTCGGGTTACCGTTGATGTGCGCCAAAGTATGGCTTACATTGGTGTTTCATGATTTGGAATATACAGTAGAGCTTGGAAAGCATAGGATGCACGATACATCAAATGAGGGTCTGTACTCTCTCTCAGTTCCTTCAAGTAGGCTGCTAATAGTTCATGGAGCTATTCTCATTTTAGACCCGTCACTTGATTGCTGACCATGGGCAACGAACACGTCCTGGATGACTTCGTTGACCAAAGCCATGAACAATACCCTGTATTGATCGTAATCGAGAACTGGGGTCAACATTATAACTTCAACGACAGTAGCCTCGGTCTTGATATCATCATGAATGAACATAGTAATCACATTTGATGCTAGCAAAGTTGCGAGCTCGCTCTTGCTCATCGTGGTCATCTGATCTGGCCAAAGAACATCTTTGGTAAGATTTACCGATGGTTGAGGCGCAATAAGAAGCAATACACGAGCTGCTGAACATTATCCAAATGAGAATATGGATGAGGTAGGTTGTATTGAAAGACCACTTGGGTTATATCATGGTCAAATATACCTGTGGGAACGATTGCAATGCTGTTTGTTGTTGCGTTCCCCAGACCTTTAATCATCTCCTTCAAGCTGATGTTACTGTTGCCGTTGATATCCTGATTGTTGTTGTTACTGTTAATAGAACCACCAACTTGTGATGACTCTCGATGGATTAAGTTACTCTCTTTTGGGTCTACCCCTATTTTACTGCTTTCGAATAAGCGAGCCGTTTCATTGTAAGCTGAGGTGATACTTTGGCATAGTACTTTGTCTCCATTAAAAGTGGGGGAGACAAGATTATTTGTCTCAGATCGCTTGATCCGAGGCAGCGCAAAGTTGGCATCAAGACACGGTTCCATAAGGATGTTATGATCATTGTCTTTCCTGCGAGTGCTCTCCATGTAAAGATTAAAAAGCCTCAAAGCCTTTGATGGCGTAAGGACGCCTAGTATCGAAGTATAAGTGGCACCAAACATTGGTTCCTGTCCTTCTTTATTTCTTTCGGTTATTGTCTGTTAATTTTCAGTGAACCGTTTCAAGCGACCGTATTGATCAGCAGTCTTTGTTATTAGAACTCCTTTATTTTATCATGGATAGTCTCCTCGTGGGATCTTCTCTTTTCTGATTTTACGTGAATATTTTCATTAAGATGTTCCTGCTCTTATCATTAACTCTGGGAGAGTATGATACATCACGTCTTCTTGTATGCTTCCATACAATGAAAAAAAAAAAAAAAAAAAAAAAAAAAAAAAAAAAAAAAAAAAAAAAACTTCATTCTACACATGTAGTTACAAAAAACATATCTCATATAATAAAGGCAAATATCCAAACAAAAGATTTTTTTTTTTAAACCTGCTGGAGAACTGGTTGTGGTAGATGTTGGTCCCAGATCTCTCTTTTTAATATTAATAAAAGTAGACAATCTGCTTCAAGGGGCCAACGTTTTAATACCAATGTGGGCTAATGCATCAAAACAAGATCCTTCCCCCTCCCATCCATTTAAGATTCAAGCTGGAGATGTTAACATTGATGGCTGACTTTGGGATTTTATTCTAAACGATCTGGAGGCTGATAAGGAGTTTGGAAGAGGCCTCGTCTTTGAGGATTCCTATGCAATAGATCTTTTTTTTTTTTTTTTTTTTTCCAGTGCATAAATAAATAGTGTGAAAGGCTGAAAGGATTGGAAGACTGTCAGGAATGTTTTTACTGGTGGTGCGCTTTATTGACTTATGCAATTACAAACTACAGATTTCAAGACAACAACAATCACTATCATCACCAACTATGAAGATTTAAAAAAAAAAAAAAAGAAAAAAAAGAAAAAAAAAACCTATGATTACAATACTTCATTTTTTTTGTTGTTTTTTAAGTTGGTATTTTACAATGAGACGACTAATACACACTGAAAGAGGGGGTGGCGAAAAAAGAAAAAAAAAAAAAAATAAAGATGTTGAGGAGGGAGTATAAAGATAAGAGTGTGACCATTTCTTGTAGTACAGAGTTGAAGTAGCAAATTATTACGTCCCCACGCTTGTCTTTCCAAATTAGGACGCGTCCATTCTCAGTTGACCACACCCAATCATCCAGCGACAGGTGCTGCGCTCTGACCATTCGTTGAATTTACTGAACTACCAGCGCCTCCAACATTCACTGGACGCAGTCCGCCCCCAACAAAGAATTCAAGCTCTTGAAGCTTACTTTTTGTAGTTGGATATCGACACATTGGGCAAATCTTTTTTGTTTCCAATGCTTGGAGGATACATCCTCGGCAGAACGCATGTCCACATCGAACCATCGTCGGTACATTCATTACCTCCATACAGATACTACAACGGAGGTTCTGTCGAGCCCAACTCTCCATTCCCGTCTTCACCGTCACGTCTACCACTGACACGGCTACATTCTCGCGCTTTGGGCTCCCGAGTGGTTTGAGTGGTTGCGTGCGAGAGCTTGATGAGGCTCCATTGCTTGTAGAAGGTGCCGTCCGTGATGAAGCGCGTGACCTTGGCGGGGAAGGACTAAGAATCAGCGGGACAGGCGAAGGACGCCGAGCTACAGGACTGAATCGATAACTCCTTGACTGTGGTGTAGCACTTCGCCGAGAGGTTGTTGGGAACGGGCTCATACGTGCTTCAAAAGAATACGACCGTGACTCAAATGGCGGTGAGCGAGCCTGGCAAGATGGGGTGCGCCGTGTTTGAGCCGAGCGGGGTGGAGGTGGTGGTGGCGTGAAAACGTTTTCGTTTCGGAGGTTCAAAATCCAATTAACTTCTTCCGAAACTTGTTGATCTGTGATACCTTCATCTTCAGCCTCGGTCTCGGCCGCAATCTGAACCTGTGAGCCTGGGATCTCTTCTACATCGCTCTCACTTTCTGCATCATCGTAGTCAATTTGAGTAAGATGGTCCTCAAGAATCACTGCATCTTCCAGCTGGCGCTGACGCTGACCTTCTAGATATTGGTCATTATCTTCAGCGTTGCGCTCTGGAGACAGGATAAGCTGAACCGGTCCACGTGCCCATGGATGGCGAGGATCCAACTGAACCTCACGCACTTCATTGTCAATACGGATAGTGTCATTTCCATAGCGATCCTCCTGTGATTGTGCTTCCTCATCTTCATCGTCATCTGGAATTTCATGCACGTCGACTGAGCTCATCGAGAGGTTAAGCCGCCTAGATTGACTCCTTTCCATGGACTCGGAAGACCTGGAGACAAGTCTTTGTAGCGTTGGAAGGCTGAATGAGTGTTGGGGATTCAATCCAGCTACTCGTGGCAGAGAGTCACCACGAGGATAGCTGGATCGTCTTTCTGGACGAGTCAAATCAATTACCTCAAGAATCTCCTCTACTTCAGGATCATCTACAGGTCTATTGGCAACATTGCGCGAACCAGACCTTGAATGTGGTGTTGTTTCAGATGGCTCCTGTCTGTTTAAAGGTTGCGAATGCTGTGTTCCTTGACGAATTGTCTGGGGGGTAATGGTGCGGTCTGAATCCAGAGACACATGTGATGCGCTAGGGGATGGTTCACGTCTTCCTAACGATCCATTGTGGGTGTTTGCGACTACTGACGGTGCTGGAGAGCCACCATAAACCTCAACCACACTGTCCTGATCATCCACTTGATCTGAAGAAACATCAGCATCGTACCGCCGATCGTCAACCAGACCTTGAGAATACTCGGTCTTGCCAATAAATCCTTCGTCTTCATCATTCTCATCATCCCCGATGATGATTGGAAATCTATCTAGAGTTGATAATTGACTACCAATGTGGACTCCAGTATCTTCGTTTTCATTGTCATCATCGTCCAAATCGTAAACTCTTGGATGCTTTGGAGCATGTTTTTCCTTTTCACTACGAGATGGCCCTGACTGTGTCACTAGTTGTGTATTTGAAAAATAAGGTTCTTGATGATCATTATCCATTGACTTAATCGAGGGCGGTGAGGCAGCCATGGAGGGAATAGAGGAGGGTGGTGTAGAGGATGTTGAAACAGAATGGGAAGGTGTGGACGCGCGTGGGCCAGGGGTGCTAGCACGAGACGCGCGTGCGGTCGTTACATCGTCAGAATGCTTGCGCTTTCGGACAGGTTGAAATCTCGAGGACAAGTCGGTATGAAGAGACAGGTCCATGGGATGGGATTGTACATCTACTAAGTAGGGTGTGAAAAGTATACAAGTCAGTCAAAAGACTTTTTTTTTTTTTTTTTTTTTTTGTTGTTGTTGTTGTTGTTGTTGTGAAAGCTATTCAAATGCTTATCGATACGGTTTGCTTATTTTGGACCAAGCGGCGTAAAGCAACACAAAATACATCACAACGCGTCAGTGTGCAACATCGTAGGATGACGAGATGTACGTCAAATAAACATCCGCGTCTGTATTCAAATATCAACCGATCGCATTGGCTGTTGGTCATTCTCATCAACCCAACCAGGCCAAAAATATCCTAGTCGGTGAACCTTGTAAGCCAAGAGTAATTTCCTCAAGCGCATAAATCAATGTTCTGTTGATGGATCATGACCATTATGCCACACACAGCGCAAGAACAATTCTCTTTTGACTCTGCTCTTTTTCACTCTGAGACAAGAATGATAAAGGGAAAAGAAAAAAAAAAAAAAAAAAAAAAAAAAAAGGAAATAAAAAGAAAAGGCTTAAAAGGGAGAAAAGGAGAAAGAAAAAGGCTCCTGATTTTGGATTTTGTTGACACTGATGGGGAAGACAAAGCTGCTTTTTGTTTGCTGAATATTGAGTCATAAAGATCGGATAATTTTAGTTGCCACCACATAATTTTTTTTTTGTTGTTGTTGCTTTCTTCCCGTTGTGTTGCTCTGATGGCGGTGTTTAGTGTTTATTGTTGGTTGCATTGTTGTGTGTATGGAAGGGAATAGAGAGGCGCGTGTGTTCAATATTGTGCATGGATGCGTGTGGATATTGCCAGATGGCCAGATGAGGAAAAGGAAAGGAGAGAAAAGATCAAAGGCGAGAAGGGGGGGACATGATGCGTGTGGGGGGAGAAGGAGGGAGGGAAGAATGAATGTGGTAGTTTAAAAAGCAAGGAAGGGGGGGGGGCGGCAAAAGAGGGTCAAGCGAAATTGTCGTATAAAAAAAAAAAAAAAAAGTGAAAAGAAAAAAGACATTGACAAGCAAGTGTTACATCCACAAAAGGCCGTTCTGCTTCTGCTACTTGTGCCTGTCCAAGCCTTTTTATTAGTCTTTTTCTGTCTCTCTCTTTCTCTCCTGCTCTCTCTGCTTGTCTTTTTTGCCTTTTTGCCTTTGGGGTGAAGAAGCAAACCGCAGCCTGACGCATCGTCGAAAAGGAAATCGAGTGCACAGCGAGCGAAAAAGGTAAAAATAATTAAAAGACAGCGACAGAAGAGTGGGCAGCAAGAGAGTCAAAGAGAAACATGGATTAATAATAATAAAAAGCATTAAAAAATAAAATAAAATAAATAAAGTAAAATAAAGAAAGAAGAGTCGATTGATGGGAAAATGGAAAGGAAGGCTTTGGAAGAGAGTTGAAAGATGAAGAAGAGAGGGGAGAAAAAAAAGAAGGAAAAAAAAAAAAAAAAAAAAAAAAAAAAAGTGTATAAAATTACCCTTGAAGTTCTCCGGAGAAGACGAAGGATGTGACAATATTGTTGTTGCTGCCTTTGTTTGTACCAAAGACAATGGAACTGACAATGGCAATGATGATGAGACTTCATCATCTTGTCTGCTACGTTTCCTAGCCTTGCCCTTGTCGACAGTAGGAATGTCCCAATGAGGGTCTTTGTCTTTGTCCGCTTCCTTGTCCTGGTCCGGGGTCAAACTCGTCCTGGTCTTGTCCTCAATCATGGAAGTGTCATGGAGCGCAGCACGAGTGCTGACCAGGGACTCCAACCCCGGAGCTCCTCCAGTAGTGGCGGGAGAGTGGGGGGAGACCATGGTTGCTCACGAAGAAGTGAACGATTGAAAGGAAAAGAGTGAGAGAGAGAGCGACTTTTGGAATGGAGGGGGTGAGTTGCGGAGGAAAAGAGAAGAGAGAGAGAGGGAGAAAAAGAGAGAACAAAAAATAGGTCTGAAAGTTATGGGAGAAAATACAGAGAGGGACATTAAAAATTTTTTTTTGGAGTGCCAGGAAGATGTGGGACACGGACAAAAAAACAAGGATAGAAAGCATGAAGAAGGGAAAAGAAGAGAAAAATAAGGAATAAAAAGACTCTTCTGTGCTTCACATCCAAAAGTCTCCTTGGCTCTTCCATCCTTAGTCTCACTCTTTCATCCTTTGTCTCTCTTCCAAAAGGATGCTTCCGTTTGATTACAAAACAACGATAAAAATTAAAAAAAAGGCGGCAAAAAGATAGAAAGGCTTGCTTTGCCCCCAATTGGTCAACGCAAAATGGAAATGACAGTTGTTCTTGTCATCTACTTGGCATTGCCGTATTAAATACATGGATTAGAAACTGAAAGTGTCATCAACATTATTTTTTTATTTGTTAATGCGTGGATGTGGTCTGTTTAATAAATGTTTATGTATTCATCGTATTCATAAACACTCCCATCGTCTTTATTCAATTTATGCCTCTCCATCCCTATTTGCAGTGCAGTAGTTTGTTTTGGTCCTGTGAGAGAGCCTTTTTTTACTTTTGTTTTGATTGATTACGCTGATTTATGCAAGTAAATCCAAATTCTATTGACAGAATAGAGTAGAGCCACGAGTGCGATGACTTGATGAGTTGAAGGGGTTGTTGCAGTTCAGTTCAAACAAAGAAAGAGCCTTTTTTGAATTGGTGGCAAATGACTACAGTGCAATCCACGTGCACTTATCTGAGGATGCAAATGTTTATTGATGATTCGATAATGTTGACAATAATAACGATGGTAATATTAAGCGCTATACTGCCTTTCAATGCTTGATATATTCATATTTCTCCCAACCAACACGATCCAAAGTATCAATCTTTGTAAGGACTTCCTTCTCCATGGTATCCTGATACTTGATCATCTTTTCCAGATAAGAAGGAATAAAACTTCCAAGCATACGCACAGCCAACAAAGCTGCATTTGTACTATTGTTGATTGCGACCGTCGCTACTGGAACACCACGCTAAAAAGTAATGAAAATAATATTATTATTAATAACTATAGTAGTAATAATAAATAGTTTTTTTTTTTTTTTAGGCTTTTCATCATAGAATAGACTCATATGAAATTACTTACAGGCATCTGAACAATAGAATGCAATGAATCAACACCGTCCAATGTACTTCCGCGAACAGGAACACCAATGACAGGAAGAGGTGTCAATGCCGCGACCATGCCAGGCAAGTGAGCAGCGCCACCAGCACCGGCAATGATCACCTTGATTCCACGTTTATGTGCCATACGTCCAAAATGATACATCCTTTCAGGTGTCCTGTGTGCTGATACCAAGGACAACTCAAAAGGGACCGAAAGCTTTGTCAAGATCTGAGCTGCTGCCTCCATCACCTTCAAGTCACTGTCTGATCCCATGACAATAGAGACTAATGGATCAAGATTGAAGGGCGACTCATCCTTCGGATCCATGGCCATGACCATAGGCAAGAGGCGGTCATGAACTTCCTGCATCGAATCTCCAACCACAGTGATATGGCCCATCTTGCGTCCGGCCTTGCATTCCTTTTTACCGTACAGATGAGTTGTAGCGCCGGGTGCACTATATGCGAGCTTACAGGCTTCATAGGTCTTTTCACCAGCTCCCAAGATGTTCAGCATACCAGCTGCCTGAACCTTCATCTCAGTTGATCCAAGAGGAAGACCAAGAATGGCCCGAAGGTGGTTCTCAAACTGGGACGTGTGTGAAGCTTCAATTGTGTAATGTCCTGAATTGTGGGGACGAGGAGCAATCTCGTTTAACAGGATCTGACCTATCGTTCAAAGAAATTTAAACCAAATTTTAGTGTCAGGAGTTTGGACTGCTGTAATGACTCATTCTCTACACTGTTCCGAGGAAGAAGAAAAAAAAAAAAAAAAAAAAAAAAAAGCCTGCCTTACCATCCTTCATCAAGAACATCTCGACACCAAAAATACCGGCTCCAGTGAAGCTCGAGATAGCATTCTCAGCAACCTTGCGAGCTCTCTCTTGAATTGAAGTAGAGAAAGATTCATCTGAAGTGCCACTCAATCCACGTCCCACCTGAGCAGGCGCAAAAACAAGATGGCAAATGCTGTTTTTGTGCACTGTCTCAACCACAGGGTAGGAACGCACCTCTCCGGTGACAGATCGGACAACCATCACCGCCAACTCGCGATCAAACTTTGCCCAGCGTTCAGCATACAGAGGCACACCTGGAGCAAGCTTTGATCGTGCATCCTGAAGATCCTCCTCTGATCGAACCACATAGTTGCCCCTACCATCGTAAGCCAATGTCTTTGCCTTGAGCATAAAGGGGTATCCAAACTCTTGCCCAGCCCTCTCAATTGCTGCCTGATCAGGGCAGTCGAGTGAATCGGCGAGAGGGATGTTGTGCTTGGAAAGATGTTGCTTCTGAAGATATTTATCTTGGATCAAAGAGATGGTGGCTGGCGTTGGGTGAATAGCCTTACCACTGGCCTCAAGCTCCTTGAGAACTTCAGTATCGACATGCTCAATCTCGACAGTGATAACATCGACCGAAGCAGCGAGCTCACGGATCTTGACAGGATCCTTGAAGGAGCCTTCAATATGAGTTTGGAAAGCGTTTACCTGCTTTGCTGGTGCGTCGACTGGCTCATCCAAAATCGTAAGCGAGATATTAAGGCGGGAAGCAGCCTCCTGGACCATACGTCCAAGCTGTCCTCCTCCGAGAATGCCAACCTTACGAGACTCCATTGTAATGATTGAATGAGGGAGGGAGGTGAATGGAACAGAATGTTGTTGGGGAAGAGATTCGATTTGGGCAAGATAAAGTTTTACAAAAAAAAATTCTTATTTAGTCCATTTGCGGGGAAACAAGCTGGTCACGGGACTTCAAGACAAAGCTTTCTCCTTGTTTGTATTCTTGTATTCTTTGTCTGATAATTATAACAAAAAAAAATGTATTCTTTGTCTGATCGAAGTGCAGTAATGCACACGGGTGTGCCTGTATCGAATATAATTATAGAACTGCTTCCACAGCGCCTGATATTTGGAATTACTCCAGGTTGTTGCGTTCAGACTTTATTTTGTTTTCGGTAAAAGTTTATCCTGACAAGTTTTCTAATGAGACAACAAGTAATAAAGCTCGATACTTTAACCGTACGAGCTCATTCCTGTGATAGGATAACAAAAAAAAAAACTATTTGAACGAATTGTATTGATCCAAATGAAGCCGTCAAAGCAGTGCAAGGATGAATTTGTTGGCAGTGCGCTTGCAAAAACACGAAATGCGCGACACGAAGTGGGGCGCAAAGACATTTGCGGTCATTACAAAATTTCAACTTTATTTGCTAGGAAAAGTGGTGACTGTTTTGTGGCCGTGTCAAAAAGATAATGAGCTCATATAATTATGGCACACGGCGAAAGCTGCGGTTGCATTACTTTGTCCCTCTTCTCTCCAAATTCATCAGCTCCACTTTCCTCTCAACTCACTCGTTTTTCTCTTTGTACTTTCTTTTTTTTTTTTTTTTTTTTCTTCTACGGCGTTGTTGTAAACCCTTGGTATGTCTATTTTTTTTTTTATTTTTATTTTTTCTAATGTCTTGCTCGTCGCCATTGTCCAATGGAGAAGGGTGTCATTCTGTAATTCTGCGCAAACGAATAACCAAAGCGATATCGAGAATAGAATGTTTTATACTAACAGCCATATCTGTCTTATTTTCTCCAACTCCTCCTTCAAACTGCTATTTCCCTTGGGCTGGACGCTGTTTTGGCATTGTATCTGTCTACTCAACCCAAAATGCCTCGACCGAAACCTCTTCACTCTTTCTTTTTTATCTTCGTGTAAATATAAATACTTTTTTTTTTTTTTTTTTTTTTTTTTTCTGTTCTCATCTACCAGCCAGCTTTTCAGAAAACAATCCAAGCAGCACTTCTACTTGTTCTACTTTTATTTTATTTTTATTTGACGCAACATGTTGTTCAAACTTTCTACTGTGGCCCTCCTTATGGCTTCATCTGCCATGGCGCTCCCTTCTTTTCTTCAGTCGGAGAGATTGGCGCCCGTCATCTCCTCTGTTGATGCTGATATCGTCCCTGATTCGTACTTTGTTGTCTTCAAGGACGGTGTCCGTGCTCAAGACAATTCTGCCTGGGTGAACGACCTTCACAGACGCGACTTGTCCATTAATGGTGTTTGGGATAACTTCACCAGCGGTGTCAGACATGTTTATGACATGGGTAGCTTCCAGGGAATCGCAGGTCGTTTCCGTCCTGATGTCCTTGAGGAGATCCGTAAGAATCCCAATGTAAGTCAGTATTGAAATAATGAAAATTGTCGATTTTTTTTATTATTTTTATTATTTTTATTCTCGCTGGTTTCGTCATTTCTCCAACTGGGATATACGTGTTCATTTGCTTTTGTCGACATCAGCTGGTTCAGGCGACACTATTTCATTAAAGCAAGGCACAAATAGATAGAAACAGGACTGAGCCATTTATGGTTACGAACCTAAAATTACTTTTTACGTTCTAAACTACTGCACAAGACTCATCTTGCAGCAAACTACCAAAAAAAAAAAAAAAAAAAAAAAAAATACCTTGAATAATAATAATAATAACAGTGCTCTTGTTTGTCCTTCGTCATATGGATCATTTGACCATAGTGCATTAAGCAAATCACAGAAGTGATGTGACAACATTGTATTCTAATCTTTTTTCTTTTTTTTTTTTTTTTTTTTCCTTTTTTTCATCTCCCATCTGTTGATGCTCCTATTTCCTTAGGTCGATTATATCGAACGCGACCAGATCGTCTATACCTCTGGGATCACCACCCAGACTCGTGCTCCTTGGGGATTGGCCCGTATCTCTCACCGCAAGGGTTTGACTTTGGGAACCTTCAACAAGTATGAGCACAATCCCCAAGGTGGTGATGGTATCACTGTCTTTGTCATCGATACTGGTATCAACACCAAGCACAAGGAATTTGAGGGCAGAGCCGAGTGGGGTGCTACCATCCCCGCTGGTGACCCTGACCAGGATGACAACGGACACGGTACTCACTGCGCTGGAACTATCGGAAGCAGAGCATATGGTGTCTCCAAGAAGGCCAAGGTTGTCGCTGTCAAGGTCTTGCGTTCCAATGGATCTGGTACAATGGCTGATGTCGTCTCTGGTGTCGATTTCGCTGTCAAGCGTCATTTGGAACTCAAGGGCAAGCAAGGTGAAAAGTACAAGGGTTCGGTTGCCAACATGTCCCTTGGAGGTGGCAAGTCCCGTCCCTTGGATTCTGCTGTAGCCAACGCTGTTTCTTCGGGTCTCCACTTTGCGGTCGCTGCCGGTAACGACAACCGTAATGCTTGCGATTACTCACCTGCAGGTGTTGAGAGTGCTGTCACTGTTGCTGCTTCGACCTTGTCAGACTCACGTGCCTACTTCTCGAACCATGGTCCCTGTGTCGACATTTTTGGACCTGGTCTGGAGATTGAGTCGACCTGGATTGGCTCTGAGACTGCCAAGCGTACCATCTCTGGAACATCGATGGCTTCACCACACGTCGCTGGCTTGATTGCCTACTACCTGTCTTTGGCTCCTGAGAGCGGATCTGCCTTCCACACCGGCCCCTTGACTCCAAAGGAGATGAAGGCACTCTTGATTGCCCGTGGTACTCGCGATATCTTGACAGATGTCAAGTCCGATACCCCCAACATTCTCATTTACAACAATGCTGCTGAGGACAAGGAGAAGTTTTATGCTTGGTAAAAAAAAAATAAATTGTACATTATGTGAAACCAAGTCAAGGAAAAACGCCAATCACCCAATAGTGTAGTGATAAAAAAAAAAAAAAAAAAAAAAAATCGCCATGAAAGAGAGCTTCCCTTCTCTCTTTTTTTTTTTGCAGTGTAGAAATTCAGAGGAATACGAGCCACTTCGCTTTCTTTCTTTTGTATTGTTTCATATAGAATTGTCTACTTTGCTCTTTTTCTTTTTTATTTTCAATGCTCCCCAACGCCGTATGAGAAACCTCTCGATATTCTGTGTCAATAAATGTATAATGATTGAACAACCACTTTGATTTATTTTATTTTTTTTCTCTATAACTTGGGATTGCCGTATGGGCCGTACTGGACATATTCACGTTTGATATCAGAGAGTGATCTACAACCTGCCAGAGCCATGGCCATCTCGAACTCTTTTTGAATCAAGTCCAATGTCAATGTCACACCATCTTCTCCCTAAAGAAAGAGGTTAAAAAAAAAAAAAAAAAAAAAAAATTGATGATGGGAGTTAGAGAACAGAGAAATAAATACTACAAGTGGTTGACTACAGGGATTTTTATTTTCTGTTCAACTTACATCATGGACAAGGCCCCAAAGAATAGGTCGTCCCAAAAAGACTGCCTTTGCACCCAAGGCAAGGGCCTTTAACACATCAGTTCCTTTCCTAACACCACCATCCAAATACACCTCAATGTCTCTGCCCTTGACAGCTTCCAGAACTTCAGGCAATGCATCAATCTACAAGGGCATCCAGCACATTCAAAAGAAACGAAAAATTTAAATTCAGACATGGTTAGTAAAAGGTCTCTGATAAGAATAAAAATTATGAAAAGAAACTCTTTCCCTCCCTCTCTATTCCTTTTTCTTACCGTAGCCAAAACGCCATCCAGTTGACGGCCTCCATGATTACTAACAAGGATCCCTTTGACGCCAGCATCAGCAGCAAGCTTAGCATCCTCGGCTGTCAAAACGCCCTTGACAATGATTGGCAACTTTGAGATGGATTGGACCCACTTGATATCATCCCAATTCAAGCTCGAATCAATCTGGGTGACGACATAAGCGGCCAGACTCGATTCTTGTCGAACCACTTTTTTGGTTCCACCTATTGCCGCTCTTTTTATCTCTGCGGATTTCGTCGACGCAGAAGTATGACCAGGAGTAGTAGCAGAAGCAGTAAAAGCTTCTTGTTCTTTTTGGATTGATTTTTCAACAACTACATCTTCGTGTTCTTGTTGGTCTAGGATATTGGCCATTGTAACCTTTGAATCCTTTGTTTCAAAGTTGGCCATGCTCAAATGAGGAGGCAACTTGAAGACGTTCCTAACATCTGCGAGACGACGACCTAATAATGGTGTATCGACCGTGATGACCAAAGCTTTGTGCAAAAGAGAGGAGAGGAAGGAAAAAAAAAAAAAGATTAGCTTTCTAGAACTGTAAAAAAAAAATTTGATCGGTGGCACAAAGTGTCCTTGCCCTAGTGGAAATGTGTCATCAGGCACAAATCTCAAAATCGGAATGACTCTTTTCTGCTGGTTGTGCGTTTATGACATGTATGTGTATGTGTATGTAAGTGTAAAAAAAAAAAAAAAAAAAAAAAAAAAAACTTACCTTTATAACCAGCCTTCTCTGCACGACTTATTATATTTTTGGTCATGGCGCGATCCTTGTAAACATAAAGCTGAAACCAGAATAAGGGAAGACCTGGAGTAGAGTGATCGACTGGGATCTCTTTTCCAGCCGCAATGGTGTCTTCACAACTGGTTGTTGCCCAGGAAGAAAGAATCATACATTTCTTGGCCTTGGCAGCCGCTTTTTTTTTTTTTTTTAAAAAAAAAAAAAAAAAAAAAAAAAAAAAAAAGTTAGATTTCTGGTTATTTGTTTTATGTGATGATGAAAGAAAAAAAAAAAAAAAAAAAAAAAAAAAAAAAAAACTCACCTCGAGCAGTAGCTTTCTCGCCTTCATCATTTGCTAAACGTTGCATTGCTGTGGGGGCAATGCAGATCGGGCTGCTCACAGGGTGACCCAACAAAGTAGTCCGGGTGTCAACCTTGGACACATCCCTGAGGATTCTAGGACGAAGACGAATTCTTTTTATTTTTATTTTCATCAGAAAAAGAGATTTGTAAGGATATGGAAAGACGCGATTTTGTTTAATGTCATCAATGTTATTTAAAAAGATTTTCGTTATTTAATATTTACCGAGAGAATGCGTCTTGGTTGTCTTTGAGAGTCTGCATATCATTTGCTCCACTACGATAGTAGTCAAGAGCGTTAATGTCTAAAGAGATGGCGGCATTGTTCTCCAAGTCTGCAAGGCAGATGGGAACGAGACGATGCTGAGGACGGGCCATGGTGAAAAAAAAAAAAAAAAAAAAAATGTTGCTGTTTGCTTAAAATGAATGAAGGAGAAAAAAAAAAAAAAGTTTGCAGCACCGAGCGTTAATTGACTTTGTAATATAAACCATGGGAAATGTTGGAGCGAACCAAAGTCACGAGGCTGGCTCCTGCCCACATTCGCCCGAGGACTGCTTGTTTTTGCATACATCTCCGGTTAAATAAGAAAAGATAGATCAGTATTTTCATCGCCTGCATTCTGCATGTTTAAACATTACTTGCGTCATTTTCATTGACATTAAACATTAATTGCATTTTGCAATTACTTTTTCTATTTCATTCATTCTAAATTTTTCGCGTCGTTCAAGGTTTTTATTGCTTAGACGCTTATTGCGCATTCCATTGATAAGACATAAATAGTTAAAATTAAGAAGGATAAAAAGATATGAGTTTCGGGCGACCACCAGGCTTTACAACTTTTTCTGCAGCCCCGCCAGATCGTGGAAGCTTCCCTCTTGATCATGATGGTAACTTACATGTCAAAGGATACATATTTCACGTAACGAAATGGAGAAAGGGAAAGGATTAAAAGGACCTTTGGGGATTACCCCTCCTTTCGATTCAATTGCTAAAAACATCTACTTTAATTAATTTTTATTTTTTATGCATGCTAGGTGAATGTACTCTGTTCATGAAAGAATACCTGAGCTGCCTCAAGGAAAACCAAAACAACAATGGCAAATGTAGACATTTATCTAAGCGATATCTCAAATGTCGTATGGAAAAGTAAGAAAGTTCTGGATAATCCCCTCAATGTCCAGTACTAGAGATGGGAGATTAGGGGTTGGAGAGAGAGAGAGAGAGAGAGGGAATGAGATTGAGGATCTTTTTTTTTTTTTTTTTTTTTTTTTTTTTGTTGCAGTGTGTAGCTCAACCCAGTTAATCTTTGGAGATGGTGGCGTAAAAAAAGTTTGAGTCTAAAATTTTAACTAATGGATTGTATACATGACTTTTTTTTTTTTTTTTTTTTTTTTTTTTAATGTTGTCAAAAGGGGTCTTATGGGTAATGATAGTTTCAAGAACTTGGGCTTCCAAGATGATGAATTTGATGATGACGGAGACAAGAGCAACAGGGATAACAAGGTCTACAAGACTGAAAAAGCAGCAGGAGCAGCAGAAATAGGAAAAGCAGCAGCAACAACAACTACAGCTACGACGAGACAGAGCTCTACCCCTGATATCAGTACTCTAAAAGATTCAGCCGGTCTGTCTTCGTCCAAGGACGCGAAAAAAGACTATGAAGGATAATAAGCTTAAGGAAGATAAGAAATAGTAGGATAAATTAAAATAGAAGATTAAATAGTTAAATAATTACGCGACTATTGACTTTTCAAGGCACATGTTTGGCGCACATAAAAAAAGGAAAAAATCCTGAGAATAGACAATTTTGACACAAAGAAAAAAAAAGATCTCTTGGCATACATACAGAGTAAAGAAAAAAAGGAGGAGAACGTATAAAAGTATAAATCGACATGCAGGATGCACGCAAAAAAAAAATAAATAAATAAACACCACGTTCTTACTTAGTTCATGGACAGAAAAGATGCACTACTATCACTTCTACCCTCCTAGCAAAAAAAAAAAAAAAAAAAAAAAAAAGGATCTAGGCACACATTGGGGGGTTTTTTCTTCTTTGCTTGAACCAATAGGGTAGTACTTTGAACGCGTTAAATGAACCAAATCAGCGGAAGGGAAGAAAGGGAGTTGAGAAACTTGTTTGGGCGAGAAAATGTTCCCGCATAACAATGGACAAGAGGATAATGAAGACGGGAAGGAAATGGCTCTCTTACTTTGTCATCTAAAGATCTTGCCTTGAACCATATCCATCTGCTTGTATACTTTGATGAACAAAAACTCTTGAGGAAATCCATAAATTTCCTTTTTCGCATTTCAAATAAAACGGCATAAGAAATACTTTTATAGATTTCTATCCACTTTTTTTCCTATGTTTCAATGCAGGAGCTTCTCTTTTTAGGAAAGAAAGAGGAATATAGTCAGAAGTAACGTTGTTCAAGCTTTCTATTCAACCAATTGCTACCCCATTTCCCGATGGCGAAGTAATTTGATGCCAAGCCTTTTTTTAAGGGTTCTTTTTGAGCAAAACTCAAAAACTCAAAAAGTCAAAAAAAAAAAAAAAAAATAAGCGAAGATGCATGAAACTAAAAAAAAAAAAAAAAAAAAAAAAAAAAGAGAAACAGAAGGGGCTTGTTATTGAATTGAGTTGATGACGGAGTAATGGCCCAAGCCAAGATGAAAGAGTGAAAGGTAAAGCAAAATATATTTCGAGATTGGTGATCGACAACCACCGAATTAGGTGTGGTGTGGCAAGAGAAAGCAAAAAATTCGCGCCTGAATTGAGTTTTTTCTTTTTTGCTATTCTCACCGAAAAGGAGAGCGGGAGAAAAGTGATGGCAAAACAAATAAAGAAAAAAAAAAAAAAAGAGGTCCGTTTTTTTCTTAATACTACTGTCTTGTGCTCTATAATTTAACGACTGTAAGATTGTAAAGCATGTCCCCCGTTTCATTGAAATATCGGCATCCTTTCCATGTCTTTTCTTTTCTTTTTTTTTTTTTTTTTTTCTTTTTTTTCTGATCACCTCATTCATCACTTGCCCACTCTTTTTTTTTTGTGAGTTTGTAAAAAAGTTTTTTTTTTTAATTCCAACGATATAAACCCACTTTTACTAATTCTTATTTGTTTGTCTTTTTTTCTTCTTTTTAGCATTTACTCTTCCCTTCTCTTTCTTTGTTTTTTTTAGTAAGTTTTTTTTTTTTATATCGATAAGGCATATACGCAATAAGGATTGAAAACAGAACAACCTTTATCGTATTTCACTAGATTAGACTCTATCCTTTTGTTCCTGTGGTTACAGCCTTTCTTGGGTGATAACTATGGACAGTGATATTAATTAATTCCAATATGACCCAAAATACGATAATGTCGCAAAAAACAATGAATTTTTTTTTTACAGATTCTCCCTTTCGACATGAGGTTTAATATCGGACTGGGGCATGCTCCCTTCCTTTTCCCGCCAATATCTGCGCAGCACTCTCTCTTTCTTTTCTTTTCTTTTTTTTTTTTTTTTGTGAACGAGTATTTACTACCAATATCTATCCTTTTCAACTCCATTTTTTATTTCCATCTTAATTTTTATTTGTTGTCACGCAATGCACCATGTTGTGTATGTGTAACGGAGTGCTGTCGTTCGTTTGGGGTTATAACCCTTTAATCACAAAAACAATGATAATTTTGAGGGTTGCCATGCAAGATTCAAGGAACCACAACGTGACATGCACTAATAACAAAACAAAACAATAACATCCTCAATTTTTTTTATAGCTTCTCGTTTATTAGAAAAAAAAAAAAAAATGGTCTCTCTTCGCATTTGTTCCGATAACGAGGATGGAGCCCCCAGTCGCTCTCCCACAACGGAACGAGGAAACGAGAGACAAGGCCATGACCATGATGATAGCATGGTCAATGGCACTGTTAACTTAAATGGTCACGGTCATACCAATGGCCATTCTAACGGAGGTATCACCTAAAGAATAACCTTAATGGCCTATGATATTAACCCACCAATCACCGTCCATCGCCTTCACCGTTTCCCTCCGCAAAGGCTTAATTATATTTTTTACTCTCTCTCTCTCTCTGTTTCTTGTTCCTTGACGCGTGTTGTTTTTTGCTTTTCTTTTTTTTTTTTTTTTTTTTTTTTTTTTGTTTGTTTTTTGTGGGAAATGGACCTCAATTATGACATATCTTTGAGCATGTGACTCAGTGGCGGAGATCAGAACTTTGTTAAGTTGGCAGCTTTTTTTTTTTTTTTTTTTTTGTTTTCTTTTACTTTCTTCTCAAACTCCTTCCATTCTTATATATGTTCTAGACGAGCCTTCGCTTCCTGCGGCTCAAGTGGCAAGTCCCTCCCTGTTCTTGAGGAACCACCCTCAAGTACCCGCTGATATTGGAGAGGAATGGCGGACTCTCCCAGAAGAGACCCGGCTACAGACACAGGGCCTTCAGATTCATCTTGATAACTTTCTCCGCCCCTCCTTTTCTTTCAGAATTTCGTCCAGAGATCAAGTCACTCAATGGACGAATGTTGCTGAAGAAAACACCAGCGTTTCTCCTACTCACCAAGACTCTATGAACCAGATTCTAGAGGGCGAGGGAGATGAAGGCAAGAACGAAAATTCGCATCAAGAAATGCTACAAAAATGGCCATGAACAAGAAATATCGAACTATGAAAAATAACCAAAACTCGTGATTGCACCCACGTTTTTGTTACGCAAAATAGCACCATCAAGTTGATTGGGAGGATCCATCAACAAGATTGGCGGATGGAGACAGTCCAGGGAGGAGTTTTTTTTTTTTATTTTTTTTTTAAAAAAAAAACTTGCTCATCATAGAAAAACCCGTTTAATAAATTTTATTTATTTAAAAAAAAAAAAAAAAAAAAAAAAAAAGAATACCATGATTTTTACGCGGACAAAGTTTAATTGATAAAGTATGAGTTCTGTACTAGACCGGTTGAATGGAACTGATGCTTGGGAAAGGATTTCCTTTACTCAACACAAGAATTCTTTTTTCTTGTGAAAGGTACCCTCGGATGTAATTCTAAGAAAGAATAGAAATATCAGAAATCAGATGGAACAAAACCAAACAAAAAAACAAAAAAAAAAAAAAAATAAAAAAAAAAAAAGACCAGTGACACAAAAATAAAAAATAAAAACCAATGGGATGTCTAATGCTTAAATTATCATTATGGAATGCTTGTGTCAACAAAACGTTCTTTGACCTCCCCTGAAAAAAAAAAAAAAAAAAAAAAAAGGTGATGCATACTTTACCTTGTAGATCATATTAGCGATCATGCATTCGACTTCGTCCAGGTCCGCCGTTACACCAACAAAAGCCAATGCCGTCTGGAACGCTGAAATACTTACTCTACTCGTTCCACCCGTCGTCTTGTATCTATTTTTTATTTTTTGTTTAAAAATTAAGTAAACATCTGAAAGCGGAGGCGCAATAATTATGCAAAAGAAAAAAGAAGAAAAAAAAAAAACGACATTGATGCTTGCATGCTGCATGCATGCGTATTTCGCGAGAAAAAAGGAAAAAAAAAAAAAAAAAAAAAAAAAAAAGATTAACTTACACTTTCTTGAATAAGGTCCGCATCACCAGGCCTCTTGACATCTCCACAGTGAGATAGGTACCCATGACCATGAATCGTCCTGCTGCTTGGCTCAAGCCTTCATCAAACAGCTGCACGTTCCCAGTTTTGATTGCATGTATCAAAGGTCCATAAAGAGAGTCCAGTTCTGGAAACTCACGTAGTAAGCTTGCTGAAGGTAAAGATCCACGCAAGAGTCTTGCTGGGATCAAATAATTCAGAATTAAACGTCGATGTTTATGAAACTTTGGTGGTGTCCGATCAAATGCAAACTGTAGATCTGCTTCGGCCTTAAAGGAATAAAGGAATAGGAAAGAAGAAAGAGTTACATTTATAACTATGTTGTCATGAGTGTCATTAGTCTTGCGGTGTCATTGCCAAAGCTTTGACTCCATTTTTTTTTTTATTTTTTTACCTTTGTAAAATCCGCATCAAATGATGATAGGACACCGGTGTAATAACGCATTGTTACTTGATGTGCCATAGGAAACTGACTCAACTCTGGAAGTTCTGCTACTTGAATCGCACGAATGATGTTTTTACACAAATTGTGCGATTTCAGCTATTGTTATCAATTAAAGTAATATTATTAATCAAAATAACCCAACATCCAAATGGTAAAAGGCAAAGTGCTTCTTTCAATAGCCAAACTAAGCTTTTTTTTTTTAAAAAAAAAAAAAAAAAAAAAAAAACGTACTTTGAAGTAGGTTCTGAAAAGAATACATGCTATGTTATATGTTCCCCATTTTTTAGAAGATTGAATTGGTGATCTGTAGAACGAGAAAAATAAATAAAAACCTATGTCAACCTTTGATGTTTGCTCTATTGAGATTGAACAATTTGAGGAAACGATTAATTTGCTCCTCACATTACCGGTCTGTAATACACGATGTAAATGATTTGTTGACCATACGAGCACAATCCTCCAGACTGACAGGTGCCTCTCCTCTTTGTTCTAATTGCTTATCTGCCTACATGTTTAAAATAAAATATAAGCAAGTCAACATAATGGAAAAGGAGTTTTTTTCTTTTTTCTTTTTTTTTTCTTTTCCTCGCTCTGCTTTTACCTCAACGGCGAGTTTGCAAAGATCCTTGTTAATCGTAAAAAGAGCCTCCAATGACCAGTTGGTCGTCTTCTGAAAGTCCCGTAAGAAGGCTCTAAAAAATGGTCCACGATAAAGAATGATCTGTTTAGTAATGTCCGTTTTTTGCCCCCCTCTTTTTTCCCCTTCTTTTCTTTCCCAGCTCATCGGAAAAAAAAAAAAAAAAAAAATTGCTCAAAGTGATAGGTCTTACGCAAGCGCCGTGTTTTGTGCCTCATACGCCTCAATAAAATCTCCCTTTGAAATAGCTCGCCCCGCCATGATATGATGAAAGATGATGTCGGACCAAGGCTGTTCCAAGCGATCATGACAGTTGCGTTCTACATCTCGATTCTATAGAGATTTTTCATCATTATTATTATCTTTTTTCTTTTTTTTTTTTTTGTGTGTACGTGAAAGCAATAAACAGGCATACGATATTGCATTTTGACGAGTTTAGAAAGAGCTTTTTTTTTTTTATTATAATTATTATTTTTTTTTTTTAGTGCCCGTGTCCTTACAGATTCAGGGCTATCAAGAAGCATCTTCTCTGTATGCTTGCCAAAAACCTCAATGTAACTTGAGAGCTTGTAAGCATTCTGTGTATGAAGGGCTTGGTTGATTTGGCCAATGTACATCGGTAGCTTCATGGTGGATGTTAAAAAGTGGTTTAGTTTGTTTTCCTTTTTGTGGAGAATGTCCTTGGAGCACTCTGTATGCATGCACTGCAACAGTGACTGTTTTTGCCTCATTTCCGAGTACACTCCACTAACCAGTTGAGAGCAAAGATTCATGGATACAATCTTTCTATGGTCTACTTTTCAATACGCTAAAATGAGTTGTGCGGAAGAAACTCGTGTTTTTTTTTTTTGTTGGTTACAAATCTTGAAAGAACTATCTTGTGGATGTCATGTCGGAGCAAACTAATACAACGTCAGAAGCCTTAGTCGCTGACCAATAGTTTATAAATATATAGATATCAATATATATTTTTCCTTCTTTTCACTCTTGTTCTGCAAAAGCTTTAAACGTTATCAATGAAATATATTTATAGATCAGAATTGCAAATAAAATATGCCTTGCCAATCTGGTATGACTTGAGACCTTGAAGAGTGATTCGTGTTTGGTGCTTTGGGGGAAGGAAAAATAGTATTGTATTGAGAGCATGTTATGTCATGGCGAGTAAAAATCGAGAGGGTGTTTCACTCCCTGGAAGAGGTCAGAGTGTTGGGCAATGGTGTGTGTAAATTTTGCTTTATCTATTTTTTCCGTTGGTGTCCAAGCCTTTTCCTGTGGTCTCCTTTGAGGAAGGAAGACGAGGAAGGTTTTGGTCCATCATATGCTCCTTGCAAACATTGTTTTCCTTCAGAGTAGATGGATTTTGATCTGTTTACAATCCTGTGCTGTGTTTCTTTGTTTCCCAGTGCCCATGTCTTTTTATTGGTGAGGGGATAAAATGTAACGAGTGACCAAAGCTTGAATTTGAGCAATGGAGTAAACTCCCCATTATTAGCTCAGTGATGCAAGAGTCTGCCACCACAAACATCAAAATGGGCGCCATAATGGAGTACATGTATGGGTGTACGGTATATACAATAAATGTTTCTATTAAGTTCTCTTTATTTTGTGTTTTTGTTTTTGGGAAAACGGGGCAGTAAAGAGAAAAGAGAAAGGGAGGAAGGGAGGAAGAGAGGAAGAAAGGAAGAGGGGAAGAGGGGAAGAATTGAAGAGGAGAGGAGAAGAAGAGAGGAAGAGAGAGAGAAGAAAGAAAGCCTTCTCCTAATCATCAAAGGAGAGGAGGAAGATAGGCAAGCCAAACAAGTTGCGCGGATATAAAGCTCTTTTCATTAATACGGCTCTTTGGGGTTTCTATCACTTTTAGCATCATATCGGAGCAAACTAATAGTGCCTTGCAAGCCTATTAGGCAAAAGAAATAAGAAATATTCACATCTTTCTCTCCGAGTTCAAAGTTGCTTTTTTTTTTTTTTTTTTTTTCGCGACCCAAAGGTTCAATGTTTTCGACTAGTCTACTATTACTTGAGAGAGATAGACTTGTTAGAGCAAAGGTACTGCTTTGTTTTTGGCATATTTGTTTTATTCTGTATTTTCCAGGTCCCCATGCCAAATGCGTTTATCTCCGTTTTGTGTAATATAGTCAAACTATCAAGATCTCTACAAATCCATGAATGGCCATGATTTACATTTGCATGCTCTCTAGTAGAGCTCCAAAAAAAAAAAAAAAAAAAACTTGTTATAATTCTTAAGGACCCCTGCAGAGGTCTACTTGCTGTTTCCAGCATATTTAGACCAAAGCTTCAGCATGGAATGTATGTATGTGCTTTTCTCCCATGGCCTTCCTAATTTGGGTGCCTGGGTGGTTATCATTGAGAAGAAAGAAAAGAGATAGTTAAAAAAATATAAATATATATTCTGTGCTCTGTTAAACATTATGAGGTTCGCATGATTTTGATAATTATCTGATCATACAGCCCATATTCAATTTTGAATGAGCCATAACAGATAGAGTCATGATCGAGAGTGGTCAGCTCCAAAGACGAGCGTCGAATTTATTATTTTTCCTTATTTTTCCTTTTATTCCGATTCATCGGTATGTTGGTCATATCTATAACACCAGATATCAATCCTTCATGACTAAACAAGTTGATTGCATGGCTTAATGTAGTTATACATAATAAAAGAAAACTCGAAGGATCTGGTATACTCACTTCACTAGTGCAGATCAGTACTATCGCAACAGCCGTTAAGGATAAAATGCGCAAATTCACACTCATTGCATTCACTACACTTGCTGCAAATGAGCTTATATCCTTTTCTTGCTTCCCTTTTAGCGAGCAATGACCTTGTTCTGAGGTTGTCCTCCTTTGAGTTCATATCCATAACATCGCTTTCCAATATTTTGAACAAAGTTGGCGTTGATTTCATTGTCTTCTCATGACATACTTCTTGGATGGTTGAACATTGTATTATATCGCCGACAGCTCCATGTTGCTCTAAAAGTCTTCTATTCGTTTCACTCAAGCCAGAAATACCTTGAATCGTTGCATTGCTAGCATTAAGACCTTCGTGATTCGTGCTCCACTTCAGGCGGATGTAATACTGGCTGCCCTCCTCTTTGATGATCTGCCACATTCGAGCAGAACCGGCCAAACACCCTATCGCTAGAAAGTAGCCTTCTTCGGAAATATTCCATGCAAAGGTTCGGACTAATACCCCTGCCATTGGGATAGTAGCTAAGCACTTGGCTGACTCTGGATCCCATAGTCGTACAGTCATATCATGACAGGCTGAGGCAATGTACCGGCCATCACAAGAATAAGACATGGCATTTATGCCGTCATTGTGCCCTTCAAGCTTATGCAATACGAGGCCTGATTCAGTATCCACCACACTAATTAGCCCTTTATCGCTTCCAACAGCTATTTGTTGACTGCGTGGCGAAACTGCGATCATCGTCAGAGTTTCCTTGAAACCTAGTTCGCAACATAGCTCTCCTGCTTCTGCGCTCCGTAACTGCACCTTTTCGCTGTTCTGAATAAATGCAATCTTCTGATTGTCAGGCGAATAAACAAAATAAGAGTCCAACAATCCAATAAAGTCCAAACCATCTAACTCATACAGTAGGTCTCTTGAGTGTGCCATTCAGACTCTGCTCATTTTGTCCTTATCACAAGAAGCAATTTGGTGACCATTAGGTGAGGACAATACAAACTCCACATTACTGCCATACCCTTGTATAGTGCGTATGAGTTGTCCTGTTTGGGTATTCCACACACTCACATCCCCACTAGAGCGACTGCAGGCAATTTGATGGCCAATGGATGAAAAACCAGAACTGCGGATGCTATCATCCCAATTCAGTGGCCTCAAAGTATGAACAACTTGGCCTGATTGAGTATCCCAAAGGTAAACGTATGGATGATTGCCTCGGCCATGATAGGCAAGCTGACCATCAGGTGAGCAGCTGATCGATGAAAAATATTGTAAAGTGTGTATGCACTGTCCCGTCCGGCTATCCCACACAGAGGTTGTACCGTCCAGGCTGTGGGATATGATATGGTGTCCATTCCGTAAATGCTTTACTTGGAAGACTGTAGTTGGATGCCCACGACTAGACTGCTGTGGTTGTGTGTCCAACAGGCGTATCGCTCCATCTCTACTGTATGACACAATCTGGCTGCTGACGGATGAATATGCTAGACATTGTAAATGGTCAGTGTGGCCATACAATGTGTTGGTCAGTTGTCCGGTTCGAGCGTTCCAAAGTTGCACTGTGTTGTCCAAACAACAAATGGCTATCTGCTCTCCATTTGGTAAATACCTTAGCTCACCGGTAAAGCCGCTAACGCTTCTAATAGTATGGATGGCCTTCCTTGTCTGCATACTCCATTGATATGCCTCAAAACCGGCAAACGAAGTGGCGAATTTCTCACAAGGAGAGTATTGAAAACCTTCAGCAGGCTTCTTATGCCCCAAGGTCCACTTCTTCTGGCCAGACCGAGCATCCCACACATCCAATGAACAAGACTTATTACAACAAACGATGATTTCTTGACTGTCAGACGAGTATACGATTTGTTGAACCTGAGACTCACAGCCTTGAAGCCTCCATATTAGTTCTCCTGTTGCCGTATCCCATAGTAGTACCGTCTTGACTTCGCCTCCACTTACAATCTGCTTTCCATCAGGTGAATATACCACAGTTGTCGCCTCCCCAGCATGTCCCTTTGATGTGTATTGGAGGGTACCAGACTTGGCATCCCACACATGCACTGACCCATCAGAGCCAGCTGAGACGAGATGATCACTACTTGGCGAGTACACTACAGCATTAGCGTAGCCTGTGCCCTCCGACCTGTAAACCAATGAGCCTGATGTTGCATCGAATACGCTAACCATATAGCCACACGCAATGGCAATGTGTCGGCTGTCTGGAGAATAGATGAAATCGACACCAAACTCCAAAGTTAAACACTTCTCCCATGCCGATGTATCATAGATGCTGATCCAGCACTCTTCAGTTTGCATATTGAAGATAGCTACAGTTAATTTCTTGCCATCAGGTGAACATGATGCCTTAAATACTGCTCCCCCTCCGCGAAGAAGTGGCCATTCTCCAAATTGTACGCCAAACATGCTCACCCCACTCAAGTCTGTCTTCTGAAGCCAACAACTGTTAAGGATAGCCTTCCTCAAGTCTGCTCCTTGTAGCTGAGTACCATCGAATATCCCATGGCTAGGGTCGGCTCCCGGGATCTGAATGCCACGCAAGTCTGCTCCGATAAACGATTCTCCTGCTCGGATCAAGATCGTTATTGCATTATCTGCCGCTATCCGCCACTTGTCTTCGCTCCTCGAGAGTTCTACATACTCATACAACTGCTGTTTAAACTTTACTTCCAGTCGCATGCGATCTTCCAGGAACTGAAGGATAGATGGTTCGTTTACAAAGCTCCTCCATACTAAAGGCGAGCTCTCATCTGGCCTGACTGAGTCATCTTCTTGTCCAACCACATCACTCTCTTCCATCTCAAAACTGAATACAGAGCTGATACTCTTTCGACGGCAAGTCGGCGCAAGTGTTGGCTCGCTATCGTTTGCAATCAGACTCATCTCTTTCCGTGGCTCAAACATTGCGCGTACAACACAGTGCTCCAGAATAGACCTATGAAAAAACCGATGTTGGTTGCCTGTGCGACTCAGAGGTGACGCTTCTCGCAGGATATTCCTACTACTTCCTCTGCTAAAGCACTCCTCTTTCCATGTTCCTTATAATCCAACTGAAGATGCAATACTATAGCTGCTCACCTTGAAGATCTTCCCTTGGCAATGAGAGCAGTCTCTTTAATATAGTAATGATCCATTGTTTGATCTGCACATGATCACCCCAGTCTTTGTCATTCTTGTAGATTTCTCCAAGAAAACTAACCGCATCTTGGCGTATCCCAATGGTCCACTCTGTACTGGCTGCAATCTGCCCTAGTCGTTGACATATTCCCCATTGGAATGCAAGATCTCGTCGACAGGGCACTTCACATAAAAGAGTCTTGAACTTGGTGAGCTCGTCTGAGTGCAGGAATGCATCGGCTTCACGGAGCGCTGGATACCATGCACTCTTGCGACTAAAAGCGAGTCCTTCTTCCATGCTCTGTTTGAATGTCATCCCACTTTCGTATAATGAGATCACGCCATTGTTGTGCGTTGTTATTCTTGCTGCTATAATTGTATTATTTAATTCGTTACCACCGATATTCCGGTTGTTGTTCTTGCTGCTCAAGCTGTTGCTCCTGCTTTTTTGTCAGTTTTCTCAGCATCATTTGGGCGACCCAGACGTTCGAATAGGCGAGCGATTTCAATGTAGGCTGAAGCGATATCTTGGCGTGGCATCTTGTCTTCATTAGAGGCGGAGGCAATAAGTTTCGTTCCCTCAGCCCGCTGGATCCGAGACAGAGCAAAGTCTGCATCGAGACACAGCTCCATGAGGATATCGTGTTCATTTTGTATCCTGTGCGTATCCCCCTTGTAAAGGTTGAAGAGTCCCAGAGCCTTTGGCGGCGGAAGGGCACCTCGAGACGAAGTATACTTTGTCCCAAACATTGGTTGTTGTATTTTTTTTTTATTTATTTTTTTTTTTTTTTAGAAATCTCCTGTCAGCTGTGAACTATTGGCCTTGAAGTAAGAAGAATTGTATTAGAATAGTGTTGTTAGTCAGTAGCCACCTTTATCACTTTGACGGATATAAAGAGTTGACAGCAACATACAGCTATTTTCAACTATATTAATTTGAACAAGCAAGCGCTCTATGTTGAGAGGTGGATGTTGTTGTGAGAGGTGAACAAAGAAAAAAAAAAAAAAAAAAAAAAAAAAAGGGTTTGGCGAAGTCGAAAAAACACGAGGGGTGAATATTTGCGTGGCTTTGCATATGTACATGTACATGTACATGTACATGTTTGGAAACAGGCATAGAGTTGCCAATATCATGTTTGCCACTTGTCGTCGTGAGGGTCAATAGTGAAACCATATACCTTTGCCCTCTAAATTGGATCCAGAAGAGCTAAAGATATCGATGGTACCTTTGCATCATAGCTGACTGAAAGCTTTTTTTTTTTTATTTTTTATTTTTTTTCGAAGTTGACTTTAATTCGTTTACATGGATTTAGAGCAGTAAACCTTATTTTAATGGACTGTCGTGGATCGGGATGGAAGACCCAACGCGTCAATCAATCGGTTCTTCTTCCCTCTCTCCTACACAAAGGTTCCCCACAAAACCTAAAAAAAAACTTCGACTAGTCCCCAAGATGTAGAAAACGTAAATAGGGCGCCTATTATATCATCAGTTTGCGCGTCCTTGTATATATCAGTTAGGATAGACCTTTCTTTCAGCAACCTCGACAAAATGAAAAGAAGTTTATTAGGTTGTTTGAATACGTAGACGTAGATGTGCTTCTCGTCTAGGGGAAGTTTAGATTAACGTTGACAGCGACAGTATTATTGTTGCTTAAGACGTTCGTCGTTTTGCCGTCATTCTTCTTTTTCTTGTGTCTGCTCTGACGACTTTGGCCGTCATTGCCGTGCATGGACCTCAATTTTTTTTTTGTTTCAACTGATAAAAGTCCCAAGGTGCTCACATTCAGTAGCGCTTTGAATGAATTTTTGATATTTCTACGATGAGTTGATGCGTCATGAACAAGAGAGGTGATGCAAGTTGAAAAAGGTTCGATAAATGGAGTGCAAAGATCCTGTGTGTATCCAACGACGGATCGAGAGCGCAGAGGGGGTTGTTAGGACAAGGGGCCAGCATCTAGATGGGAGGCATTTAAGTCAGGGTATCAGGGTATCAAGGTATCAAGGTATCAGGGCATCAAGCATGACATTCTAGATGGACATACCCAAGACCCCCCTTTGCTTGTATGTACCAAGTTTGGATATTTTCGATGAAGGATAAAAGAAGTAAGATTTGCAAAGCAAGGGAAGGAATTTAAGGTTCCCCAAATGTCCTAAGCTTGCGGTAAAAAAAACCAATGCAAAGTCACTGGAACACATGAGTTTATGCATTTTGCCAAGCATTGCGAGATTCTTTTTCTCTTCGCCACTCTCTCTTTCTTTCTCTCTTTCTCTTCTTTCCTTCTCCTTTCACTCTTCTTTGCCCACTTTTTTTCTTCTTCTTCAATACTAATCACATTCCTGTGATCACTGCTGCCTTTTTATTATTATTATTATTCTTTTTTTCTTTTCCTTCTTCCCCCATAAAGAAAAAGGAGAAAAAGGATGGTGCATCCCGGAATAATTGTTGCAAGCGTCTTTGGCGTAGTTGTCACTGGCGTAGTGATCTATACGATCATCAAGGAAGAATTCTTTGAACAACCAAGCTCGACTAACTATGAACGATTCCGAGAAAATCACCGGCAACAGCAGCGACAACAACAACAACAGGAGGAGGAGGACCAAGACCGATATAATTTCTACTCTTCCTCGACCTCGATCCATGGCGACTATGAACTACGACAACGACGAATCCCCCAACCTGAAGACGACGAGAATGAAAAATCGAAGCTTGACGTAAGTTTGTTTTTTTTCTTTCTTTTTTATTTTATTTTCTATATTGCTCAAGTCTTTACAATGCATAGACATTCTTTTTTTTTTTTTTTTGTTTGCAAATGTACGCATGTGAATTGAATTTGCATGCATGCAGTCATGCATTGTTTATTTATTTTCATTGCAATGCCCCCTTCCTTTATTTTTTTTTTTTATTTTTTTTTTCTTCGTCAATGCAATGTTCAATGTGCAATCAGTCAAACCAGAAGCAGGAAAAAGCCTTGGAGACTACTACTAAAATGGAAAAAAAAAAAAAAAAAAAAAAAAAAAGAAAGCGATAGTTGTAATGTTTCCGACATTAGTTGACTGTACCACATATGATTCTGTCTCCAGTCTCTTCATGACGAGCTAAAAAAGATTGGTGTTATTGGGCTTATATTTGTCATATTTACCCTCTCGGCTCTCTTTTGCTCACAAGTTTATTTTCCTGTGTGGAGCGCAAGAAAAAAGGAAAAAAAAAAAAATCCCAAAAGCGGAACAGCATCCAGCTAAATTTGGAAAGACTTTTTTTGAGTGAAACAAGCAATATCAATCTCCTTTGCTACATACAAATCATACAATGTTAACACTGCTTCTTCCTTGTTAACAACAAATTAGAATGATCTAATGCAAAGACTACAAAGGGTTGAAGCAGAGGAGGCTCGTCTTGCAGAGAAGGAAAGGGCTATGCGAGAGCGTGAAGAGAATCTGCAGCGATCTATGCGTGAGCATGAGGAACGTCTGGAACGAGAAATGCGAGAGTCTTTTGTTCTTAGAGAACGTAGAGATGAAGAAGAGGAAGAGGATGAGGATGAACAACTTGCTAAAACACTTCGTCAACGGGAACCACATATCTCTCCTCCCACTATCTCTGAGATTTATCAAAACCCATTTGCTAGCCATGAACCCTTGATCCAAAATTACAATGTTACAGATTCCCAGGAAAGTATTGATTATCATCATACAAGCCCCTCAGCTGCTACAGAATCAACAACGACAGCAATAGAGACAACAGCACCACAGTCTGGAGTTAGCTCCCGTGCTGCCAATGCAATTCTTCGTCATGACTTGAGTAGTAGCCATCATGAGAACATTAATCCATTCGAAGATCCTTCGACTCTACTTGAGAACCTATCCTCGTCCTCGGATCGATCATCAGTTCACGGACATGGAAGGATGAACGGGGACGTGTTTGCGGATTCAGAGGATCGATCAGTCACTGTGGATCGTGATGATGAAGAGGATTTTGAATGGACCGAGGCTGAAATCGGTAGCATTGGATCACAAGAATCAGACGAGTCGTGGGTGTCGCATTAGAGAGAAGATCATAAAGATGTTCAGAAATGTGGGGGGGGGCACTGACCTTCTTCCCTCATTAGACTTCCGATCTCCCCTTTTTTCCTTTTTCTTCTTTTCTCCACATCTGTCATTTAAAAAATAAAATAAAAAATAAAAAAAAAGGTAATAATCTTTGTCTTTGCCAAGAATGCTTAATTGGTTTCAGGTTAGCTGCCATTCTAGGCAATATTCTGTATTAGTCCAAAGTTCCAATTTAGCAGCACATGAGCACTCTTGACTTGGCTCGTGCGAGCATATTAAAAACTTTTTAAAAAAATACCTCAACAGTTACTGCTTTGCTTATCATCGCTTCAATCACGCCATCATCCATCTGTCTTGTCAAGCATTAAATAAACATATTCATAAAAAAAGAAAAGGCCCAAATGTTAACAGTTGATATCCGTAGTTGTTTTATTGCACATTCGTTCTGCATGCTCAAGAAACTACATGAAACGTTAAACATAGTGTCGAAAAAAGAACTGCAAAGGGTTTAACAAATTAAAAAAAAAAAAAAAAAAGGTACTGAAAAAAAGGTACTGAAAAAAAGTAAAAAAAGATTTTGTTAAAAATCAAAAGAGCACCATGGCCTTGTTATGAGGTTATAATGAAAGGAGTAAGAAATAAGGGTAAGAAAAAGAAAAAGTAAAAAGGGTTTTTCTTTTCTTTTAGAAACCGTGAATCTTGATCTGGTTCTTGCTAATTCCACCTTCAGTGGTTAAAAGAGTGTGGACCTTGGTACGCTGATCGCCTTGGAGCTGAATGACGGAACCCAACTCTTCATCCTCCACAAGAGTACCGTTGCATGCAAAGTCTTTCTTGAAGATCTTGAGCATACGCTTCTGGTCAAACGTCTTGGGCAGTCCCTGAATGGTCGTCAGGGTCTTTCGTCCGTTACGTTGTTGAATACGAATATCTAAAGAATAAAATACATATATAAATATACATGTTAGTTCATCAACACTGATACTTTTTTTTTTTTTTTTTTTTTTTAAAAACTACCTTTGTATAGTATAGTTCTTATCAGTTCACCCAATCCCCAAAGATCATGCATGTACCACTCCAATGAAAGAAAATGAAAAAAAAAACGAATGCGATTGGTGAAAAGAAAGTGAAGGAAAGAACTAGAGGGAATAAAACAAAAAGGAAATAAAAGGCAGTGCATTATGACAATTGTTTATAGACAAGAATACGATTGCGACAGGGTCAAGATTCCCCTTGGTTACGAAGGTATAAGAAAAAAAAAAAAGTAGCCATCGCTTATTGTTTGAAGAGAAAAGAGAAAGGAGGAGAGGGGAAACAAAAAAGGGTATAGATAAGAGGCCGCAGTAAAAGAAAAAAAAAAAAACGAGAGATAAGAGAATATTGACATACGGATATAATCCCTTTGTTCGGTAGTATCGCCAGAGTCGCCAAGATCGGCAAAAGGATCTATTGACAGATAAAGTAAAGATTGCCCATTTGTCATTAGTCATTTGTCACTAGTCAACTTGGGGGAGAAGTTGTTTTTTAAAACTGCGTATTTGACAGGGTCCACAGAGTGCTTTTTTAAAATAGAATTGATTCATACCGTAGGTTTGAAGGTTTTGAATATCGGACATGCGGTAATGTAGTGGTTTTTTTTTTAAAAAAAAAATTAATATATAAATTCAGAGAAATTAAAGATGGAGTTGCTGAACAAACAAGTCTTTTTTTTTAATTAAAAGAAAGAAAGTGGAGGAAAGTGATGTGGGGATGATGAAAAGAGAGAATAAAAAGAAGCTCCCATCTTTTCTTTTATATTGGAGGAGCCTCAGGTCATGAAACATCTGACCCTTAATATCTTATCATCACGTGTATTAGTGCCAAAAATGGCAAACATTTTGACCGCAGCACAACCGCAGCACAACCTACCCTTATTGGGTTTCTAGTATTTTTTTTGGATTCCCATATGTTATATACTATTGAAACAAAAGAAAAAAAAAAAGAACAAAAAAAAAAAAGAACCAAGAGGGTGAACATGTTGCACGCGGTGATTGATAGACCATGCCTGTACAAAAAGGCACATTCATGATACTGTAGTTTGACGTGGCTCGCTTTTGGCGAAAGCACCTTCGCCACCTGCGAAGTGCCGAATTACCCCTTTTCTCCTTCTTCTATTCTGTCTACATACTTTGCTTTGGCGTTGCTCGACTGCTTTGCCATCTTTTGAACTAATGTAAGTTTCCTTCCAACATCCCTACCAGCTGATTAGCTTGACGATGAAATGTCACTAATCTAATATTAATCTTTTTTGCTTTGCCAACAGTAGCGTAAAAAGAAAAAAATGAAAAAAATGAAAAAGGAAAAAAAAGATAAGGTGAAGTTCCTACCAATTACGCCCAGCTCGAGGGGAGCTTGGAGCAGTGAGTGCATTCAAAGATTGAAATCTCATTGCCTTCATGGATGAACTGCCCAATATTCAGAAAGAACTTCCGTCTGCAACTGACGTTGTAGGCAAAAGTTTGCGTATGCACAATGGTGCAACCTCACTCTACGCAAGTGGAGAAACGTTTAGACAGGACATGGATTCGCTTTTAGTCGCAGGAGTGCGCACTCTTTGGAGCCGTTGCATTCCTCCAGTCAGGCGAGCTCACCAAGTTCAAGACCCTTATACGCGAAGCACCCGATACTTGATGTGACATAAGAGCTAGCCAACTCAGAGCCTCATGTGATGGTGCCGGAAGGATCGTGGGAGCCCTGTGACCAGGAATGGGCATGTTTTTTTTTTTTTTTTTTTTTTTTTTTTTAGTTTTCATCAAGTAATTGAATGCGATAAACAAAGACCCATGTTTGGCAGTGGTAAATGAACTAGGATTAACTTATGAAATATGGTTTCGTCCATTTCACTATTTATTGGTAGGATTGGCCTAATAAGCCTTTTTTGTTTGCCTTCTGGCCTTGAGTTGAATCGCGACGTATAACTGTACCATTCATCAGTGGATGTTCTAGAGATCAAGCCCAAAACGGTTACAAATTAGCAAAATGTTGGACACCCATAGCAAGCACATTTCCACTCGCAGGCCCACCAAAACACTATGTCGTTCTTTACGCTCATTGTAACACTATGTCTGTCTATAAATATGGGAACACTGAGCATCTAAGGATTTCAAGCATCACATTCCTACTCTGTTGGAGAAATACCCAAGTTCTTCATGTATTGAAACCTAATCGCGGCGTTAGTGCTGTGTTCTTAAAAAGAACATTTATCTGGTGGAAATGCTAGCAACATTAGTTGATATTGATTGATGTTACCATGCTGAACTGTCATACGTGAGCAAAAAAGAAAAAAAAGGAAGCTGTGGACCATTTCCGTTTGCTAGCATAGGGGAATTGCGATGAAGCATGCGCTCATAAACTAAACAGCGTCTGGCGGCTTGAAGATCACTTTGGTATATAGGATGTTGAAAAATATATCCAGTTCACGGCTTTCTGGCAAGGACTCTACTGGGGATCATATTTGCCTGATGATGTGGCACGCTTAGAGGAGAATGCTCAGACAAGGAATACGAGGAATGAACAACATTTAATATTACACAAATCAGTTTTGTGAAACTATGCCTCTCCATCTCTTTTTTCTATTCTGCCTTCTCTTTTCTTCTTCCATCAACTTCGGTCCTTTCTTTCTTTCTTTTTTTCACTCGACTTGTTTTACCATACTTAGGCCATTAATAGATCTTCATTGTTTTCAAGCATTCCACTGTAAGCTCTCCTTCCACTATTGCTGTTAATTGATTGTTTTATAGATCAGACGACACTTATCTATAACTTTGTCAATCTTTTTTTTTTTTTTTTTTTTTTTTTTTTTTTCCTAAAGATGAGATGGCTACAGAGTACGCCTAGACGAGGACCACTCCCGCCTCAGAAAGCCTTAGACCTTGCTACCATTTACTTGGAGCAGGCACACAAGACAAAGGATCCTGTGCTCGCTTTAGAGATATGTTTGGATGCTGAGAATACTCTCTATCGGATACATCAATCGGATCGAAAGTCGCTCGTCGCTGCCTCAGCAAGCGGTACTGACAATACAGACAGAGCATTGTGCAAGGCAATTGCTGCTACTCTGAACAATGTCGGCGAACTATTCGACAACCTTGGTCATCCAGCTCACTCGAAAAGAGGTTACAAGTATGTAGCCAAATGGGGTCATGTACAACAACCCGATCCAGTTTCTGAAAGCCCTCATAAAAATCATCAAACCTTCAACATAAAAAAAGATGGTAACAGCACCAGCAAAAATATTCAAGGGAATGCCAGCGTCAGCACCAATATCATCAATGCTGGCAAGGTTATTCAAACACCAAAGGTCTCGACAACTCACAGATTTGCAACTATCCCAAAAGAAATATTCAATCATGACGTGGCTCAAGTAGTTTTTAACTGCAATCTCCCTCGTCCAGATATTTATTTGGATGATACCCGGCAGCTTGCATATTGCCTTAACTTGCTACCTACTGCCCCTATGCCTAAAAGAGACCCCAGCAATCAAGAGCAAGAATGGTCTTTATCCACATCGAATGATCAAGATGAGCTAGAGCGACTTCACAACCTGGTTTCAGATGTGATTACAATGTTCACCCAAAATGATGTCAAGTCTGAGGCTACTGTTGCTGAAGTCATGATGCTGGCTCCTGTTCTCAGTTACGAGCAGTATAGGGCACTACTCATGGCTTTGATCAATGGAATTAGCCAAAATGTCATGCTTGAAACTCATTTACTCGAAGGGTTGGCTCAGCTGATGCAGCGTGCCCCTCTTGGATACCTCGACTCCGATGATCTGGTCAATGTCCTCAACACTCTCAGTTCTCGCTTACAAGGCACTCATGGACAGTCTAGTGTTCACATCTATCGGCTGTGTGTAACAGTCTCACAAACGCTTGATGCTATGGTCAGCAGTCAAGCCAAAGGTCTGAAGCGAGAACAGCTCCATGAGCCGTTAGCAGCCTATTTGAAGGAGTTAAAAGGTAGCTCAGATCCCCATCTAGTGTATCATGCAGCTTATGCTGCACAAGCCCTACTGTATATCCCAGACGATGAGACAACAATGCAAGCCATGCTTCGACGTACATCAGCAGTGGCTCGAGGAGTGTTTGGAATTGTGGGTGCAGTTAAGGATTGGGATCTAAATGCCTTCATGGGTGAACTGTCCAACATGCAGAAAGGGCTTCCGCCTGTGAGTGATGTTGTAGACAAAAGTTTGGGTATGTACAACGGTGCAACCTCACTTTATGCAAGTGGAGAAGCATTCAAGCAGAGCATGGAAGAAGGACTCGCTTTTAGTCGCAAGAGTGCATGGTATCCAGCACTCCGTGGAGCTGATGAATTACTCCAATCAGGTGGGCTCATCAAGTTCAAGACTCTGGTGTGTGAAGCGCCCTGTCGACGAGATCTTGCATTCCAATGGGGAATATGTCTACGGTTAGGGCAGATTGCAGCCAGCACAGAGTGGACCACGGAGACACGTAAGGACGCTGTTCATTTCCTCGGAGAGATCTACAAGAATGAAAAGGATTGGGGTGATCATGCGGAGATCAAACAATGGGTCATCAAAATACTGAAGAAGCTGACTTTGATATCAAAGGCCCTAAAAGGTGAGCAGGTATAGTGATGTATCTTCAGTTAAAGTATGAGAAGTGAGGATACTAACAGCAAACCATATGCTCTACATGTGTTTTTACTTGTAGCTGCAGAGTCACTTCTGAGCAAGCTTGCAACAGATGGAGATGCCAACAAACAGCAACTGTACAAGGATAGTATCAACGAGCCAGCAATACAGTATCCCCTCATTGGCACACTGCTTTCACCGACATCTTCATCCTTGCTCGAGCGTGTACAGAACAAATCCGATGTTGAGAAGAACCTGCGCCTACTCAAGCGACAGCGGATGGAGATTAAAGATGAGCGGGACTTTTACATTCAACAGTATGCTAAAGCAAATCTCCAGGCAAGTGACGACAAAAAGTTCTTGCTGATGGACAAAGCGAAAGAGTTCCTGAATAGCGGTCAGAAAGTGTTCCTAGTCCAAGGTGAATCAGGAGCAGGCAAGTCGACATTCAATCGCACTCTAGAGCACGCTCTATGGGAAGTATACCAAAGGAAACGTGACCAGATCCCATTGTTTATCAATCTACCATCCATCGATAATCCTGCAAAGGATATGGTCGCAAAACAGCTACGAATGTACGATTTTACGGATGTGCAGATCAAGGAAATGAAGAAGACTCGGTCATTTATCTTGATTTGCGATGGATATGATGAGGTCATGCAGACCAACAACCTGTATGCTTCTAACCGCCTCAACAAACCTGGTGAGTGGATGTGTCAGATGGTGATCAGTTGTCGCAGTGAGTACCTTGGGATAGACTATCGAGATCGATTCCAGCCTATGGATCGCAACCGTCAAGCGGATGTTGGGTTGTTTCATGAAGCTGTGATTGTGCCATTCTCTGAGGCACAGATCGACAGCTACATCGAGCAATATGTTGCTGCTGTGGATCTACTCTGGGGTGTGGAAGACTACCAGCGAGCGCTCAAGATGGTTCCTAGTTTACGAGAGATTGTGGAGAACCCATTCATATTATCACTCTCGCTAGAAGTATTGCCACGGATGGTGGACCCGAATCAAGATATCTATAAAAAACAGATCAAGCGCATCACATTATATGACAAGTTTGTAGAGTTGTGGCTCGAACGAGGCAAGAAGCGACTAAGCGAGATATCAGTGCTAGAGGATAGAAGGATGTTCCGAATATTGTGCGATGAAGGATTTGCGCAGAATGGGATCAAATACTTGACAGAGCTGGCAGTTGCAATCTACAAACACCAAGATGGCAATCCAGTAGTAGAGTACTCTCCATCGAAGCACAATGGTACATGGAAAGAGGACTATTTCAGCAGAGAGAGTGGGAAGTACCTTCTTCGAGAAGCATCGCCTCTGAGCCGTACAGGCAACCAGTATCGGTTTGTGCATCGGTCTATCCTGGAGTACTGTGTAGTACGAGCGATGTTTGAGCCACAAAAAGAGATGAGTGTGGTTGTGAGGGATAGAGAAGGGCCAGCGGCACTGTCTCGTCGTCGAGGGAGCACCAGCTCTGTGTACAGTTTTGAGGCGGAAGAGTGCAATGTAGTTGAGCAGGAGGATGACTCAATCAGCCCAGATGAGACCTCGCCTTTAGTGTGGAGAAGCTTTGTAGACGAGCCATCTATCCTCCAGTTTCTTGTTGATCGTGTCCGACTCGAAGCGAAGTTCAAGCAGCAGCTATACGAGTATGTTGAGCTCTCGAAGAGCCATAGCAAGTGGCGGGTAGCAGCAGCTAATGCAATGACAATCTTGGTTCGAGCAGGGGAATCGTTCATTGAAGCAGACTTACGAGGCGTCCAGATCCCAGGAGCGGATCTCGGTCATGGTATATTTGAATGCGCTCAGCTACAAGAGGCAGATTTAAGGAAGGTCGACTTTCGTAGCTGCTGGCTTCGTCAAGCAGACTTTAGTGGAGCAAAGATGGCAGGAGTACAGTTTGGAGAATGGCCATTTCTTCATGAAAGTGGAGGTGTGCTCAAAGGATCATATTCACCTGATGGCAAGGCATTGGCTGCAGCAGTGTACGACCAAAATACCGACAAGAGCTATGTTAGCATCTATGACACAATGACATGGGATAAGCGTATGACTCTGGAGGCCAATGGCAGAGAATGCGACTATATCTATTCCCCAGATAGTCGATACATCGCCACCTGGTGCAATAGGGGTACGATTTCTGTATTCAATGCAGTATCAGGGGCATTGGTTCACAACTTGGAGGGCCATGTAGGCACCATTAATGGTGTAGCATACTCACCAAGTGGTGATCATCTCGCCTCTGCTTGTAAGATTTCTGTATTCAATACAGTATCAGGGGCACTGGCTCACAACTTGGATGGCCATGTAGCATACTCACCAAGTGGTGATCATCTCGCCTCTGCTCGTAAGGGCGGGTCATTGTATGTCTGGGATATTAGGTCTGGCATGGTGCAATACATAAATGAACATGCTAGGGCGACAAGCGTAGTTTATTCACCTGATGGGCAGCAGATTGCAATTGGTAGTCAAGGCGTGGCAGTACAGCTATTGGATGCGGCATCAGGAAAGCTGATACTAAAGCTCCAGTGTCATGAATCCCCTGAACAAATCCTGTACTCGCCTGACAGTCAGGAAATCATCACTCGTGGCCATGGCGCTACCTCGCTAGAAGTGTGGGATACTAGATCTGGTCAGAAGAAGTGGGGCATGGAGCCTGGTATCCCTAGCGAAGCCCTCGGTGTTCAATATTCTCCGGACGGGAAATTCGCCGCGTCATTCGACTTTTCTATGGCATACCAGTGGAATATGAAAACAGAGAAAGTCATCCATGCTCTTAGAGGCTATTCAACTTCGATCAAAGACCTGAAATACTCACCAAATGGAGAACAGATTGCAGCTTGTGCTTTCGACTTTTCGGTGCGGCTTTGGGACGCTCGATCCGGGCAGCTGACTAACACATTTTATGGCCACTCTGAGCTAATAAGCTGTGTAGAATATTCGCCCAACAGCCATCAGATTGCGTCATTCAGCGAAGATGGAACGATACGTCTGTGCAGCACGCAGCTTTGGCAGTCCAGTCATGATTCATATGGTCATAGTCATACAAAATCAATATCCCGATTAAGCTTCTCACCAAATGGACAACAGGTCGCATCCTGCAGCTGGGACGGTACTGTGCATATAAGGAATAGCTGGACGGGGCAACATATTCATGTCTTGCGGACGTTCACAAACAACATTAAGTTTTCATCCGATGGTCGCCTGCTTGCTTCCAGCGGAGCTTTCAATGAGAAACGTGTCCACATTTGGGATACTCATTCAGGCCAAGCTATTCACGTCTTGGAGCGACGAAGCCAAAGCGCTGAAGTTCTGGACTTTAATTTTTTACCCAGTAGTCAGCAAATTATCTGTGGTCATAAAAACGGAGATATCAGTGTGTGGAGTACGCAAACAGGACAATTCATACGCACTCTTCCGGGGGGTGGCAATAGTGTGGAATCTGTGTTATTTTCACCTAGTGGCCACCAAGTTGCTTCCTATGGTAATAATAGAGTCAGGGTCTGGACAGTGAGCTCGGTAGAGTTTTTGTATTATGATCTAGAAACTATGGAGCTGCATAAGCCATATTTTGTTTATTCAGCTGACAGTCAGAAGATAGTATTTATCCAGGATGATAAAAAGGCGCAACTACGGGACGCAGAAACGGGAGAACTTTGTTACGAAACAAACTTCGAAAATAGGCCAGCAGAGATCGTGTTTTCTCCATCCAGTCGACAGATGGTTGTCAGCAGTCTAGAGGGGCCACCGTATGTGGTGGATACTGAATCAGGGGCAATGTTGCATACGCTTGAAGGACACACCAGTTATATAAAAGACATATCTTATTCTTGTGATGGCCAGTACATTGCCTCATGTAGCATAGACAGGAGCGCACAACTATGGGATCCAGAGTCAGGGCAGTGCTTGGCTGATCTCCCATTTGTAGGTGAAGATGTGGACACCTTTGCATGGAATGTTTCCGAAAAAGGCAGCTCTCTGGTGACAGGACACAGGGACGGTTCTATTCGGCTATGGCAGATTACCAAGAGCGAAGAAGGCCAATGTCACTCACGATTGAGGTGGAGTACGGGGAAAACAGCTCTTAATGCTACCGAAGCAAACATTCGAGGTGTTGTTGGTTTGAGTGAAGTAAATCGGAAAGTATTGGAGCAACATAAGGCTATCGATGATATAGGGCAGTGTACGACTTTTCAAGAACCAGTCCATGAGGCCAAGAAAGAGACATCTACGACATGTAGCTCCGAAGGAACGGAGAGAGAGAGTTTGGATACAGGTCCGAAGAGGGACGATCCCAAAGCATCGCCATTAATCGTTAAGAGCGACGTAACCAATGGATACCAATTCATTTGCAGCAAATGTAGTGAATGTAACGAGTGTGAACATGCGCATTTTATTCTAAGTAGTTCTTACGATAGTCCTGTTCAGTATTCTAAGGAGAACGTCCATACAGATCATATAGAGTAAATATCCTCATTTTTTCATTTTTTTTACAATATTAAAACCACGCGATCAAATTGTTATGATGTGAAGGATTGGGATCTCCTAAATATTATAAGCGTCATGTTATAAGACCGATGTAATCGCTCATGAACCGAGTGATTAAAATGTGTTTCTAAATGGGAATGCCGTGTCCAAGAGCCTAGCTGTAAGCAAGTAAAGCGAAAAGCCGGCTGCATTCTTGGAGGCCGTTCCTCATGTCAAGAGAGAATAGAATATTGTGACAGATTGCCTATTGTAGGTTACCTTTGATGGTGTAAACATGGTCAATCAATAGTATTTTCGTCACTTAATTGGCAGTATCACTGAAGAGCTTTCAAAGCTTTTGAAGGATATAAACAAAGCGGTGGGGTGAGGAGGACGCACCTTCATTTTCGTCATGACTGATGTTATTAGCTTCTCAATTTATTAAAAAAAAAAAAGTCAACCAAGCTGAATAATATAACACCCATAAGCTTATTATCTGATATCCAGTTCTGTAGTTGCCCAAGCCTTGCTTGCTTTATCAGCTCAGTTCTAATTGAGAGTCGCGTATTTGTCATGCCGAGACATCTTATTCCTATCTTTTTTTTTGTGTGTGTGTGTGTAATATGGTAATTGAGGATTTTACTCCTATATACTTAAATAAGGACCATGTTTGGAGGGATAAAAACTTTTGGTTCGAACAAGACGCGAGGTAATGTTTATTAATTAATTTTTATTCTACCTTTTTATAATTTTTATAATTTTTCTTATTTTTTCCTACTTCAGACATTTCATACGTCTGTACTTGGGACGAATTTTGCATATCGATCCTTTGTCCGTGCTTCAAAGATCTCTTGAATGCTTTCGGGCAATTCATCTACCAATCTTCCAGGCGATCCGCTGTAAATGGTGAATGAGGGGACGACAGCGTTCGCAGGGATCACTGTATTGTCCTCGATCCTAGAACATTCTTTGATGATTGCAAATTTACCCTTAGGAAAAAAAAAAGAATAAGAATAAGAATAAGAATAAGAGTAAGAAAGATGAAGAAGCACAAGAAGGAGTTTTTCCAAATGGGGTCTTTTTTTTTTTTTTTTTGTTTCCCTAAGCTTACAATGACACAGTTCTTTCCGATGCTGACAAATGAACCGATGGAAGCTGCTTGAACGATTGAACCTTCACCAATGGTGACATGATCACCGATTTTCATAGGATAGTAACTAAATGCTCTGTTTTTTTTTTTTTTTTTTTTTTTTTTTTTTTAACAAGAAATGTCGTGAGTATTTGGTGACAAGACTCAGTGTCCAGATCGAATGTAAAATCCAGAGTCCTAAAATTCCTTTATTTTTTACCCCTTGTACGTCTTGCAAGGTGGGCGAATGACACATCCCTGTGATAAGAAGCAATACCGACCAACAGAGACGACAACAGCCTGACCAGGACCTGTCCGCCTCAGATCACCACGAATCACACTTCCTGTCTGTAATATCGTCTGCAAAAAGATAATTGTAAATTGTAATTGTAATAATAATATAAAAATCACTTTTCTTTTTTTTTTTTTTGGCACGCGCATCCATGTGACTGTGGGTGTGATATCAACGCACAACTTGCACTTGCGAGAAAAAGAAGTTCAATGAAAAAAAAAAAAAAAATAAAGAAAGCTCCTCACCTTACCACCAAGGATGATGTTTTGACTGCCGCAGATAACAGACTTGCGTGAAACTTTGTTGCCCGTGTCCTACAAAAGTCGAAATGGGAAATTGTGAAAAAGCAAGGGAAATGAGTCCACCATTTTTGACTTTGACTACAGACTTGTTTATTGAGGTTCCTGAAATCAACATGAAAGTGTGTACCGTTTCAATGTACTCTGACTTGCTGTATTTGATTATTGGAAGGTCCATGGTGAATGCGGGGAATAATGCTTGTCCAATTTGGATGAAGTCGTCGTCGAGTCAATTACCAAAAAAAAAAAAAAAAAAAAGAGAGAGAAAGGCATGCTCTTATTTTTTGGGACTCATTTTTTCATTCCTTCTTCACTTCCTGCCAAAAAGCCACTCTTTAGTAAAAGAGAAACCATGTAAAAAGTAATGCATGTCAAGTTTATAAAACATTACCTTTTCCTTTTCCTCTTGGTACAATTGCAACTCGTTTCGTCATGAGTACGCGTTTAGACAAGACACAAGTGATAGTCCAACATATTCTGCGACATTTGACATTGCCGAGACGGTTTCCTCCTGGGGTCGAACATTCTACAACAAAACCTCTTTTCGTAGGTTTGTCAGGTCCACAGGGGATTGGTAAGGGGTTCGTTCTTTTCTTATTTGGATTGTTTGCACGATTCCATAATTTAACAGTACTAACTTTTTTCTTTTCTTTTCTTCTCTCTCTCCTCTGCTTAGGAAAGACGACGATGACAAACAAGTTGGTGTCAGTACTTTCAGGAACTCCACATAATCTACGCGTCTTTTCATTTTCGACAGATGATCTCTATCTACCCTACAAAGACCAGACTGCTTTGAGTCAGCGATACCCAGACAACAAACTGATTGAGTTTCGTGGACTTCCAGGGACACATGATGTTCATTTGGGTGCGTCCACGTTTCAGGCGTTCTGTGATGCGAATCGACAATTTTATGCTGCTGCTCCTGCTACAACTCAACACCAGCAACAATTAAAGCAAGGAACGTTGACATCTAACGTTATATCAGTTCCCATTCCAGCATACGACAAGGCTTTACATTCTGGCCGTGGGGATCAACTTCCTAGGGAACAATGGTCTCATGCTGAAGCGCCCTTTGATGTGATCCTCTTCGAGGGTTGGTCTTTGGGGTTCAAATCCATTCGAGATCCCTTGAGACTACAACAGATTTATCAGGAACACAATAGTAATTCTTCTTCCTCCCAACCTTGTTCTTCTTTTCTTTCTAAGCATCCATATCCTTCAATTGAGATGGTGAATGAATTTTTGAAGGCCTATGAACGAGAATGGTATAGTTATCTGGATGTGTTTATTCATTTGTCAGCGCCCAAGTTGGAGACGATCTTTAAATGGCGAGCAGAACAAGAGCAGGAACTGTGGGCTCGGAGGGGGACAGGGATGACAGAGGAACAGGTGAGAGATTTTGTGACGAGGTTTATGCCGGCGTATGAGGTTTATCTTGAGAGATTGAAGCGTGAGAATCTGTTCAAGAAGGATGATGATGATGAACATAGCGAGCATAAGGGTAGAGTAGAAGCCTCAGAGTCAGAGTCAGGGTTGTATGTAGGAAGACATTTACGATTAGATTTAGATGAAGATCGAAACTTGGTGTCTACAGCATTGGTGGATTAGTTTTCTCAGAGTGATCATCTAAAAATATATATATATACATGTATATCCTAATAAACCTAGCACGAGAAATGATCTGTTTGGGTTCTCTATATCGACGTGTCCAAGGATTCTGGTTGGACAGTGCGTTGTTCTGGCAGGAAGGAATCAATGGACGAGAGCCCTTTCCTCTGTTGGAATGCAGCAAAGGGTGCAAATCATATTTAGTTTGGAGGAACGTACCCCGTTTGATTGACCTGCATGCAATTGATGACAATGTCAAAAGAAAAAAAGATCATCAGAAGGTTCCATTTTTTAACACAGTTTAAACTATCTCTCTCCCACGTATTTTTTCTTTTCTTTATCCTCTCTCTGTCGCACTTTTTTTTTTTTTTTGAATGTCTCCTCAACTTTATCAATCGTCTTTTCTTCTTCAACTCTTCCGACGTTCTTCTTCTTCTTCTTCTTCTTCGTCCTTCCAATTTCAACGTCAAGCAGCCACTTTTCCCACGCGTCTTCTTCACTCCCCTAGACCAGTTCTTCATAACAGTCGTTGCATCTCACCCTCATTCTCAACTCTTGCATCTGTTCATTCAACTCGTTCTAAAAAGACTTTTGGTCATTCCTCAACACCTGGATCATTAAGAAACTTTTCTGCTGCAACAAACCCCAACATGCGTGTTATTCCTGTCCCCGCTCTTGAAGGTGAGAATAGAAAGGGAAAAAAAAAAAAAAAAAAAAAAGCTCTTCCCTTTTAGATATTGAGGACATTGTTGTGAAAAATATTAAAAATGAAAAAAAAAAAAAAAAAAAAAAAGTAAATGGATCAGGTTTAGTAAGCTTTGAGGCATTTAGCATTACTGCAGCTTTCTTGGATGGGAATAAGCTGGATAAGCTGAATAAGCTGGATAAGCTGGACAATAAGCACAGAATCTTGTTGATATATGTCTCATTCGACGTGTTTGATTAGTTGATGAGAACGTCATTTGCGCACAAAACAAACTTTTTGACTAAAATAGTAACCCCTCCTAAAAAACTTTGCATTAATTTTGTTAATACCATATGTATATTTCCATTTACCAATGATCAATCATGCTAGATAATTACTCCTACATCATTCTTGATGAAAAGACCTCTGAGGCTGCGGTGGTCGATCCTGTAGAGCCTCAGAAGCTGATGCATATCCTTCAACATCTGGGAGCGAAATTGACCTCGGTTCTTTGTACACACCATCATTGGGATCATGCTGGAGGAAACGTGGAGTTGATTTCCAAGAAACCAGGACTTGCAGTCTTTGGAGCAGATGCAAGGATTCCCGAGATCAATTATGTGGTCAAGGACAAAGAGGAGTTCAAGATTGGATCCTTGGTTGTCCAGGCATTGTGGACTCATTGTCATACGAAGGGCAGTGTTAGTTATTATGTCAAGGATGATTCGGATCGAGCCGTCTTTACGGGTGACACGTTATTTTTGAGTATGGCTTCATTTCTCTCCTTTTTGAAAAAAGGGATACCTCTTACAATTTATGTCCACTATGCAAAAAGTTTAATTGATTGAAATCCGTTTTGCTTTTCACTTTAGGTGGTTGCGGTCGTTTCTTTGAGGGTACGGCAGCAGATATGTACAACAGTTTACTTCATATTCTGGCGACCCTTCCTGTGGAGACTAAGGTCTATTGTGGTCATGAATACACCAAAGCCAATCTTCGGTTCGCTCAACATGTTGAACCCAACAATCCACATGTTGCACAGAAACTTCAATGGATGATGAATGAAAATGTGACCACGACAGTTCCTGGAACGATTGGCGAAGAATTGTTGTGCAATCCATTCCTTCGTGTCAAGTAAGTCTTTTCTTTTCTTTCTTTTTTTTTCTTTTCAATTGCGTTTAATATTCGCCTGTGTTTTTTGCTTTTGCTATGGACCCAATCTTATGTATATGTAATGGGGTAACAAGAAAATTGATCCGCTTTGGTTATATTTATTTATTTATTTATTTATTTTTTTTATTTGTTTATAAAGTGAACCCTCACTCCAAGCTTTTACAGGCAAATCAGATCCTATCGATGTCATGCAGGTTCTTCGTGAAATGAAGAACAACTTTAAATAAGCAAGGAAACAAAAGAAAGAAAGGAGAAAGTGCTTGTAGTTTTGCAATGTTTATTTTTTTATAGCATCGTATTTGAACTGATTGTAGTCTATAACTTGTAGTGTCCAAATGAAGAAAACACATTTTAAATTACGGGTGAACGATATCTTCAACAGATAGATCGATAGAGAGATTGAAAGGAAGAGAGGAAGGAGGAGTAATGATATTCTATGAGGATCTACGGGATATCCATATTCGGAGATGATTATGACAACCTTTATTCTTTCCATGTTAATCTGTTGGTCTGCTGAGTGCCAAGGAAAGGTCCGAAGGGAGAGGAATGTTGTTCAGTGAGACCATCACATGATCTTCCGATGAAGAACACTCAGCGCGGGATGGTCAATGCAAAAAAAAAAAATTTCCTTTCAAAGACAGAAGGAACCCACTGCCACTGGGACACTGGGACTACTGGACTGGGACTGAACTCATATTCAAGTGCATGTTCTCGATGCATTACACAACTACGTTTGTAACGAAAACAACGGAAACAGTGTTCTTTTCCTCCCCTTTCAAAAGACGTTTACTCTCTTCCCGTCTGTTCTCTTTTTCTCTCTCTCTTTGTGTGTCTGTGCTTTTATTTGTTTTCTACTCCCTTTGATAGACTTGTAATTCTTTCATATAGACACACCTCCATTCATATACATTTTCTTTCTCCTCTTTCCATTTGGCTTAATCAGCCTCATTTCAATTCTCATTATCCTTTTGTATTACAATGATCTCCAGGTTGCTTGCCGAGGCTTCCGTAGTCCGGTCTAGCAGGGCAACACTGCGCGCTTCACGGACTCAACCAGCTCGACTCCTCTCCACTGCAACCGTCCTCAGAACTGCTCCACGCACTGCTACCACTTCCACTTCTACTACTTCTACTACAGTATCAAAACGAGACCCAGCAGGTGTCCACCAGCAACTGAGCAGCAACAACAGCAATCGTCATAAAATGAGGTTTTTATCTGTTGCAACCGGATCCCGCATGCTTACTCGCGCCTTTTCCTCATCATCATCAACAGCAGCTGCAGCAAGGGCAGGGGCCAACAATAGTTATTATTTTAATACTACTACCGCCCAACGACCTTTTATCAAAACATCCAATGGTCTGTTCACTATCCCTCGTCGTCAGTCCGCATTGCAATCCTATCGGATCCGACGGGGTCATGATTTAATGGCCAGACGTGGGATTGCAGCCTCAGCAGCACCTCGTTTTGTGATGCATGCTCTGAAATTACCCATGGGCGCGTTTACTGCCGGTTTGGCCAGTCTCTCTTACGCCCAATACAAGGTCACAGGTATATAAAAAGAAAAAAGAAAAAAAGAAAAGAATTGAATATCAGTGTGTTGCTGTAATCTATAAATGTAATTTGTTGAGCTATTCCATCAGTTATTAATCCCACGTTTATCATCATTGTGTGCAATTGTGGTTATCGTGGTTATTGTGACAATTATGGGAAATATGACAATTGAACTTTTTTTTTTTTTTTTTCTAATATTTCTTTCGCTCCATGGATGAATGAACTTGTAGAGCTTTCGAACAAAGGCACAGATTGGGCTATGGGTTTAGCAACTGACGTTCGGGATCTAGTCACTTCTGTGAAATCAACCATGAATGAGGTTCGCCTGCCAGAATTATCCTTACCAGAGTTTTTACAACCCTTTTTCCGAGGATCAGCATTGGAGGATGAGGGTCGATCTATGGATGCAGAGATGCAAGAGGGAGCACATTTCATCCGTCAATCATCCACAGGTGGCAACTATAATAATAATAATAACAGCAACAACAACAATAACAATAACAATGATGGAGACCCAGGCGGAGCTGCTGCTGCTGCTGCCGCTCTTGGATTGGCCAAATCAAAGGATGAAGGACAGCAACAGCAGGATAAACCTCTTTCAACAGGAATCCCACCCCATGATGGTGACTTTATGTTGTTGACAAAGAAATTGATTGAGATCCGAAATATCCTAAACTCGATCGATCATAATGATACCCTCAAGTTACCAAGCATTGTCGTCATTGGCAGCCAAAGCTCTGGAAAGAGCTCTGTCCTAGAAGCCATTGTTGGACATGAGTTTTTGCCCAAGTATGGTTTTTTTTTTTGTTTTATTTTATTTTATTTTCGTCACAATGTGAATTGTTCTTTGACACTTTTCTATTTTCTATTTTTTATTTTGTTCATTAGGGGCTCAAACATGGTGACACGAAGACCTATCGAGTTGACACTTATCCATACACCTCATACAATGGAAGAGTACGGAGAGTTCCCCTCATTGGGATTAGGAAAAGTACACGACTTTAAGCGGGTTCAACAGACTCTCAAGGATCTCAACATGGCTGTTCCAGAATCTGAATGTGTCTCCTCTAAACCGATCGAACTCCGGATCTATTCCCCCAACGTTCCAGATTTAACCTTGATCGACTTGCCCGGATACATTCAGATCACCTCCAAAAACCAACCTCTGACACTCAAGGAAAAGATCTCTGAACTCTGTGAGAAATATATTCAACAACCCAACATCATTTTGGCTGTCTGTGCTGCAGACGTGGACTTGGCTAATTCTGAGGCCCTGAGGAGTAGTCGTAAAGTGGATCCATTGGGCTTACGAACTATTGGTGTAATCACCAAGATGGATTTGGTGGAACCAGAACGAGGCGTGGCTATTCTCAGAAACCAGGATTATCCCCTTCACCTGGGCTACATTGGTGTTGTCTGTAAACCACCGGGGGGTAATAACAAGGATAATATGACACAGGCAGTGATAAAGACAGAGGATGCTTATTTCAGAAGTGCTTATCAGTTCAGTCAACGGGGCATAGCTGTTGGTACAGGAACATTACGTCGGAAACTGATGGATGTGTTGGAGGAGAATATGGGTTCGAATTTAGGATCGATCATCAAGGCTGTTCAGAGAGAATTGGATGAGACTCGCTATCAATTCAAGGTCGAATACAATGATCAGAAGATGAGTGCTGAATCTTATGTGGCAGAGTCTGTTGACAAGTTGAAGCATCGGTTCAAGGATTTCTCTCGGGCCTTTGGGAAACCTCAGGTTCGATTGGAGATCCGCCACATGTTGGAACAACGGATGCTTGATATCTGTGCTCAAAGATATTGGGCAGATCCTCGGATCCATGAGCTTTCACAGTTGGATTCCTTGGCAGAGGGGGATCGCCTTTATTGGGATTTGAAATTAGAACTGGCTTCATCTGCGTTGACGAAATCCGGGGTGGGTCGTCAGACTACTCAGCGTGTGGTGGATATTTTGACGAGGACGATGGAACAACTTGCGGAGGCTGAACCTTTTAACCATCACCCAGATGCAGCAGAGACGATCAAGACGATGACACACGAGATTTTGAGTAGCCGTAGTCAAGCCACTGCGGATCAAGTGGAGAATACGATCAAGCCATTCAAGTATGAAGTCGAGTGTTCGGATGGAGAATGGACTGAGGGCGTCAAGCGTTCTATTGTTTTGTTGCAGAAGGAATTGGAGATGTGTGAGGAAGCGTTGGGGAAGATCAAGACGACAGTCGGGACAAAGAAGCTTCGAAAGGCCATCAACTATGTGATTGAGTTTGATCGAGAGGAGGCTAAACGGACTCAACGTCGAGAAGAAATTGCAAAGTTACGAGAGTCGAATCCACATTCACATTTGGAGGGACAACGACTTTTCGGTGATAGCGATTCAGAATCTCTAGGAGAAGATCAGCATTCTGAGGATCATGAAGGTGAGAAGGATAAGGGATCATCTTCCTCTGAAGAGAAACAGGAGCATTCACATTCGCATTCACATTTACAGGAGCTTGAGGATGAATTAGAGGCGGTGATGCGACCTCATTTTAATCCAAAGTTACTCAATAAAGCACGTGAGGCGCTTTCATTACGAGATCGAGCATTGGTTCTGAAGTATCGACTCTCGGCATTGAAGTCCAAGACGTGTAAGAGTTCCAAGAACAAGACCCAATGTCCGGAAGCGTTTTTGGCGATGGTATCGGAGAAATTGGCGTATACGAGTGTGATGTTTATTCAGGTGGAGCTGATGAATGAGTTTGTGTTCCAGTTGCCGAGGATGATTGATAGTCGGTTAGGGGTGAAGACGGGTCAAGAGGCGATGGAGAAGTTTGCGAGGGAGAATCCGTTGGTGGGTAAACATTTACAGTTGATGGATCGACGGATGAAGTTGGAGGAAGTTTGGGAGAGATTAAATTATTTGGTTCGACGACAAGAGGAGGCCAAGGCGCGAAAGTGGTAGTAAGGAGTAGTTGTTATTGTTGTAGTAGTAGTAGTAGAAGTCAGTATTTATGTTGCCGTAAACGGTGCTTTGAATAGAATAAATTAAACTTGTAGTCGCTAGTCAGAATTCATTCAAAAGAAATACACACGCTACATGCTACATGCTCTATACATGCTAACATGTACGCTCAGACATCAAAGAAAAGGAAAGTGATATGCAATGCATTGCATTGATTGCACTGATGTTATCATGCAGCAATAAAACGTGTCTGTTTGTCCACATGCTGTTGTTGCACATGTGCATATGTATGTGAAGCTTTGGTTGTGTGAATTGTTTCCCACTGACCGCAGTCACCTTTGTTGGGCAAAAAAGACAAAAAGAGCAAAAAAAATATAAAATTGTAATTGGCAACTTTTTTTTTTTTTTTTTTTTTTGCTTTTTACATTCCTTTGCACTCTAAAATTCAATTCGCAATTGTCAATTGACAATACTCTAATCACGAACAAACCTCTCCATTCTCATTCATTGCACTCTCTTCTCTCTCATTCATTCTCATTCTCATTCTCATTCTCATTCTTATTTTCTTTTTCTTATTCGAGTAAACAGTGCAGTGCATGATAAAAAATGAGTGACTTTATAGAGGGTCAGACCAACAGGGACGATGCTTTAGCCTCTTCAGAGCCAACAGACACAGTAGACAATCCAAACACAACTACAAGTGCAAATGTGAATGATACTGCAAAGTCCAATGTAGGCACACCGGTCATTATCTCCAATAGTACCTTTGATGATATGCAACAACAACAACAGCAGCAACAGATACAGTCAAACTCCGACAATGGCTCGACCATTCCTCAGGACCGCGTTGCAACAGCCCCAGCTGATTATTTCGGCCATCAAGAGTCCCCAGACTTTACTACCCAGCCCTTGACATCATTCTCCCCATCCAATGCCCTATCAGCATCTGCCTCGCATACCCCCGATGTATCCTCATCCACGCCTACAACAGCAGCAACAACAACAATAGCGACACATATGACTCCATCTACACAGCCATCCTCTACCCTGACAAGTGCTTTGAACAATAGTAATAACAATATCATCAACAACCAAGACACCCATATCCAACCATCAACAATAATATCCGAAAATATGAATGCCAATGCCAATGACAATGCAAATATAGCCGAATTATCATCACAACCATCACCACCACCTGCTACAGAAAGTCTGGATCCTGTGGCGTCTTATTCAGCATGGCGTAAAAAAAAGGACACGGAGACTCTTCAAGGCACACAGCCACAGCCACAGGCGGCGATGGAATCATTCTTGAAACAACATTCAGCATACGATGTTTTGCCTGTCAGTTATCGTCAAATTGTCCTGGATACCACATTACTGGTCAAGAAGGCGCTTTCAGTCTTGATGCAATATAGTAGGCATCTCTTTGTTATGGACAATTATTAATAAGCTTATTTTTTTCTTTTTTTTTTTTTTTTTTTTTTTTGAGAGTGATCAGGGGTAGAAGAGGAAACCATAGACTATGAAGGACTCTTCAGCATAGAGCCTTTTTTTGATCTTCTTTTTTTAGTTTTTTTTTTTTTTTTTTTTTTTTTTATTCCTGATCTTGTACCACATGCGAGCATTTATTTTCTTTCTTTTCTTTTCTTTTTTTTATTTTGTTTGTGCTCAACATCTATGGTTTTTGATTTATATTTTCTCCCTAGATATTGTATCAGCACCATTATGGGATTCGACCAAGCGCAAGTTTGCAGGAATGCTGACAGCAACGGATTTCATTAACCTTATCCAGTTTTATTATTCGCACTCGTCTTATTCTGCCGCCATTCGGGAAATGGATCAATTCCAGATATCACAATTGCGAGGTATACATTCTGATTATACAATCGATGATTCTCAACAGAGAGAGATACAAGGGGGTATCTTTTGGGTCCTAGATGTCATACTAACTGGTCTAACTCCTTTTTTTTTTTTTTTTTTTTTCCCTTCTTTTTTATATGCTCTTAAAAAAAAAACTACACCAAAGATGTCGAAAAACTTATTGGAGTCCCACCACCTGAACTCTTTTCACTCCATCCATTGCAGTCATTGTACGACGCATGTCAATTGCTTGTTGAATCGCGTGCACATCGATTACCCCTTGTGGATGTGGACTCAGAGACAGGAGAAGAGATGATCGTATCAGTGTTGACACAGTACAGGATCCTCAAATTCATTGCCATGAACTATCAGGATGAAAAGACATTAAGACAACCTCTTTCAGAACTCAAAATTGGGATCTATACTGATTTGGCAGTGGCTGATCTTTCGAGTCCAGTGATGTCGGTCATTGATATGTTTGTGAAGCGGAGGATCTCCTCAGTCCCCATTGTTGATGAAGATGGTAAGAAAAAGAAGGAAGAACGCAGAATGTAAAATAATTGTGGGGAACATTCCACTATTTCGGAAGTAGGGTTATTTTTTATTATTATTATCAGTCGTGGGAATATAATCCTAAAAAAAGATTTTTTTTCCTAATTCTTCCAACCTTAGGCGTCGTGTTAAATGTCTTTGAGACAGTTGATGTGATGGTATGTGTAATTGAACATTTATTTATTTGCTTCGTAGTCAACAATGGGCTCATCAATATCTATCATCACTCCTTCTCCAACTCAACGTAATTTTATTTCTTTCTTTTGCATCACCCTAATATCATACAAATATGAGTAGACATTGGTCAAGGCAGGAGTATATCGCGATTTAGATTTGTGTGTGGCAGAGGCATTACTTCGACGACCAGAGGATTTTGCAGGAGTCCATACTTGTACCTTGAACGATAGCTTATCATCGATCTTTGGGACCATCCGTAAATCACAAGTACACCGACTGATTGTCGTGGATAGTGGGAACAAACTGAAGGGAATCGTCAGTCTATCGGATATTATGCGCTATCTTATCAAAGGCAACGATGCTAAGCCTTCTTCTACCACTAATACTGCTACGACTACAACAGCTTCGACGACAACTTCGACTTCCTCTTCCATGCCTGATCCTAATTTTAATCCTGCTCCTTCATCAACATCAACAGCAACGGAATTGAATAAACAGGAGGAACCACCAGTAGCAGAGGAAGTAACACCAACGAGCTTTTGAACACGGTGGTAATATGGTTGTAATGAAGGAGGAAGAGTAGAGAAAGAGTAGAACAAAAAGAAGGAGCAGAGTGCAAGATGAAGACAAAAGACAGATAGGCGATAAAACCAATGACAGCAATATATCAACGCCTAAGAAAAAGAACAAAAAGAAAAGAAAAAAAAAGAAAAAGAAAAAAAAAAAAAGACGTTTTCTGAATCCATAAAAAAAACTGGAAAAAAGAAAAACTTTCAAAAATACATAGATTCCATGCAGATTCAGGAAGAGCAAAGAAATACAATATAATCAATATCTTTGCATTCTTTATTTTTTTTTTATTTTTTTTTTTTATTTTTCCTACTTACAATCAATCATTTGCGTTTAAAAAGTCGTTCAGAGACGAAAAAAAGCAAACCTTCGAGACCTATTTAGAACAACTTTCCTTCTTTACTTCCTATCCGATCCTTTTTCAAAAGAACTACTTTAATTGAGAGTTGGAGGCATCATGGACAGCTTACAGTTGTATGTTTGCCATGCTATAAGCATTATGAAGAATCTAATCATTCAGAGATACAGACCGCCTTTAGATATCTATCAATAATTCTGCAGCAATCGTCTACAGCTAGACCCTAGAACAATCACATTCTCATCCTGAAAGTGCCTTTTTGATTATCTGATCCATGCCAGAGTGCATAGCATCTATTCCGGCATGTTTGTGTCTTTGATAAAGATTAGACAACTAGAAAATAACAAACCTCCCTTGATGTTGATCGTACTTTGATTGTAAGTAAAATAAAAATAATGATAAAAAGAAAAAGAGAGAGAAAAAAAAGGATGGAAGGGTGTGGTGCTTGCATTCCAGTAGGTCAACATGCATGTTCTCCTCATAATGTTGAATGGTACTATCGATATTATTGCAAGAGTCGCTTGGAATAAAATACACAACTTCACACTCGCTACAACCACTACAACTACTACAAACGAATTTATTTCAGTTTGGTTGCTTCACTCTTGCCAATTATTCGTCTTGCTCTTCTACTAGATCGGGATGAATGTTCTCTTTACAATGCTGACCAGTGCTATCGTAAGATCCACTTAAAATAAAATGTGCAACTTCACACTCGTTACATTCACTGCACTTGCTGCAAATGAACTGGTGTCCTTTAGTTGCTTCGCTTTTAGCGATTAATTGTACTGCTTTGGAATCGTTATTCCTTAAGTTAGTGTCCAAAGTCTTACTTTCCGGTATCTTAAACTCGGTTGCCACTGATCTCGCTGTTTTCTCATGACTTGCTTCTTGGGAGACCGAGCATTGTGTTGTATCATCGACAGCTCCATATTGTTCCAAAAGCCTTCTATTCATTTCACTCAAGCCAGAAACACCTTGAATTCTTGTATTGCCAGCATAAAGTCCTGTTTGCTTTGTGTTCCACTTCAAGCGGACGTTACACTGGCCATCCTCCTCTTTGGTGATCTGCCACATTCGAACAGAGCCAGCCCCACATCCTGTCACTAGGAAGCAACCTTCTTCAGTAATATTCCATGAAAGAGCAAAGACAACTCCCCCTATGAATGGGATAACAGCTAGGCACTTGGCTGACTCTGCATCCCACAGTCGTACAGTCATATCAAAGCTGGTAGAGACAATATACTGGCCATCACAAGAATAAGATAAGGTAATTATTTCATTGGTGTGTCCTTCAAGCCTATATACCATGGTCTCTGATTCAGTATCCACCACATTAATAGGCCCTCCTTTACTTCCAACAACCATCTGTTGACTGGATGGTGAAAACGCAATCCCTGTTTGTAACATGTTGAAACTTATTCCGAAACAAAGCTCTCCTGTTTCTGCGCTCCGTAGTTGAAGTTTTGTCTTGTCCTGGATAAATGCAATCCTCTGGCTGTCAGGCGAATAAACAAAATTACGGCCAAACAATCCAGTCAAATCTAAACCCTCTAACTCATACAGTAGATCTCCTGAGTGTGTCGTCCAGACTTTAATCCTCTTGCCTTCGTCATATAAAGCAATTTGGTGACCATTAGGTGAGAATAATACATAGTTCGCAAGATTGCCATTCCCTTGCAGAGTGTATATGAGTTGTCCTGTTTGTGTATTCCAAACACTCACGTCTCCACTAAGGTGGCCACAGGCGATTTGATAGTCAATGGGTGAGAAATCTAAGTCGCAGATGCTGTCATCCCAATTTGGCGGCTTCAAAGTATGAACAACTTGGCCTGATTGAGTATCCCAAAGATAAGCGCATGGATCATTATAAATGCCAAAATAGGCAAGCTGACCATCAGGCGAGTATCTTATATCCTTTACTGGCCTTTGTAAAACATGGATACACCGCCCTGTTCGACTATCCCATATACGGATTGTACTATCATAGCTACACGAGGCTACATGTTGCCCACTCGGCGAGAACTTTACTTGGAAGACTGCTTTTGTATGCCCATGGTTAGACTGTTGCGATTGTGTGCCCCACAGGCGTATCGTTCCATCTTCGCTGAATGATGCGATCTGGTGGCCATTTGATGAAAATGCCACGCATCTTATAATATTAGTGTGACCATATAGCGTGTTGATCAACTGTCCGGTTTGAGCATCCCAAAGTTGCACTGTATGGTCGAAACAACAAATGGCTATCTGTTCTCCATTTGGCGAATATCTCAAGTCTTTGGTGAAACTGACAATAGCATGGATGACCTTTCTTGTCTGCATGCTCCATTGATATGTCCCAAAATCGGTAAATGAGGTGGCAAATTTCCCACAAGGAGAGTATTGGACGCCCCCGACATGACGTTTATGCTCCATAACCCACTTCTTTTGACCAGACCGAGCATCCCACACGTCCAGCAAGTGAGCATCATAGCCACGGGTGATAATCTCTTGACTGTCGGGAGAATACACGATTTGCTCAATACGAGGCCACCAGACTTGGAGCTTCCGTATTAGTTCCCCTGATGCCGCATCCCATAGCTGTACCACGTTGCCTTCACCTCCACTCGCAATCTGCTTCCCATCAGGCGAATAAACCACGCTTGTCGCCTTGCCAGTATGTCCCTTTAGTGTGTAGTGGAGTATACCAGATGTAGTATCCCATACATGTGCTGACCCATCTATGCTAATTGAGATGAGATGATCGCCACTTGGTGAGTACATTATAGCATTAACTATGCCCGTATAGCCCTCCAGCCTATGTATTAATGCGCCTGATGCTACATCGAGTATGTCAACCGTATTACCACGCGCAATGGCGACGTGTTGGCTATCTGGAGAGTAGCTAAAGTCGTTGCCAAGTTTCAAAGCCAAACACTTCTTCCATGTTAGTGTATCATAGATGCTGACCCATGCCTCTTTGCTTTGTTGATTGTACAAAACAGCAGCTAATGTCTTGCTACTAGGTGAGTATGATCCTTTTAATGCCAACCCTTCTTCGCGAAGGAGTGGCCATTCTCCAAACTGTACTCCTGACATCTTGGCTCCATTCAGGTCTGCCTTCTGGAGCCAACATCCGTGAAGGTTAGCTTTCCTCAAATCTGCTCCTTGTAGTTGAGTACCATCGAATATCCCATGGCTAAGGTCAGCTCCTGGAACCTGGATGCCTCGCAGATCTGCTTCAATGAACGATTCTCCTGCACGAATCAAGATTGTTAGCGCATTGGCTGCTGCTATTCGCCACTTGCTATCGCTCTTCGAGAGTTCTACATACTCATACAGCTGCTGTTTGAACTTTGCTTCCAGTTGGACGCGATCTTCGAGGAACTGGAGAATAGATGGATCGTTTACAAAGCTCCTCCATACCAAGGGTGAGGTTTCATCTGGCATGACTAGACTCACTCCTTGCTCAATCACATTATTTTCTTCCATCTCGAAACTGTACAGAGAGCTGGTGCTCCCTCGACGGTAAGTTGGTGTCGCTAGTGCTTCTCTATCGCTTGCAGTCGCATTCACCTCTTTCTGTGGCTCAAACATCGCTCGCACCATACAATATTCTAGAATAGATCGATGCACAAATCTGTACTGGGTCCCTGTACGGCTCAGAGGCGATGCTTCCCGAAGGAGGTTCTTCTTACTCTCTCTACTGAAGTACTCCTCTTTCCATGTACCTTTGTCCCTCGATGGAGAGTAGTCTACCATTGGGTTGCCATCCTGATGTTTGTAGATAGCTACAGCCAAATCTGTCAAATACATGATCCCATTCTGTGCGAATCCTTCATCACACAATATCCGGAATATACTCTTGTCTTCTGATACTATTATCTCGCTTAGTCGCTTTTTGCCTCGTTCGAGCCACAACTCTACAAACTTGTCATACAGTGTGACGCGCTTGATCTGTGTTTTGGAAACATCTTGATGTGGATCAACCATCCGCGGCAATACTTCAAGCGAGAGTGATAATATGAATGGGTTCTTCACAAGCTCTCGCAGACTAGGAATCATTTTGAGCGCTTGTTGATAGTCATCCACACCCCACATTAGGTCCATAGCAGCGACATACTGCTTGATGTACTCATCGATCTGTGCCTCAGAGAATGGTACAATCACAGCTTCTTGAAATAATCCAGCATCTGCTTGGTGATTGCGACCCATAGGCTGGAACCGATCTCGGTAGTCTATTCCCAGGTACTCACTGCGGCAGCTGATCACCATCTGACACATCCATTCGCCTGGCTGGTTGAGGTGGTTGGTGACATACAAGTTGCTGGTCTGCATGGTCTCATCGTACCCATCACAGATCAAGATGAATGACCGAGTCTTCTTCATCTCCTTGATCTGTTCGTATGAGAAGTTGTAGATCCGCAGTTGTTTGGCCACCATATCCTTGGCAGGATAGTCAATGGATGGTAGGTTGATAAACAATGGAATCCGACCACGCCTCTTTTGATACACTTCCCACAGAGCGGACTCTAGACTACGGTTGAATGTCGATTTGCCTGCTCCCGAATCACCTTGGACAAGCATCACTTTCCGATCGCTGTCCAAGAACTCTTTCACCTTATCCATTAGCAAGAACAAATCACCATCACTTGCTTGAGGACCTGCTTTGGCATATTGTTGGATGTAAAAGCTTTGATCATCCCTAGTCTCCATCCGCTGTCGCTTAAGCAGACGTAGATTCTTCTCGACATCAGGCCTGTTTTGCACATGATCAAGCAATGACGATGAAGCAGATGGAGGCAGTATAGTGATAAAAGGATATTTTGCTACTGGCTCGTTGAAACAATTCCTGTACAGCTGTTGTTTGTTGGTATCGCCATCCATAGCAAGATCGCTCAGAAGTTGCTCTGCAGCTAAAACAAAACACAGATAGAGGATATAGACGCATAATGTACTGTCAGTACTTCTGCTTAGAGTAGCTCCATGGAAGATGCAATACCATATCTGCTCACCTTGTGGGCCTTCCTTTGACAACGGGGGCAGTCTCTTTAGTATAGTTATGATCCATTGCTTGATCTCCACATGATCGTCCCAGTCCCTGTCATTCTTGTAGATCTCTCCAAGGGAACTGACCGCATCTTGGCGTATCCCAATGGTCCACTTTGTACTGGCTGCAATCTGCCCTAGTCGTTGACATATTCCCCATTGGAATGCAATATCTCGTCGACAGGGCGCTTCACACACAAGAGTCTTGAACTTGATGAGGTCGCCTGATTGAAGGTATGTATCAGCTCCACGGAGTGCTGGATACCATGCACTCTTGTGACTAAAAGCGAGTCCTTCTTCCATACTCTGTTTGAATGCTTCTCCGCTTGCATAAAATGAGGTTGCGTTACTGTACATACGTAGACTTTTATTTACAGCATCAGTCATAAGCGGAAGTCCTTTCTGGATATTAGTCAGCTCGTAGATGAAAGCATTGAAATCCAAGCCTTTAACCGCACTCACCACGCCAAACACTCCTCGAGCCACTGCTGATGTACGTCGAAGCATGGTCTGAATTGTTGTTTCATCATTTGGGATATACAATAGAGCTTGTGAAGCATAAGCTGCATGATACGCCAGATGCGGATCTGAACTGCCCTTCAGCCCGTTTAAGTAGGCTGCTAACGGCTCATGGAGTTGTTCTCGCTTCAGACCTTTGATCTGATTGTTGACCATGGCGTCAAGTACATGTGAGACTGTTACACATATTTGATGAATGTGACTGCTGGACTGTTCATGCGTGCCTTGTAAGCGAGAACTAAGAGTGTTGAGAATGTGGACTAGATCATCAGAGTCGAGGTATCCAAGGGGAGCATGCTGCATTAGTTGGGCCAATCCTTCGAGTAAATGAGTCTCCAACATGATGTTCTGACTGATTCCATTGATTAAAGCTAAAAGTAGTGTCCTGTATTGATCATAGTCGAGAACTGGAGCCAGTACCACAACCTCAGCGACAGTAGCTTCAGCCTTGATATCGTCATGGATGAACATAGTAATCACATCAGAAGCCAGGTTGAAAAGTCGTTCTTGTTCATCACGATCATTCGATGTGGCCAAAGCCCACTCTTGTTCCTGTATTGTAAGGTTTGACAATGGGTGGGGTGCAGTGGGGAGCAGGTTAAGACAATAGGCGAGTTGATGGATATCATTCAGATGAACATCTGGTTGAGGGAGGTTGTACTTGAAGACCACTTGAGGCACATTATGGTCAAATATATCTGAAGGAATGATTGCGATGCTATTTGTTGTTGCAGTACCCACGATTTTAATCGCCTCTTTCAACCTGCTGACACTGGTGCTGCTGTTATTCTGGCTGTTGTTGTTGTTAATGTTGATCGATTTAGTAATTTGTGATGGTTCATGATAGGTAATATTGCTATCTTGGACATATCCCCACTTCCTCGCTTTTCTGTCATTTTTCTCAGCATCGCTTGAGCGACCCAGATGTTCGAATAAGCGAGCAACTTCATTATAGGCTGAAGCGATGCCTTGGCATAGTATTCTGTCTTCATTGGAAGCAGGGGAGGCAAGATTCTTTATGTCGGATTGGTGGATTCGAGATAATGCAAAGCTTGCATCGAGACACAGCTCCATGAGGATGTTATTGTCATTGTCTATTCTGCGAGTGTTCTCGATATAAAGATTGAAGAGTCTCAGGGCCATTGATGGTGAAAGGACACCTCTTGTGGAGGTATATGTTTTGCTAAACATTGGTCGCTGTCTATTTTCTCTGCTTTCCTTCCGGTTAGAGTCTTGGCTTTTAATCAAAGAAAGAAAGATAATGTTTTGGGATGATATTATTAGCCAGCAGTCTTTATGGCAATAGATAATAGGGTTTTGTAGGGATGACCGATGTTTTGTACGCACATCTATTCCGAGGATGTAGGTATGTAAAGTAGTTGAGTAAGCAAGTATCTGGGATGAGAAATGAGAAAGAGAAAAGCAAAGGAAGGAACAAGCAGATTTTGTTATGTTGGTGAAGCCAAAAGGACAAAAGAGCCGATTTCCCAACTTGTTTGTTTGAATTCACATCACAGAAAAATAAAATTTGGTCACAGGCACAACATTGCAGCATTGCAATCATCATTTAATTTTGTTGTTGATCCAATTATATTTCTTATTTTTATTTGCATTACTTTACCATAAAAGGTTCTCTCAGGATGTATACTCTTGCCTAGACCCTTGAATACTTTTTTTTTTTTTTTTTTTTTTTCTTTTTTTTATTCTTTCATCTTTTCTGCTTCTATACACTGCTTTCATTAAAGTGCTTCTTTGTTCTCGCCAATAGACTCCAGAAGAGCATGATGCATTACAGCATAGATCTTGTTGCATGCTTCCATGCAATGTTCCACAGACTATGGAGGAAAGAGAATTTTTTTTTTTTAAAAAAAAAAAAAAAAAACGTTAAAGCTTCAACTGTAGTTAATTTATATAAAGAGAACAAAAGAAAAAAAAAAAATAAGCTTTACCTGGGAAATAGTAGAGCTTTCGGCCTTCCCGCTCTGCAAGACATGTGTGATTTCATGCAATGATGGCATATAGGCCAAAACAATAGCACCCTGTTGGTATTTTTCTTCTTCGAAATCAGCATCCATAAAGATTTGTGGCGGCTGTGTTGCTGTTGCTGTTGCTGTTATTGTTTTATTAGTATTAGTAGTAGAAGTAGATATTGATCCCGTGTCTCCTTCTGATATTGAGAGCGATGATATTGACAAGGGTGCTGTTTGAATATAAGAGGCTGAACAACCCGCTACAAGGTCCAGCATTTCGATCCCAGCATGAGCTAATGCGACCGAGGCAGCCGTGACAGCGGCAGCAACACAAGATCCCCATCCATCGGATTCAAGCACGGTGATGTAGACATCAATCGCTGATTTGGGAATTTTTTCTAAACGAACTGCAGGTGCTAAAGCTTGGCTTAGGATCTGAGAGAGTTCTCGTTCTTGGGGATCCTACGAACAAATTTTTTTTTAACAAAAATAAACATGTATGTATAAATGTAAGTATTAGAGGACATGCGTTTGAGTAAAAAAAAAATAAAAGAAAAAAACCAAGGAATTTGAAGTCGCGTTTTATGTAAATAATCACCATCATCATAATAATGGTAATTCATCCTTACCCGGATGTTGCTCCTACGCTTCGCACAGGAAAAAGATGCAAATTTGATCTCACAGTTAAGAATGCCTCTGCCACTGAAAATTTGTCCGACTCTCTTGATAGGTCTAGGTCCATAGCTGTGTCGGGATATCCAATGAAATAGGTAATAGTAGTAATAATAATAAACAAGAAGAAGAAACAAGAAGAAGAAGAAGAAGAAATGGAAAAGAATGAGCAAAAAATGGGTAAATTAGTCGAGTAAATAAAGCTGACCTATGATATCTTTTTTTTTTTTTCTTTTTCTTTTTCTTCCATTGCTGCTCGATTTAATAATACGCAACGTACACCCCACAAGCAAGTTTTGTCTTTTCCAATTCAATATATGCAGATCCATTAGCTTGAGTGATCAATCCTGTCTTTAGATCTAAAAGAAAAAAAAAAAAAAAAAAAAAAAAAAAAGAAATATTCTCCATTATTTTAGTATTTTAGTCACTGATTTTTCACGCGCCCAAGATCACTTGGCAGTACACACGCATACAAGTCTCTTTCCCTCTTTCTCTCTTTTTTTTATTTTTTTTTTCCGCCTGGTTATCATTGTTGTTGCTGCTTTAATATTTAAACATACAAATAGGGCGCATATCCTCAGGCTGACGCTTCGAGTCATGACGACATTCGTCTTGAGGTGTCCATCGTTTGAAATCAGCAGGGTATTCCACTAAGGGAGCTACACTCAATTCAGGCCCTGGAACTCGTTTTCTGTCCATGAATGTTAATGTATGTCTAGACCTTTTTTTTTTTTTTTTTTATTGTTTAATGGGAGGATGGAAGGATAATGTCGTCGCGCAAAAAAGAAACATGAACTTGCAAACAAGAGCAATGTGACTGCTTCTATTGTTTTGATCTGATTTATCCAAAAAAAAAAAAAAAAAAAAAAAAAAACGACGTTACAGCATGATTGATGATATGAATGGATTTTGTATGCCATTGTCTATTAACTTTGAAAAGGTCGAATTTTTTTTATGCTAAAAATGTTTTTGTTGGATGAAAGATGCAAAAAAAAAAAAAAAAAAAGAGTATAAAAGCCATTGTTCTTATGCAAGAATTCGCAGAACATCTAATGCTCTTGAGAGTTTGACTTGAGCTGAACGTTTGGCTTCGATCTTGGCCTCCTTTGCAGCTTCCTCAGCAGCCTTTTCCTCCTCAGACAATGGAATGGTTGACACGGTATCTTCATTTTCTTGAGTATTAGTAGCATCACTCATATCATGGTCTTCATCACTCCTGTCATCCTTTTGCTTTTGTTCTTCTGCCTGATCATCTTCAGGTTCAGGTGCATCAACAGTCTTTTTGGCTTCCTCAACGGCAATCTACATTGAAAAAATAAAAAATAAAAAGAAAATTTGTTTAAATAGGGCGATTTCAATTATCTTGCAAACGTATTTTTCTTTTCTTTCTTGCTTTTCCTTTTTCTTGATCCAACTTACATTTCTAGCTGCACCTTTCAGATCGCGAATATATTCCAAAAAGATGTCCCAGTGTGAGGAAGGAAGTTGTTTATCATCATACATATGATTGAGCAACCAGACCTGACGCATCTTTTGAAACTTCCAGGCTGCTCTTGATTTTTTCCATTCAACCAAATAGGCCAGTCCTAAAAGTGCAAGTCGGGTGAGAAGGGAGAATGACTGTGTCAGTTATACGATCTGATAAGGTCGGGTCTCATGCTTTTAAGGACAAGAAGATTACTTGCCTGGTGTAGATGTATCTAATGTGGCGAGTTTTGCAGCCTCCTCTTGCCTGGCCTTTTTGCTCTTTACAGACGGAGTGCTCTCTGCATCCTTGTCAGCTTTCCGTTTCTTTTCATGATTCTTTTTAGTATCATTCTCATTATTATCACTGTCACTGCCGCTGTCACTATCGCTATCTGAGCCATTGTCGTCTCCTTCAACTTTGTAAGAGATATTTTTCAGTTTCTCAGCATTGTCGGCCTCAGTGGTGTTTTTCAAGAATTGTTTCCATTTTGGGGTCTTGTTTTGAATAGAGGTCTTGATCTGGGTGAGACCCTTTTTGGCCAATTGAGCTTGTCGTTTTGCTTCTTCGGCTTCTTTTCGAAGTCGTTTGCGTTCCTGTTTAGCAGCGATTTCTTCCTCAGTTTTGACTCGACGTTCCTTTTTCTTTTTGATAGCGGGGATGTTGATCAAGGGTTCGTCAACGGCAGTTGTAGACAAGTCTTTTGAGGGTGTATTTGTATCTGCTGCTGTTGCTGCTGCTGTTGTTTCTGTTGTTGTTGTTGGCTTTTTCTTTTCTGGTTTGGGTATCCTAGCCCGCTTAACATTAGAGTCGGACATTGTGTATGAATGCAAGAGTTATGAATTTTAAGGAAAAAAATAAAAAAAAAAGAATGCAGATCTCTTTTGTAGACAAAATCTGTTTGTGTGTGTGGCGCCTCACTCGTAAACTCGTAAATGAAATTTTAATTTTTCGCCAACTTGAAGAAAAAAAGAGGTTGACTCGATAAGAAATCCTTGCTAATTGGGATATGGTTGCGCTAATATTTATATAAATTATGGCTAAAATATTATACAATTGGCTAAAAAGAAGGCCAAAACAGAAAGTTCAAGGGTGTGATGTGCATTAGGGAGAGCAATTAAAATTAATCCCTGGTTGTGATAAATAGTTGTAGGCGTACATACAAGTACAAGCACAAGATGGCCCTCTGTCCCTGGTTCCCCTTGCATAGATGTATGTAATACGAATATGGACATGTAGATGTGGATGTAGAGGATGTAAGGTATAGTTTTGATAGTTTTGCCAAAAATAGTTGGATAATGCAATTCATTTTAGTGGGAGCCACTTAATAAAATTAAAGCAAAGGTGTAATACAGGTTAGAGAGCAATGGGCAATGGGCAGTGGGCAGTGGGCAATGGATACGGTTTATTAATATAAAATAAAAAAGAGTATTAAAAGTATAATGCAATTGATCAGACAGCTTTCTCTTGACTAGACAAATAACGCGTACAAGCCAATGGCACCTGGTTAAATGATCTTGCTCCTATCCATTGACACTTTCTTCTTTACTTCTTACTTCTACACACACACACACAAATATACATCCTTGTTGAAAGTGTAGAGAGAGTAGAGTGAGCAATATAAAAGACCGATCGAGTGTGTCACCAGGCACAGACGCATCTTTGTAATGGTAAAGAGATATGAGAATAGATTCGGTCATTGCTTTTAAACTTCTGTAATCTTAATCTGCAATCCCCCGCTTTAAATTTTATCGAATTTATTTTTTTTATTTTATTCTCACCCTTCTCTTTCAATCCTCCTCTCATCCCCTCTTCTCTCTTTCTTTCTTTCTTTCTCCTTTGCTTCACATCACCCTTGCTTCCATTACATTCTTTTTGTTCATTACATTTATACTCTACTACAAGAAATATAAAAAAAGAATTACAATAGCCTCCTCCATCATCTCTTTCTCATACACACCACTCCTCAAACAACACAACACACCACTCCTCTCCTCACACCAACCATGCCTTTCCTCAAGGTCTGTCAGGCCCTCTATGACTATGACGCCAACACAGAGGAGGAGTTGACTATCAAGGAAAACGATATCCTTTACATCCTCGAGGACGACGATCCCGAATGGTGGAAAGCTAAACTCAAGACCGTCGACCCTAACGAGTTGCTCGTCGGCCTTGTCCCAAGCAACTATATCGAACTTGTAAGTCATTCTTTTTCTACTTCATTGTCTCTTTCATCATTCACATACTGATTTCAACAATTCCATTCAATTCAATTCAATTCAATTCCATTCAATTCAATTCAATTCAATTCAATTCAATTCAATTCAATTCAATTCATTTCAATTCAATTCAATTCAGTTCAATTCAATTCAATTCAGTTCAATTCAATTCAATTCAGTTCAATTCAATTCAATTCAGTTCAATTCAATTCAATTCAGTTCAATTACTAATGTTCAATTTAATGGATTCCCCTCCTCCATAACAATAGCTTCCTGCTGCTGGAACCGTAGTCGGTCTTTACAAATATGAAGCAACGACAGAAGAAGAGCTCACTTTCGAGGAGGGCGATGCGCTCACATTGTACGAGCAGGATGACCCAGACTGGTTCCTCGTTGGCAATGGCACCCATGTCGGCTTTGTACCTGGAAATTATGTTGAGGTAATCAAATCCATTGGACTACGCTTATTTTTTTGAGGAAAGCAAAAGTAGAAAGAGTGATATACATTCTATCTTTTATCTGTGAACTTCATTAACATTGTTTTTTATATCTATTAATAAAGCTTTCTGCGGGTCAGGACGAACATACACAGGCACAAGAGGCAGCAGAACAGCATCAGGATGATTATGCAGAGGAGCAATACCAAGAGGAAGATCAAGATCAGGCCGTTCCACAATTCAATGCCACTACCTCATCACCAACAGTAGCAACAGCAGCAGCAATGCCAGCAGAAAGAGACGATCCCAACTTTTGGATGGTCAATGTAAGGGATCACATACATCCCTGCATTTCCTATTGTTACTTTATCATTTCTGCATACTCTATTTCTTTTTCATTCGAGGCTAAATACTGATTCTGATTTTTTTTTTTTTTACTTTTCATTATTATTATTATTATTATTATTATTATTATTTCTACTCTCTATATGTTTGCCCTGAAATATGCAGGAGCTCGACAGCAAAAAGAAGAAAAAGAAGGGTAGACTTGGTGTCAGCAGCTCAACCATCTTTTTCTTGAGCGAGGGTGACAAAGTAAGGCAATACGGCTGTGGCGTAGACACAAACTAATTGCTATGCTCCAGCCTTCTTTTTTTTTTTTTTTTTTTTTTTGTATTTTTTAAACGTGTTCGTGTTGTATGGATCATCCCATCACTGACGCCGCTTTGTTTCGTTTCAATCATCGCCCACCTTAGTCTCCTGTGCGCCAATGGTCGATCAAAGATGTTGACAAAGTCCGACAAGAGAAGAAACATGTCTACTTGGACCTTGGTGGCTCAACCCCAGCTTCATTCGACTTTCAGGCTGCATCCAAGCAGGAGGCTGAGGCTATTTTCAACAAGATCCAAGAATCCAAACAAAAGTCTCGCATCTCTTACCCCACATCATCCACTACCTCAACCGCCTCTGTCCGTGACTCTGTCACCTCCACTTCCACCTATCAGACCGCACAAGGATCACCCAATATTTCATCCGCAACCTCATATCACCATCCAGAACCTGTACAAGAAGAGCCCGCATACGAAGAGGAACAACAATATGTTGAACCAGAACCTGTTTGCGAAGGCCGTTGGGCCATTGCCATGTATGACTTCCAGGCCGAGGCAGAGGAGGAGATCAACATGCGTGAAAACGACGAACTATGGGTCACAGACTATGTCAGTAGTGACGAATGGTGGAAGGTTCAAATTGGCGATCAAGTTGGTATCGTCCCAGCATCCTATGTCAGAGTATGTGTCCTCGGCTAACTTTATTGGTCAACATTTATATGTTTCTTTTTCCTTTATTATTGCTACGGTCGTTCGTCATGTATGGTTATTTATCGACATTCTTTTTTTTTTTTTTTTTTTTTTTTTTTTATCTTGTATGCTTACAGTTTGCAGATGAACCCACACCGGAGGAATACCAGGAAGAAGTTGCCGTTCAGGCACAGCCAGAGGAACCTGAGCAACCTGTCTCACATGCAATCCCTGCTCGTAAGTACCTTTCAAACTGTCTGTTGACCCATTTGTATGTCCACATTGGGTACATATCTTGACTTCTAATAATGCCTCTTATATATATGCTTATTCGACTCTAGCTCCGCCACTACCTCCTGTAGCTGCAGTACCTATTCCAAAAGTAGTACAACCTGCCAAGAAAGAAATTGTCGCTACCACTCCTGCTCCTGCGCCTGCTCCTGCTCCTGCTTCTGAGCCCATCAACAGTAAGCCTGCGCTTTGAGAACCAATTTTGCCTCACTGTTATTGTCCATTGGATCAAACGAATAACCTTGGTATTTTTTCCTATTTGATAGAACCCAAAAATACCAGAATGTGGACAGATCGTTCAGGAAAGTACAAGGTAGAGGCAGAATACCTGGGTTTCCAAGATGGCAAGATCAGCTTGCACAAGCTCAATGGTGTCAAGATTGCTGTTCCTGTGCGTGAAATGTCTCAGGAAGATATTGCATATGTCGAAAAGGTGACTGGTATGAAGGTTTCAGAGTCGGGCTTTGACTGGTATGATTTCTTCATCAAATCCGGCGTTGCAACCGAGGATGCCCTTCGCTACTCTACCATCTTTCGCACTGAACGAATGGATTCTAGTATTTTACCTGAGCTCAGCAGAGATGTTCTCAAGGGATTGAATGTCAAGGAGGGTGATATCATCCGTATCCGTAAGGCAATCGGTGGTAGTACAGGCTCAGGACCAACTTCTCCCGACACTGCCAGTGCACCCAAGGTAAAGAAATCTGTCAGTTTCGCATCAGCTCCTGGAGCAACTGACACGCTGAATGATCGCGAGATGGCCATGAAGTTGCAGGCAGATGAAGTCTCAAATGCTCGCACCTCAGGCGCCTCTTTGGCCGAGCAACGTAGGCAGCAGGAATTAGCTGATGAGAAGTTTGCTCGTGAGTTGCAGGAGCGCGAAAACGCTACCAACCGGACGCCCCAAAACCCTCAGACGCCTGTGTTTGGCAAGAAGAAGGATGAGCCTCAACGCAAGAGTAAGTGATGTGGATCAATCTAAATGTGCTAAATGCCATAAATATGCTATCTTTTTTTTTTTTTTTTTTTTTTTTTGCAATCCCGAGACTAATATTCTTTTTTTTCCCCCAACTTTTTCCCTAGACACTCGTCCCAAAGCAACAACTTCAGCATCAAAGACCATTGATGCATCCGAATTTACAAAAATTGGAAGCGCTCTCAGCAGCAGCTCAAAATCCACATCCAGGAGCAGACCTGCAAACTCCAATGCCACCGGAAGCACTTCTGCAGCAGACTTGGCATTTGATGATGATGCCTGGGAGGTTCGAGATCCCAAGAAGATCCCCTTCGACTACGACAACTGGAAGGTTCAGAATCGTGATAACGAGGATGAATGGATCGAGAAGTTTGCTTCTTCTACAGCGCCCAAGGTTGTGGAAGAGGAGCCCGAAAAGACCGGCTCACCCAAACCCAAGGAAGCCAAGGATGAGACTGCGTCCCCTGCAGGACGTCCAAGGCCTGGCGCACCTGGAAGGACAGACAGCAACAATTCTCTGGGCTCCCTTGGTCTGGCCCCACCAATCACACCATCATCTCCAGCACCTCCTTCACCATCAGCTGCACCTAAGCCTTCATCGCCTGCTTCCGGATCGTTGGAAGCCATTGCCTTGGCTCAGAAAGCAGAAAAGGAAGAAGCAGAGAGAGTCAGGGAGCAGATGCAAAAGATTAAAGAGAAGCAAGCTGCGGATAATGTGAAGAGAGAGCTGGAGCAAGTGAAACAGCAACAGCAAATGCTTCAACAGGCTCTTGTCCAGCAGGCAAACCAAAATCAACAGCTTGTTCAAACCATTCGCCGCATGGCTCCTCCTCCTCCAGTGTCTTCTGGAAGGCTCCCTGCCCCGTTGGTGCCTGTTAACCCTACAGGGCCACCTCGTTTTATTCCAACCAACCCTACTGGACAACAAGTCACTCCTCAGCCCACTTTTAGCACTGCCTCCATTGGTCTTCCTTCTATGCAACAACAGATGATGACGGGCGTAAATCCTCAGATGACTGGTGTGGCCAGCCAACTCACGGGCAAAGCCAGCTGGGTCAATGCTAGTAAGTTGTGGTTTAATCATATAAAAATGATTTAATACATGTCGGACCAAATTATTGTAGACGTTTATATTTAGAAAAGTATTTTTTTATTAATCAATTTTTTTTTCCCCCCTCCCTTGCACCATATTCACAGCGCCCGCAAACCCTTTTGGTATCGGGGCTATCACTATCAACCCTACTGGAATCCCAAGAGCCCCACAAGCTATTGTACCAGCTAGATCGGCACCTCCAGTCCCAGCACCGTTCATTAACCGCAGCATGAGTCAGGCTCCTCCACCACCCCCACCACCAATGCAGACTAGCATGGCAACTGGCTTTAATAATAACAACTTGAACACGATCAATAGCATGCGGACGGGAATCAATAGTAACATGACAGGCATGAACAACAACATGGGCGGCCTTAATAACAACATGACGGGTATGAACAGCCTTAACAGCAATATGACTGGCATGAATAACAATAGCCTGTCGCCTTTGAACCGTACGCCACAGCCAATGCAGTCAGCATCGTTCCAGACCCCAGCCATCACAGGCATGAGTCAGAGTAGCAATGCGCCAAGCCTGAACACTTTGAGTGCTATGAGCAACATGAATAGCATGAACAACATGAACAACATGAACAACATGAATAATATGAACAACATGAGCAACATGAACAACATGAACAACATGAACAACAACAATAGCTCTCAATTCCAATCACCCATGTTGACCGGCATGAATAATAATATGACGGGCATGAACAACAACATGACTGGCATGAACAACAATATGACGGGGATGGGTAACATGAATAATATGAACAATATGAACAGCAATAACCTTGGTGGTTTGAACAACAATATGACAGGGATGAACAGCTTCAACAAGTCACCATCGCTGTCCAACTCTTTTGCTTCTTCACCCTTGGGCCAATCACGGATCCTTCAGAATTCTACTTCATCCGTATCGAGCTTCGGAGGTGGGAACAGTTTTGGCGGTCTGGGAAATAACAACAACAGCAATCTAGGCGGTCTGGGTGGGATGAACAGTTTAGGCAGCATGAACAGCATGAACTCTCCAAACACAAGTAATAGTAGCAGTCTCACGCCGATCCAGCCTCAAGCTACTGGCCATCTTCCAATGGCTTCCTCATACATGCGTCCACCAACGTCATCAGGTCTCGTTGGCATGAATAACCAGATGACGGGTATGGGTGGTATGGGAGGAGGCATGGGAAGCGGCCTTGGCGGTGGATTGAACAGCAGCATGGGAGGCATCATGAACAGCAACATGACCGGGATGGGAGGTCTGAACAACAACATGGCTGGTATGGGAAGCATGAATAGTAACATGACCGGCATGAGCGGGATGGGTGGTATGGGCGGAGGTATGGGCGGAGGCATGAACAACATGGGAGGTGTGAACAGTATGAACAACATGAACAACATGGGTGGAGGTATGGGAGGTATGGGAGGTATGGGAGGTATGGGAGGCATGGGAGGCATGGGAGGTGTTACACCTCAGATGACGGGTATGGGTAATAACATGGGAGGTATGAACACAGGAATGGGAGGAGGCATGGGAGGCATGGGAGGCATGAACCCTCAGATGACAGGAATGAATAATATGAATATGAACAACATGAACAATAACAACAACAATGGACAATTCCAAAAGAACTGGTAATGAATGAGACGCACACAATTTTGGACATCAAGAAGACACTATAAAAAAAAACTATCACTTTTAGTCAAGTAAAAATTATAAATATATCTATTTAGAAGTTTTTAAATGAATTTGATTGTGCTAATTGTGTGAATGTAATCTATATATTTATGAATTTGGAATTTAATTTGGGAAATGCCTAAATGATTATGCTTAATGCTTAATGCTTTTGCTCCTAAAATGTTTAAATGGCCTGTGCACCAGTTTGTGATTGATCCTTGGGATTTTTCAAGGCTCTGGCCTTGGCGTTGGCTCTAGCACGATCCAGACTAGCCTGAGGTACTGGAGGGATTTCACCCTTGTCTTGAACAGGTGTGAGGAAAGATGCCTGAGGGCGGTATGAGTGCATGACTGATAATGACTTTGTGAAGACACTCTTGGGCAGGACCTTCATCAACCCACGGATGACGCTATTGTACCAGCGCTACACAGATACAAATACAAATGCGAATAAAAATGCAAATACACGATGACAAAAAAAAAAAAAAAAAAAAAAAAAAAAATTGAAAATCAATATGTATAATCATTGGGGTCATTTCAAAGTACAAGTTCAAAGATGATGTTGTTGTTGTGGATGTACGAATGTGGGGGGGGGGGGTGGTAAAGAAGTTTTTAATTATTCTTACCTGGCCAATGACAAGAGCGAGACGATGGCTGGTGTCATAAGCATTCTTGGCCAGGGGATACCGTTCATCCTGGTAATGCTTGAAGGCATTGGAGATTTCCTCGGTCGTTGGGTGTTCCGGTAATTCGTAAATACAATTTGCAAGAGTCACTGCATCCTGCATTGCACTCACAGCGCCTATTGGAAAAGGATAAAACATTTAAAGGAATTAATAAAAAGTGAATACATATACAGGATCTTTTTGTTTTGAGACTTGCTTGTTCTTTGTTCGTTGTTCTTACCAAGACCAGCGGATGGGAACAACTAACGGATGCAGATGCAGATCGATCATAAAGAGAGAGCGGACATTTAAAAAAGAAAAAAAGAATGTTATTGTGAGCTTCGTAGGAATGCCATTCGCCCAACCTTAGAACTTGCTTTTTCTTTGTAGCAATTGAGCAGCTCCTGATGCGATCTCTTTCTCTGCTTCTTTTGTTTTCATTTGGGCGTAAAAGGTAAAAGGTAAAAGGTAGAGGAGAAATCCTTTTATCCATTCCCTTCCCTTCCTTCTTTCTTCTTCTTCTTCTTCTTCTTCTTCTTCTTCTTCTTCTTCTTCTTCTTCTTCTTCTTCACTTCTAGACCTTCGCAGACCTTCCATGTCATGATTGTAATTATCTTTTTTTTTTTTTTACCTTGTGACATGCTATGTTATTCCACATGGCAGAAAAAACAAAACGAATTCTTTGGTTAAAATCCTTTGTTGCTCTCAAAAAAACTTTTTTTTTTTTTTTTTTTTTTTTTTTTGGTAATATTTTTTCCCACATGTTTATATACTGCAAATACATTTACATATCGAAATGTATCTTAAAATAAAAACTTGTTTTCGTTTCTTACCATCTCCAATGAGGACCATCCGTCCTCCATACCAGGTGTCGAACAATTTCTCCTCCAACATGACTTTGGAAATATATTCCTTCGGTGTGTTCTCAAACAAGTCGCCCAAGGTCAAATTATTCCGAGGAACAGGGAAATCTTTCACGGCTTTGCACATCATCTCTGCTGCCTCTGGACCCCATTCTGTGTTCTGGAACGATTCACTTCCCTTGGAGGATTCTCCATCCAGATGTTCCAAGACCATCCAGCAGATCGTATTGAACTTGGTGGTGAAAGTGACCCACTATTTTATATATATATAAATGGAAGTTAGAAACAGTTCAGTTCGAACACCGCGCGCCGATATGATATATATGCAACAAATTAAAAAAAGTAAATTAATTAATTCTTATCTTCATGCGATTTGAAAGAAAAAATAATTGTATATACGAGTCGACTTACAGAATAAGGCTTGCCTTCTCCAATCGTCGTTTCAAACCAAGTATGATTATCCTTCAAATGAGGAAACTTCTCAGGGTCCAAGGGCTTGGTCTGTCCGACGAGACAGGTCGTATTGAAGGGCAATTCGGCCTGATCACTCTTCGGTAACCGATCCTGAGCCAGCAATTGTTTATAAAGATTTTGCCGAACACTTGAATAAGCACCGTCTGCACCCACGACAATCTCGGCTTGATAGGTCGAATTATCGGAACATGAAATGATGACGCCCTCACGATCCTGTTTACAAGAAAGGATCTTTTTGGAATAATGGATCTTGTGAAGCGGAACCAGCTTCATCAAGATGTCCACTAAAATAGGACGAGCGATAATATGAGGAAGATAACCTCCACTTTATAGAAATATATATATATATCGTGTTAGAATAATAAAATAAAAAAATAAAAAAAAAGAACAATAGTAAGGACATCTTTCTTTGTTTTTTCTTTTTCTTTTTCTTTTTTTTTTTTTTTTTTTTTCATTCCTCGTTTAAAGAAAAGGTCTTTGTGCATTACATTTTCTCTACCGGGCTATAAACCAGTGTCCGGGTAGCTTCCCGGTTTTCATTGTATCCAGTCGAGAATGCAAAGTGTTTAGCATTGGCCATGATTTCATCCAAGATACCCAGCTGTTCAAACAGGTACATCACATTGGGACCAAAACTGAGAGCGGATCCAAGAGGGATGACCTTGGCAGCTCGCTCCAAGACCTGGTATTCAATCCCGGCCTTTTCCATCAATGCTGCAAACACAATGCCGCCAATTCCAGCGCCCACAATGATCACTCGGGCCTTTGTGGGCGTTGGGTTGATACAGGCTTGGAATTCTGTGCAGGGCGCCATTGGATGATTATTTTGATGTGGATGATATGGATGATGTGGATGAGATATTAAAATTCCTGTGGTGATGAAAGTGGAGGATAAGGAGATAGAGAGATGATGAGATAAAAGGGAGAGTACGAGGGCGAGGGGGCGAGGGGAGTACGAGGAGGAAGAGGGATAGAAAAGGAAGAAAAAGATGAAAAAGAAGGAATAATCGATTAATTTCATTAACGTGTGTAAACCTTTTTTTTTTTTTTTTTTTTTTTTCTTTTTCATGCGTGACCATTAATTGACATGAGACAAAGTGAAAAATGAAGATCCCTCTCTCTGCTCTCGAAAACCTAAATCAACTTTCAATGTCCTCTTTGCTTCTCGTCTTCTCGTCTTCTTGTCGCCCTTGGAACTACATCCGCTGCTGATCCCTCACAATCCTCTTCTTCTTGGGACTAATGCCCTTTCTCAATAGAAGGAAGTGTGGGAACCACATAGTTTTGTTTCAAAGCGTGGAAGCGAAAAATAAAAAAATAACATCAGGACTCATTTCATTTGCTACCTTTTTTTTCTTTTTTTCTTTTATTCGTTCGCAAGCGTCTTCTGGATAGCTTACAGAAATATCACCAATTGAGCAATGGAAACGTTTTCCTTGTTGGCCATGTCAATGATACCCTTTGATTATCCGTAAACACTAGTCATCTGTGAACACATAATGGCTGTTGTTGTCTGTCGCTTATAGCTAGACTTTTAGAATACTGTGAATTTATCTGCGCTAGAATACTTCCGGTATTTTCAGTTCGGTTGGCGTTGGTTTTTTCGCCTTCTCAAGTCTTGCTTCCTGGAAGGTCGAACACTGTACTATACTACCGACAGCCCCATATTGCTCCATCAGCTTTCTATTCATTTCACTCAAGCCAGAAACACCTTGAATCCTTGTATTGCCAGCATAAAACCCTGTTTGCTTCGTACTCCACTTCAAGCGGATGTTATACTGGCCATCCTCCTCTTTGATGATCTGCCACATTCGAACAGAGCCAGCCCCACATCCCGTCACTAGGAAGCAACCTTTTTCAGTAACATTCCATGAAAGAGTAAGGACAACTCCTCCTATGAATGGGATAACAGCTAGGCAATTGGATGACTCTGCATCCCACAGTCGTACAGTTTTGTCCTCGCTGGTAGAGGCAATATACTGGCCATCACAAGAATAAGATATGGCTCTTATAGGTACACTGTGTTCTTCAAGCGCATGCAATACGATCCCTAATTCAGTATCCACCACACTAATTGTCCCTTCTGTACTTCCAACAACCATCTGTCGACTGGATGGTGAAAATGCAATCGCTTCCAGAGTCTCCTCGAAATATATTTCGAAATAGAGCTCTCCTGTATCTGCAGACCGTAGCTGCACCTTATCGTTGTCCTGGATGAATGCTATCTTTTGGCTGTCAGGCGAATAAATACAAAATTTCTGACCAAGCAATGTATCCATCAAATACAAACCCTCTAACTCATACAGTAGATCTCCTGAATGTGTCGTCCAGACCCTGAGCCTCTTGGCCTCACCATATAAAGCAATTTGGTGACCATTAGGTGAAAATAAAATTTGCTTCACCCCATTGCCATTTCCTTGTAAAGCACGGATGAGTTGCCCTGTTTGTGTGTTCCATACACTCACATCTCCATTAGAGTGGCCGCAGGCAATTTGATGGTCAATGGGTGAAAAATCTAAGCGCTCGATACTGCCTTCCCAATTTGATGGCTTCAAAGTATGAACAACTTTGCCTGATTGAGTATCCCAAAGGTGAATGCATGAATCACTGCCACAATAGGCAAGCTGTCCATCAGGTGAATACTTGATGTCCCCTGTGAACTGTTGTAAAGTATGAATACATTGCCCTGTTCGACTATCCCACACACGAACTGTCTTGTCCATGCTGCATGATGTGATGTGTTGCCCATTCGGTGAAAACTTTACTCGAAAGACTGAATGCGTATGCCCATATGAGCCATGGCTAGACTGTTGTGATTGTGTGTCCCACAGACGTATCGTTCCATCTTTGCTGAAAGAAGCAATCTGGTGGCTGTTGGGTGAATATGCTACACATTGTATACGGTCAGTGTGGCCATATAATGTGCTGATCAACTGTCCGGATCGAGCATCCCAAAGTTGCACTGTACGGTCGAGACAACAAATGACTATCTGCTCACCATTTGGTGAATAGCTTAAGTCATAGGCAAAAGTAGGATTGCCTATAATAGTATGGATGACCTTCCTTGTCTGCATGTTCCACTGATATGCCTCAAATAAGGTAAACGAAGTGACGAATTTCCCACAAGGAGAGTATTGAACACCTCCGGCAGGCCTCTTATGCTCCAAAGCCCACTTCTTCTGGCCAGATCGAGCATCCCATACCTCCAGTGAGCAAGACTCATCACCACGAATGATGATTTATTGACTGTCAGGCGAATATATGATTTGTTTAGCGTTAGATTCAATGCCCTGGAGCACCTTTATCAGTTCCCCTGATGCCGCATCCCAAAGTAGTACCGCCTCGTAATTGTCTCCACTTGCAATCTGCTTTCCATCAGGTGAGTACACCACGCTTGCCACCCCATAAGTATGTCCCTTTAATGTGTATTGGAGTATGCCGGACCTGGCATCCCACACATGCACCGACCTGTCACTGCTACTTGAAGCGAGATGGTCACCACTTGGTGAGTACACTACAGCATTAACAGTGCCTGTATGGCCCTCCAAGCTATGGACCAATGTTCCTGATGTTGCATCGAACACTTCAACCATATTGCCACGTCCAACAGCAATGTGTCGGCTGTCTGGAGAGTAACTGAAATTGGTACCGGTCAAAGTCAAGCATCTCTCCCATGTCAATGTATCATAAATGCTGACATAGCTCCCCTTGGTATTCTGACTGTAGGCAATTACAGTTAATGTCTTGCCATCAGGTGAATATGATCCCTTGCGTACTGGTCCCTCCTCGCGAAGGAATGGCCATTCTCCAAACTGTACTCCTGACATCTTGGCTCCATTGAAGTCTGCATTCTGAAACCAACATCCATGAAGGTTAGCCTTCCTTAAATCTGCTCCTTGTAGTTGAGTATCATCAAACATCCCATGACTAAGGTCGGCTCCTGGAACCTGAATGCCTCGTAAGTCTGCTTCGGTGAATGATGTCCTTGCCCGAACCAAGATTGTCATTGCATTAGCTGCTGCTGTCCGCCACTTGCTATCGCTCTTCGAGAGTTCTATATACTCATACAGCTGCTGCTTGAACTTTGCTTCCAGTTGGATATGGTCCACAAGGAACTGAAGAATAGATGGCTCGTTTACAAAGCTTCTCCACACTAAGGGGGACCCTTCATCAGGGTCTATCAAATCATTATTTTTCTCAACTATATTGTTCTCTTCCACCTCAAAACTGTATACAGAACTGGTACTCCCTCTTCGACGCCAAGTCGGTACTGCTAGTGCTTCTCTATCACTCGCAATTACATTCATCTCTTTCTGTGGCTCAAACATCGCTCGTACCACGCAGTACTCCAAGATAGACCGATGCACAAACCGATACTGGCTACCTGTACGGCTCATAGGTGATGCTTCTCGAAGGAGGTATCTCTCACTCTCTCTGCTAAAGTACTCCTCTTTCCATGTACCTTTGTCTCTCGATGGAGAATAGTCCACCACTGGATTGCCATCTTGATGTTTGTAGATTGCCACTGCTAGCTCTGTCAAGTATCTGATCCCATTCTGTGCAAACCCTTCATCACATAATGTCCGGAACATCTTCTTATCCCCCGATACTATTATCTCGTTTAGTCGCTTCTTGCCTCGTTCGAGCCACAACTCTACAAACTTGTCATACAGTGTGACGCGCTTGATCTGTGTTTTGGAAGCATCTTGGTGCGGGTCAACCATCCGCGGCAATACTTCCAGTGAGAGTGACAGTATGAATGGGTTCTTCACAAGCTCCCTTAGGCTAGGAATCATTTTGAGCGCGCGTTGGTAGTCATCCACACTCCACATTAGGTCCATGGCACCGACATACTGCTTGATGTACTCATCGATCTGCGCCTCAGAGAATGGTACAATCACAGCTCCTTGAAACAATCCAGCGTCTGCTTGGTGATTGCGATCCATAGGCTGGAACCGATCTCGATAGTCTTTTCCTAGGTACTCACTGCGGCAGCTGATCACCATCTGACACATCCATTCGCCTGGCTGGTTGAGGTGGTTGGTGACATTCAGGTTACTGGCCTGCATGGTCTCATCGTACCCATCACAGATCAAGATGAATGACCGAGTCAGCTTCAGTTCCTTGACCTGCGCCTCTGTAAAGCCGTATATCCGCAGTTGCTTTGCGACCATGTCCTTTGTAGGGTTATCGATGGATGGTAGGTTGATATACAATGGTATCCTGCCATGCTTCTTTCGATACACTTCCCACAGAGTTGATTCCAAAGTGCGATTGAATGTTGACTTGCCTGCTCCTGAATCGCCTTGAACTAGAAATACTTTTTGATCACTGTCCAAGAACTCTTTCACCTTATCCATTAGCAAGAACGAATCATCATCACTTGCTTGAGGACTTGCTTTGGCATACTGTTGAACGTAAAAACTCCGATCATCTCTAGTTTCCATCCGCTGTCGTTTGAGTAAGCGCAGACTCTTCTCGACATCAGGCTTATTTTGTACATGATCGAGCAATGATGGAGAAGCAGGTGAGGACGGTGTAGTGATAAAGGGGTATTTTGCTACTGGCTCTTTGAAGCAATTCTTGTATAACTGCTGTTTGTTGGCATCTTCATCCGTAGCAAGATCGCTCAAAAGTGACTCGACAACTACAGAGAAGTACGCATGTAGAGTATATAGTGCACTATCAGCATCTTTGCTTTGCATAGTCCAACTGACGATGTGGTTCCATATCTATTTACCTTGTAGATCTCCGTTCAGTGATGAGACCAGGCTCTTTAGTATATTAATGACCCATTGCTTGATCTCGACATGATCACTCCAGTCTCTGTCATTCTTGTAGATCTCTCCAAGGAAACTAACCGCATCTTGGCGTATCCCAATGGCCCACTCTGTACTGGCTGCAATCTCTCCTAACCGCTGACATAGTCCCCATTGGAATGCAATATCTCGTCGACAGGGTACCTCACACACAAGAGTCTTGAACTTGGTGAGCTCACCTGAATGGAGGAATTCATCAGCTCCACGGAGTGCTGGATACCATGTGCTCTTGCGACTAAAAGTGAGTCCTTCTTCCATACTCTGTTTGAATGCTTCTCCACTTGCATAAAGTGAGGTTGTACCTTTGTACATATGTAAGCTTTTATCTATAACATCAGTCACAGATGGAAGCCCTTTCTGGATTCTGATCAATTCATCCATAAAGGCATTGAGATCCCAATCCCTGATTGCGCTCACTGCTCCAAACACTCCTCGAGCCACTGCTGATGTACGTCGAAGCATGGCTTGGATTGTACTTTCATCGTTTAGGATATACAATAGAGCTTGTGAAGCATAGGCTGCATGATAGACCAAATAAGGATCCGAGCTATCTTTCAGTCCCTTTAAGTAGGCTGACAGTGGCTCATGGAGTTGTTCTCGTTTCAGACCCTTGACTTGATTATTGACCATGGCATCAAGCACATGTGAGACTGTAACACACAGTTGATAGATGTGACTGCCAGACTGTTCGTGTGTACCTTGTAGGCGAGAGCTGAGGGTATTGAGAATGCGGACTAGATCATCAGAGTCGAGGTATCCAAGAGGAGCATCCTGCATCAGCTGTGATAAGCCTTCGAGTAAATGAGTCTCCAGCATGATGCTATGCCTGAATCCATTGACTAGACCCATGAGTAGTGTCTTGTATTGGTCATAGTCGAGAACCGGTGCCAGCATCATAACCTCAGCAACAGTGGCCTCAGACTTGATATTGTCATGGATGAACATACTAATCACATCAGATGCCAGGTTGCGAAGCCGTTGTTGCTCATCATGATCATTCCATGTGGCCAAGGACCATTCTTGCTCCTGCTTACTGAGGTCTTTTCTTGGAATGGGAGCAGTAGGAAGCAAGTCAAGACAATATGCAAGCTGCTGTGTATTGTTCAAATGAGTATCTGGGTGAGGAAGGCTGTACTTGAAGACCACCTGTGGCGCATCATGACTGAATATTTCTTTTGGGATAGTTGCAGAGCTGTGGATCATGAGGGTCTTTAGTGTATTGTTGATACTGCCGACTTTGCTACTGGTAGTAGTGCTAACGCTTCCTTGAACAGTTCTGCTGTTACTTTGACTTTTGCTGCCGCTATCGCCATCATCATTATCGTCATTACCACTACCTTCATTGTCATCTTTGACAGTGTTGCTGGCTCGACAGTGTGTATGAGAATTGTCTGGAGCTGGGTTGGCTTGTTGAGCATGACCCCATTTGGCTGCATACTTGTAACCTCTTTTAGAGTGATCTGGATGACCGAGATTGTCAAAAAATTCACCAACGTCATTCAGAGTTGCAGTGATTGCCTTGCATAGCACTTTGTTTGCATTGTCTGCATTGCCTGTTGAGGCCTTGACAAGCAGCTTTTGATCGGATTGTTGTATTCGATAAAGAACATTCTCAGCATCCAAACATATCTCCAAAGCGAGAACAGGATCCTTTGTTTTGTGTGCCTGTTCCAAGTAGATGGTGGCAAGATCTAAAGCTTTCTGAGGTGGGAGTTGATCTCGCCTTGGCATGTTTTGCAACCACCTCATCTTTTCTTTTCTTTTCTTTTCTTTTCTTTTTACAGTATTTATTTCTATCGTTATTTACAAAACAATGGTCAGCCGTTAGACAAATGGGATTCCATCGGCAAGATATTCAGCTAGTAGCGATGCTATAGGAAACTTACAATGTAATACTTGAAAATAAGAGGTGTATGGGTGGTCTAAAGAAGTCAAGTGGTATAAAAGGCAGGCAGAGATGGGTGATGTTTGAAAAAAAAAAAAAAAAAAAAAAGAGAGATCTCTATAAATATAGAGGGGCGACTTGACACTTCAAATAATGTGGCGAAGGAGAAAAGAATTGTTCATGTGAATGTGAATGTTGGTTGTGGCCCGTCCTTTTTCTTTGTTTCTAAGATTCCTGAACTGTGGACCATTCTTTACCCTCCTCTTTCTCCACCCAGATACTAACGCTCCCAGCATGGCACTGGAATTTACCCCATCCTTCTTTATTAATCGTTACGGGCTGTTGCCAATAACCCATCATATCCACCCAGACTTGGCCACCTTTACTAGGCCCTCCAACATCCATGTATTTATAACCAGCTTCCGAATTAGACATCAAGACGGCTAGGCCCCTTGGATGATGTTCATCCCCATATCGGACCCAGCCAATACAATTGCCATGATCAAAGTAATCCTGCTGTGAACCATAAGCATAATCCCGACGGGCTGTTAAGATACGGGTCAACATGGCTTTATGGCCTGGGATTGCAGTATGAGGCTCATTAGGAGATTTGGCCTCGATGCCATAAAAGTCACCATAGAAGAGACATGGGAAACCATCGAATCTGAGGCAGATCAACTATATTTTGCGAATACAAAATAAAAAGGAATGAATATGAATGAGATAGTTTCAAGAGCAAAGGCAAGCAAAGCAACAATAACAACAAACAACAATACACAAAGTGAAAGGAAATAGGATTAGGATGAGGACTTTACAGCGGCAGCCAAGGGTTTAAACCAGGGTTCGACATAACTCTCTAGACTCTGGAATGGTTGAGTGTCATGGTTGTCAATGAAGGTGACTGTACATTTGGGAGCGACTCTGACCAAGGTTTCGTCAAAGATGGAACGCATATCAAAGGAAGGTCCCTGTTTACTAGCCTGCATGAAATTGAAATGCAAAGGAACATCAAACAGATGAATCCCGCCATTGGTATCAAGGGTCCTGTCCAAATCGTCCACATCGTCTTTCCAGTACTCCCTATTTTTTTTTTTATGTTCAGTACAATATTTTATTTGTTTTTGCATTTTGCATTCAACAGAGTTGGTTAGGGATCATTGGACAATTGATTACAAACAAATAATTTTTTGTCCCACCTGCTGTAAGAACAAAAAATGCTTTACCCAACTCCAAAGAAATCCTTTCTGTCTGTGTTCTTGCGAATATAATCCAAAAGATGCGAAATGAACCCTGTGGACACATGTTTAAGCGCGTCAATCCTGAAGCCGTCAATCCCGAATTCATTAACACACCTATGGTTGAATACATCGATTAAAGAAGTCATAAGAAATGTGTGAAAGAGAGAGAGAGAGAGAGAGAGAGAGAGAAAGACAAAGTTGTTGAAGACACAAATATCAGTATAAAAAGCAACTGGTTTGCATGATCATTTTCAATAAAATAAAAAAATAAAAAAATCCAAATTACCAGACGGCCCATTTCTCAGTCTCACGAACAACATCCGGATGCTTGTAATCAATATCATTACACATCAAATAATCGAAATTACCCTTCTCATGATCCACATCATCTGCAAAATCCTTATGGTCCCCCTTGATCTGAAAGACAGCCTTCCGCTGAGCCCGTGAATCCCAATCGGTTGCGGTGAAATGATAGAAATGCCATTCGAAATCAGAGTATTTCTTGCCTCGTCCTGGGAATGTGAATTTGGTATAGGCCTCAATATCATGAGCAGGTTCAATCTCTCGATTTCGATCATCACTGGCGACTACAGCGGCTTTGAAGACCTCGGTTTCGTCCCCTCCTGCTTTATGATTCAGAACTGCGTCGAGATAAATCTTCATCCCATGTTTGTGACATTCCTCGATCGCTGCTTTTAATTCATCCTTGGTCCCATATTTCGTCGGAACCACACCATGATGTTCAAATTCTCCGAAATCCCAGAGGTCATAGGGCGCGTAACCGACATCAAATTCGGAACTAGGATAAGTTTTTTTAACAAAAAAAAGAAAAAAAAGTTAGTCAGGCTGAGTTGAGGTTCATTCATCATTTCATCGGGGCCTGTCATCACAATATGTTTCTGTCTGTACGTACGTTCCCTTCATGGGAGGGGGGATCCAGATGCTGGAGAGGCCAATTGAATTTAGATATTCGGCCTGTTCCCTGAGACGATTCCAATGCTTTTTATCTATATCATCAAGTACCGATTGACGCCACCGTAAGTGTATGTTACATGGAGCAAAATAATAATAACTATGTGAAAGAAATGCTCAACGACAGCTTATGTTGGGCTAACCTGCTGGTGTGTACCACTCAAAGAACTGAAACATGGTGACATTTTGGTTGTCGCGCGACATTGCTGATCAAGTTTTTTGTTAAAGGATGCTTGGGGTTGGAAACGGTTGTGTTACTGAATCTCCAATAATCGGCTTGAAATGGAAACGGCTGTTGAATGTGCTTGAGGAAGAGAAGGGGGAACAAAGAAAGAGGGGGGAAGACTGAACAGCTTTATGTGAAGAAGGAAAAAAATAAAAAAAAAGGTCACCTTTGCAATTCCTTCTCCCTCTTTTCATTCCCACCGCGATGGATGGTTGGATGGAGAAAGAACCCTGAGAGGCGGGAAATATTCATTTTTTATTTGTTTGTTTTGTTTATTTGTTTATCTCATCTCAAATTGCTTGAGATGGAACGCTTTGTGCATATTTTTATTTTTTTTTAGTCTAACGGGAAAGGGGGGAGAAAGTGGAGAAAATAAACATTTTCATGTAAGCAGAGTAAGGTACAGTAGTCAACTCGAGTGAGAATGGGCCAATGCCAATGAATCAACCTTTTATGCATCAACAATCAGTAAAAAGTGAGCATTCAATTGTATTTACAATATGAACAATTGCATGTTAAACACGACCGCGCACCACTTTTTCTTTCTTTTCTCTCTCTCTCTCTCTCTCTCTCTCTCTCTCTCTCTCTCTCTCTCTCTCTCTCTCTCTCTCTTGTCATCATTATTCATTGTACACTGGTGATCATTTCAAAAGGACTGACATGGATGTTGTGGATTGGATATTTCTACTGATCGGCACCAAAATCCATAGACAAAAAAGAGATAAAAAAAAAGACTTTTTGATCTGCTTCCTTCCTTGATCAATGTGGATGATTGCCGGTGCTAAAATCATTTTCATCGGCTGTGAGCACTGATTGTTCTAACAACACACCGAGAAGATTGGGGATCTGCAAAGAGCTATAAATGGGAAAAAGAAGAAAAAAGAAACAAAACTGCTCACTTTTTTTTTTTTTTTTTTTTTTTTTTTTTTCAGAACGTCCAAGACTTGTTTTGACAACAACTAACGCACTGTACCCTCCGATAATAAAAATAAAAATAAAAAAAATCATGATGTCCTTTTTGTCAACACCTCGCTCGATGCTTTTGAGTGTCTCAATTTTTTTACTCGCAAGTGTCATTTTACCGATCCCAGTTCGCCCACAGCCAGAAAATGGAGTCCAGGTCCGGTTTCCAACAAGTTCATTAGCTTGTAACACCTGCAAGCCTGCGTTTTCCACCGAGGCATGCAAGAAGATCCTAGACTCGATTGTTCGTTCGTCCACGGTCCCTATTTCGAACAAGACCTTGGCAGAATGCCAATGCACAGGCACATTCTTGAGTGTTTATGACATGTGTGTGGAGTGTTTCAGAGAGACCAATCAACTGACGTTGATGCTCGGAAGCGACAACCCGCCCTCACAGGCTAGTCTGAGTGCCTATTGCAGTAGTATGGGTCCTATTGATTCGACTACGACAATCACGACCGTCACCAAGACCGTCACACACACATCGACTTCTACTCCGACATCGACATCATCTGCCACGTCTTTGAAGGCCTATCAAGAGGGACAGCTCGTAGCTGGGATGACGGTGATGTACACTGTCGTTGCTGTTACTGCTGCAATGGTCTATTTCTCGACAATGTTGTAAAAAAAAGAAATCTTTAATCTAGCCAAGTTTGTCATGGAATTGAAAATAAAAATGCAAACGTCGTGACGATATCCATAAAAGTGAATGTCGTGCCTTTTTTATTTTTTTATTTTTTTATTTTTTTATTTTTTTAGTTTGATTCATTTTTTAAGCTCCTTGTCGCCACCACATGTTCATCGCATGATGACGGCACCATTAAACAAACAAAAAGAGTCCTAGAACATTATGCGTATCCATAATGTTATATTATATACTTTATTGATATCTGTTTAAAGTGTCGTGATCCCTTTTTAGTCTAGAATGTACCAAAGGACCAAGGGCTCTTTAGTGGACAAGCCTATGAATATCCGAACATCAACCCCATGGGTAGAGATGATGGTCCATATAAAAAAAAAGTCTATAGTTAAAGTAAAAAAAGTAAAAATGCCCATGATATTCAGATCCAAGTCAAGTTCAGGTTCAGATTCAGGTCCAGGTCCAGGTCCAAGTCCAAGTCAGGGATCCAATTTCTGGTTGGGGCTAGTGTTTGTATAAAACAAAAGTGAGTGTGATGGCTTGGTTTTTTTTATAAAATGACCAGTGTATGAGAGCATTAAAATTTTTTATAAATGATGATTTCATCATTATTAACTCAAGTGATGGAGATGATGCAAGACGAAATTCTTTTTCTGCTTGAATTGTCTCTGATGGACTGCTTGTCTCTGATTCAATGACAACAGCACAAAAGGTGCCCCAAGCGCATTTGTGTGGTAGATGCATATAAAACAAACTCATATTTACCACGCCCTCTCTTTTTTCTTTTTCTTTCTGGTTCTTTTTCTTTCCCTTTGTTTCCTTTTATTCTTCCTTCATTTTTTACCTTTTATCTCCTATCAACCACACTTTTTCTCTTCTTGCTCGTTTGCTTGATTCGACGTCCGTCCTTTCTGTTACTACAAACAAACCCGTTAAATACTAGATTCTTTTTTCAACCATATTAGTTATTCACACCATTGACTATGGGAGCACATACCATCAGTACACATACCGTCAAGGACGGAGTAACCACCACTATCCTTACTCGAACAACCACCATCGTGTCTGAGCATGAAGAGATCCTCGAGGGTCATGAAGATGAATCTCATGGTATCGTCGAAAATGTCCGCAGGACTTTCCGTGATTACTGGTTCCCTGCTCATACCGAAGATGATGACGACACTGAGGAGGACCATGAAATCCACCACGACCCATCTTTGCTTAAACACAACAGCGTCCTCAAACGCGCCTATGATTACTGGAAATCCCTTACTCAGGATGCAGACGAGGCTGCTAAACAGGCGGTCCTCGAAGCCAGGAAGGCTCGCGACGAGGCTGCTGCAGAGGCCAAATGGGCTTTTCTAGGTTACAAAAAGGAGGCGCGCGAGGCATATGAGGCTGCTGAGAAAAAGTACAGAGAAGCTCTTGCTAACGCAGAACGCATTCATGAGGAGGCTCATGAAAAGGCAAAGTCAAAATGGTTCCAGGCTCTCGATACGACTGAGCGTGAAGTGGGCAATATTAAGGACCAAGCAGCTGATATCACGCACCAAAAGTGGGACCGCTTCAAGTCCGCCGTCAATTCCCTGGCATACAATCCTCCAAAGTACGGTTGCGCACCAAGTTCGCAGTACTGGTTCTCACGCCACGAGCCCTCTGCCTGGGACTGCAGGGAGGTTTGGGAGCACCCCAATCGACATGATCACCGTCATCAGTCCATCAAGGCCCTGCCCAAGAAACAGCTGACCAAAGACAAAGTTCATGATACCTTGACCGGTTTGTTCCATCAGGCTGAAAGCAAGATCCAGAACGCTCCTTCGCTCACATCCTTCGACTCGATCCTGAAGCCTGTAAAGGACCAATACCACAACCTCCTGGATCGTGTCTTACGTAATGAGCATGGTGCTATTGAGGAACTGGACGAGTTCTTTGATAAGACAAAGGCCAAGCTGAATGAGGCCAAGTACTATGAAGAACAGACTGACTCCTGGTTGACTTCACAGTGGAACTCTATTGTTGACAATGCTGGTGACTTTAAGGATCAGTATGAGCACGCATTCAAGAATACGATCAAGAGCATCAAGAACGCTCGTGCTGAGATTTACAACTCACTCATCAATAACCTGCAGCGATCCCTCACTGTCGCCCGAAATAACATCCATGAGGCTTACCAAGCCACTAAAGATCAGGCTGACAAGTCTAGACTCCGCAAAGCCATCCATGATGCCACTGAATCGTTCTCTCAGACCGTTAAGGAGACCGAGACCAAGATCAAGTCTGCTCCCAAGAACGCTTATCATCATGCCATTGAGGCCTTCAACCGTGACACAGCTCACCTCAAGGCTAAGCTCGAGCACGCTGCCCACATTGCCTCCAAGTCGGCTTCCTCAGCCTCTCATCATGTCTCAAAGTCCGGCTCTTCTGTTATTCACCATGCCTCCAAGTCTGGCGCCTCACTATCGGCTCAGGCATCCAAATCCGCCGAGTCTGTCTCTGGACATGCTTCCAAATCGGTGTCATCTGCTATTAACCAGGCCACTGATGATGCCAAGAGTGTTATTGATGAGGTCCAGAGATCTGCTTCGAACAAGTACTACGCTGCTTCTGATAAGGCTCGTCATGGTTATGAACACGCCACTGCCTCGGCCAGTTCAATCTGGAGCTCAGCCACTCCCATTGCATCATCAAAGTTCCATCAAGCTCAGGATCAGTACTACAAGCTTGTAGGAAATGTTCGCGGTCATTGGTTTGATCAAAATGATCGTGGTGAGATGTCGGCTAGCTCTGTCTATGGTGCTGTCTTGTCTTTGTACTTTATCTTCTTGGCGCAACGCATCTGGCGTAGCCGACGTCTTACTCGTTTGGCGGATCCCAGCCGAACAACCGTTACAGTTGTCACGACTGAATCTGAGAAACACAATCTCCGTAAGTTTGCATATTCCATGGTTGATGCGCTTTTTTTCTTTTTTTAAATTATACAAATAATTCTACATGATACTAATGTGACACAACAAAACAAACTTTAATGGGTATTATTTAGAAAATGGCGATCATGTTGCGAGGATTGAAAAGTTCAAGAGCAAGCCCAGTGCCGAAGATCTGTTTGAGACTGAGCGCAACTTGTTTGGAAATGTCCTGACTCAATTCACCTCTGTTGTCCCTGTTTCTCTGATTCTTCTTATCCTCTTGGAACTTGGTGGATTTTCTCGCGTTGCCTTGCACACCCTCTTTGTTGGTTTGGTGACTTCACAAGTACTTCAGGGTGGCTTGTTGAATGATGTTCTTGTGCAATTGGGAGTTGTTGATGGAGTCCATACCTCTGGTCGTGAACTTGGAACAATCATGTCATGGACCGTTCTTGGACTTGCCGCTGTTGCCAACGCCATCAAAGCCATTCATGATTAAAAAAGAAAAAAAAAAAAAAAAAAAAAAAAAAGAAAAAAAAAAAAAAAGAAAAGAAAAGAAAACTACGCTACTACCACAGTTTGAGTTTTTTATTTTTTTTCCTTTATCCTTTATCCTTTATCTTGCATTTTACTCACACCAGCATGCAAACTGTGCCTCTTCTTTCCCCGTAGTATAAATGGAACACTTAACCATCCATCGCAATTAACGACGAAGAAATCATTGTGTACATAATAAAAGAAATATATATATATATCGATCATTTGTTTGAAAAAATATATAATAATAACAATAATAATAATAATAAACCAGCTGTGAGCTTTGTTTTTTGTTCACATGGAACTAGCGCTGAAAGAATATCGTTTTGAAGGCACCTGTGGAAGGACTGGGATAGTACCCCTTACAGGGACCTGTTTCAGAAAGTTGGCTTGAGGTCTGTAAGCGCAAGTTTTGTCTTGACGTCTTTGGTTCAAGTACTTTGGCATGTAACTCAGCACAATTTTACGACAGCGTCTGGCCATGTCTAATTAAAATAAAAAATAAAATAAAAAATAAAAAATAAAAAATAAAAAATAAAAAATAAAAAATAAAAAAAATAAAAGGGTTTATAATCCATGTTTTTGTCTTTCTCTTCTCATAAAGATGGAAGAACCAAATGAATCTATTGATTGGACATACCTGTCCACCCATGATAACAGCGAAACGCTTGCTGGTTTCGAATTGAGTCTTTGCATATTGAAAGCGTTGATCTTGATAATCCTTGAGGGCAGCTGTGATATTGGAGCGAGTGAGGGACTTTATGTCGTTGATACAGTTGGCGAGGACAGTAGCGTCTTGCATAGCATTGATTGCGCCTTGACCAGCGCTTGGAAGCATCTGTTCATTAAAAAAAAAAAAAAAAAAAAAAAAAAACTCCGTGTTAAGGTGCATTGATGCTTTTTAAATGATGCGGTTTGCTTAGGAGACAAGCTCGTGGCTTTTACCTTGTGGCAAGCTAAATGTGTTGTTGAACGAAGGAAGGAAGAAGATCTATCAGCATCAGCTTACTTTCTTTTTTTTTTTTTTTTTTCTACATAATTGCATACTTTTACTATTTTTTACCATCTCCAATAAGCACAGTGCGTCCATGATACCAAGTTTCAAAAAGCTTTTCCTCCAACATGACTTTGGAGATCGTGTCCTTTGAAGTTTTATCGATCAAATCACCCATTGTTAAGCCAAAGGGGGCTTTGATATGACGGATCTTCTCACACAAGGAAGCAGCCGCTTCAGGTCCCCATTCCGAATTCCTAAAGCGTTCGTTATCAAAGTTGTTTGCTGGCAGCTGGATTATATACATCCAACAGATCTTGTTCTCTGGGATAGTGAAACATGCCACCTATTGAAGGGTAATGTAGAAAAGAAAAGAAAAGAAGGAAAAGAAAAACAGGTAAAGATAACAATAAATAAAGGGTACATATATCCTCTCGGGAAAGATCAAGAAAGGAGGGACACTGGCGCCATACTACATAGACTACACCAATCAAAGTATACCAAACTAAAGTATGCAAAAGACATCTTCTTTGCCTGTGGTTATGACTCTCCATTTGATCCCAAATGTAGAGCTCTCAAATCAAGCCTGGATGAGCAATGGGAATCGCTATCGTCAAACATGCGGAATATTTGCACACAACTTCCATTCCCGTACCCATCTCATAGCAACTGGAACTTCAGAAACCGGCAGAACTTTGTCAACTCTGTCTTGAATGAGGTTCTTGGTATTCATATAGTTGGAATTAACAAGAAAGCCACAAGCTATCATATAAAATACATGAGGGAAGTAGGGAAGAACTGGGAAGGTTTCTTCAATGATGGAACTAAATGAATACAATGGAGGACTTGAGCAGATTACGATATTGTATTCTTTTTGAAAAGTCATGGATTAATATTTAACCGGGGACGACTTTGGATTTCATCTCTATAAAAGAATTTGGAAAGTCGCCCCCATGGTCTGTGCGCGTCATGATGGTTTTTGAAAGTACGTGCAATCGGTCTCTAGAAGCTGATTTTCGTTCTCCAGTAGTCTTGGATGCACTGTTTGTAGTTGGAATGCTGTAGAGCCACCCATGTTGCCTCAGAGATATCGAAGCCTTCCCATTGAACCAGAAACTCCATGTCCTCACCTTCTCCGCGATGGTCTAAAATCCTAGCAACCTCGTATCCCTCCTGCGCTGTCTCTGCCATAGTCTCATCTGCAGTGTCTAGTATGTTAGGCTGCGAACTAGCTACAGATAGGAACGCTTCTTGTAATTCTAAAAGACTTCGACCATGATTTAGTTTAACTTTGATGTTGGGGAGCTTCTCATAAGCAACCTGATACTCATTATTGTCTGGAAAGTCAAGCGCATCTTGCATCCAGAATGTGTGGTGCGTCTGAGTGGGGATATTATGGATTGACACGACTCTCTTGATATTCATAAGCAGGCAACAAAGCTTGAATTGGAGATCAAACGTCTTTGCGTCTGAGAAACGGATGGGAGCGTCGTGTGTGAACTTGGAGAAGGTGGATTGCATGTCTCCAAAGCACCCTTCGATGCGTGACCGAAACCCACCAAACGCTTTATTGTAATGTAACTCTTGGTCTGTCATGGCGATCCCTCTAGTCTTGCGCACAGGATAACAGAAGTTCTCGTAGGACAGTGCATTTGATGGTTCGACAAGTTGTCTAACGAACCCACTGTAGCCACCGTCAAGAGCAATACAGTCTAGCTTGTGTATGTGCGATGCAATGTTCATCTTCACAAGCATGGTCCCATCATTGAAATCTCGACAAGGAGCTGGCTTGGATGCAAACAGTATGATATTGTTCATGTCTGAACACACTTGAATACGAAAACCCGACTTCTTGAGTTTATAAGAGTAGAGACTTGGCTTGTCAGCACCGATGTAGCTGGCTCTTGTGTCATGTCCGTCTACATTGTAGACCATGAATCTCCTGTGATCAGCGCATACAGGAGCGGCAGACCCTTTTCGACATTACGATATGGGCTACCATAGTCACGCACCCCAAATACTTGTGTCAGAAAAAAGAACGTAGGGATGAATCCTAGACGGTCAAGCACCATTGACTTGACGTGTGTTACGTCAGATGTCTCTTTCATCTCTGTGCGATGAAACTTGGCTTTCTTTATAGCTGGCCACTCCTCTTGCATGAACCTCCACTGAGCCTCAACAAGGCGTACATATTCCTCAGAAACAGCGCTCATACAGATATACTCTTTGCAAGCTATTGGATATAAAGCGCTTTATTACAACTCCTCTATATTATTCACTTTATTTTCATCTTACCTATTCAAATATTCACTTCAATTTACAATTCATCCGAATATGGCGACTGTTCGGACTCCATCTGATACTGTATAAACACCTGAACACCACCACATGCCATTGACTACTCTACGTCCCTTAAACAATATTCCTAGCATACACCTGAACTTTTGCAAGGGATGAGTCAATACTTCGACAAACATATAACATTCAATGGATACATCACAGCTCTTGGTTTGTGGAAGCGCTGAAAGCATGCGGAAAACGGGAACCATTTGTGTTTTTACTAGCAACAAGCGTGGTTTCAAAAAAGTGTGTCTCCAAGGAACAAATCCTATATCCTTCATTGCTCAAAAGAGACAATCTTGTCTTTTCTGCACCCCAAAAGCTCGCCATAATCCTATTGAAGCGTTCAGAGGCATTATTTGCCTCATAGTTTGAGGATTAGCAGACTTTCAGTCAAGCTTTATTGTTTTGAACAAACACAGTAAATCCTGTCCATTCGAAGTTAGTCCCTTTGGATGGCAGCTATTCAGGAGATGCTAATCAATTCCGCTAAATTATGGTGAAATCAAAGCAGATTTGGAAAACCAACAAGCATCGAACAGTCGCCTTAACAAGCAAGTGACCTCTCTGTGGCGTGCACGGACCATGGGGGCGACTTTTCAAATTCTTTTATAGAGATGAAATCCAAAGTCGTCCCCCAGTTAAATATTTTAGCCGTGATACATCTCAAAAATAAAGAACCGTATTATTAAATTTCTATGACAAGCCTTTTTATAGGATTAAGAACTATATTATTGCTGTATACTGTGGCGAAAATTCTAAGTTGGGATATTTCTAAAAAGTTTCTCATTGAGCTCGTCGAAGCTGACATGAAGAAGATCTTTGTACTTTCTGATTAATCCAGTGTGGTTTGGTGTACCAGGGGAACCACGCATGTAAACTATTTTAAATCCAGTTACTGGCTCTCCATCCTTTTTGACAACAAAATGTCCATCGTCAATTAAGGCGGAATGATTGCCTCCAAATACTTCGTCCAAATATCTTTCAATCTGATTTTTGCCGTTGGAATCTCTCTTATCAAAAGCGTTCTGGATCTGCTTAGTTTGTTTCTGCTCGTGGTCGCAGAAATCACTTATGGACACCTGGATAAACATTGTGTCGAGTATGAAATCAAAGCGAGGATAACTCGAATGACAATGGCTCAGTACATGTCCATAGCCACGTCCAAGAGAAGTCATGTTTTGATGGATTGTCCCATGATCCTTAAAGTCCATTATAATCTGCGTTGGATCCTTGCCGACAAGGTTTGTTGCTCTGAGAACGATTAGCTTGGTTAAAGTCAAAAACCGGACCAACAGTGTCAACTTAAAATCATCACCTACCTCTCCAAGACTAACTTGCCTCAGAATATGCTCATGATGAGGTATGTTTGTAAACGCCTGAAAGAGTGCTTTCTGCGCTGGGAGGCACAAGACATAGTTTATGGCTCCGCGGTTCTTGTTGAGACGATAGATAAGCCCTAGGTCACGGAAATCCCATTCAAAATCACCACTCTCCGAGTTGTTGCCAAGGAAGACTGTTGCAAGGCTTTTAGCGAACTCCTTCTTCGATTCATCGCTGAGAGCTTCGTAGTAATCCCAAACTACAGGGCGAAGCTCGCTTGTTCTCTGAGCTACATACCCATCAATGCTATCTCTTGTGAGTGGTCTTTCCTTAATTGATCGAATGAGGCGCATAAACTCTCGCGGCACACGGTTTGTAATCCTCATTACATCCTGGACAATATCGGGTTGGTTCAGGTGGACCTCCAACCATTTTGAAAACACTGTCTCGGATAGTGGGCCAACAAAGTACAATAAGATAGCTCGAGCACTGTCTTCCATAATCTGCAATTCATATTTGGCATGGGCTGTTCCTGTAAATATCACTCTAGATCCTTTGTAATGAGACTGCCATAGATTAAGGTTCATTAGATGCTTCAGGAACGGGTATTTATCCGGCACATACGGCTCTTTTCGGAATAACTCTCCATGTTCGTCGATAATGAACAGTGTTTTGCGCTCCTTCTGTTTGAATAGGTCGAATACTGCGCGAGCAGCCACAATTGAGCAATCTATAACTTCAGAAAAGTCGAGGAGACTTTCCAGATCAGATGCCGTCAAGATATCCCTGTTGAAAGCGAAGAAGCGCCTTAACAGTGCCTTTGCCGATTTTGTATCCGAACTTTCATTTAATATCGCGGCATCTGGTATATAAAGGGTAAGCCACCCTTTCGCATATCCTTTTGCAGCAAGGAAATAGGATAGATATGACTTGCCAACCCCCATAGGACCAGAAAGGACTCGCCGAAATGAAAACCTTTGTTCAGCACTAATCTCCTTCCACAATTCTAGCATCTGATCCGTAATTATAAATCCCGAATTATATTCCTCAAATTCTTTCGGTGTGAGGCCCAAGGATGGAATGTGAACTTGATCACCAAGCTGATTATCGCTTTTCAGATGATTAAACTTATTACGTGCATCGGGCGGGTCTTCAGGATTCTCCAGCATTGCGATCCAAGAGGGTGGTAACGTGACCATTTTACCATCAGAAGCCCTGTATTCTCTCCACCCTCCCTCAATGCGCATCTTCTTTGAAGGTGAAATATACCGTGGATCTAATTATGATCATCGTACACATACACAGTTGGTTAGTACCATAACATATAGCCAGTCATCAAGTCAATCTATTTATACAGCAAAAAACAAATTATTACCTTCGTCCATTTTTCTCTTGAGAATCTGTTCCGATGACTCTAGAAAGATAAGAGAGCGCGGCAATGGCAGAAATGTTAGCATTTTGATCAGATCAAAGAATATATTGCTGTCAATGAGATATGAACGCCAGCTAATGGAGAGTCAGAGCATGTGTGCGAAACGCGAAACAGATTCAATCAGAAAAACTAACAAATGCATCAATGTAAATAGGTCAAATAAAAATAAAAATAAAAATGAAAACTGTGTTCTCAGACAACAGTGAGAGTCTGAGGATGTGCACGGAGCATGGAGGGGCGACTTTTCAAATTCTTTTATAGAGATGAAATCCAAAGTCGCCCCAGTTAAATAGTGTTGCCGAGATTCATCTCAACAACATAAAAAAGGGAGGGATACACGTGACCGTGATGAGATAACTTCATCAATTGAACAATCGAAATATCATCAGTCCATCAAGAGCTAAATACATACCTCGCTGCGGTGGCTTGACAAAAACATGGATAGTTTCCTCTGGAAGTTCGGAAATAAATATGTCCCTAAGCTTCCTTGACGCGGGTACGAGAGCCTCTTTCGACACAATTTCTGACTCAACGACGGTCTTGTCTTCGTCAGGAATAGAGACCCTGTAGAGGGTGAGCTGGTCAGCGTCAATATCCTTAAATGCATTGGCTTTCTCTGCTTTGATGGCTTGCTTGAGTTCGCCGACTGAACGATCAGAAGGGATATTTACAGGAAAAGATGTTGCTTCTCCATCAACAATACAAAAAATCTTTAGCTCGGTTGGCTCGAGGATTTTAGGGTCATTGGTGCTTGAAGACTCTTCCTTCGCTTCCCCTTTTCTTTCTTTCTTTTCATACGGTTCAGTTCGAGGTGATGGGCATCGTGATGGTGTTCTGCTGCTTCCCATTGTGTTTTCAAACCTGTTTAAAAACAAGGGCGTAAATAGATGGAGGACAGAAAATAGGGAAAGGTTGATAAAAATGCTAAAGGATGATAATTCAGTAGCAGGATGGTTCAAAATTGTCTAGAGATGAAGTTGAGGGAGGAAAAGAAAAAAAGAAAAAAAAAAGGAAAGGAAAGGAAAGGAAAGGCAATGAATGAAGGCTTGGAATAAATAAAAGAGCAAAATTGATGGGAGCAAAACTGGGGGGAAATAAGAAAAAAGTGAAAAGAGGATAAAGGAAGAAAAGGAAGAGGAGAGTGCAAAAATGAAGTGAAGCAAGTTAAAGAAAGGAGCGACAATTGATAAATCTGTTCCTTTATTTCAAGGTTGGGCTATGCTGTGTGTGTCTGTGAGAAATTTTTTTTTCTTGTTGCACAAGACGCCATGCGATTAAAGATTGAATTGGCCCCCAAGTGTGACGTAACATGTATTATTTAAATACACAAACACTATTCGTCTCTTTAACTCTCTTGTTTTCACCACACAATCGAAAGTGTGCACATCCACTCTTCACCTTACATTCATCCCACTATGAACATGTCTAATCAGTGCTCCTATTCGAACTGAAATTTTGTCAATTGATATTTATTTTTTTAATCTGAAACATCATAATTGACAAAATTTCAGTTCGAATAGGAGCACTGTGTCTAATACCTCATTCCAAGGACAAGAAGCTGTTACTGATGCTCCTATCGATGATGTTCTCGCCATCAATCAAATTGAAAAGATATTGATCGGTGGATTTGAAGATATTCTAAGTGTTCAAACACGAATAATATATATATAATAATAATTTTCTGTATCAATGCTTTCCTTGATGATATCTAAGCAATAATTATGCTTTAGAGAAAAGCCCTTGACGCGTCAAACTCTGGGAAGGATAGAGAGGATGACAGTGAAGAAAGAGAAGATGACGATGGAGAAAAAGGGGACAATGATCAAGTAGATATCCTGGCTGGCCATGAATTTGATTTCGAGGTAAGTGTTGCAATTATATTATAAAGTCTAGTTCATTGCTTGAGAGCATATAATAAAGAAAAAGCTGGACATTTGTACGTTAACTCTAGTCTTTGAAGACGCGCGTATTGAGAATGGACTTAATAATATTGTTGTTGTTCAAGCCGCAAAGCACTATAAAATTGATCCTGAATCCAGAGATCTGAGCCTGAAGAGAAAGGGCGTGATGTTTTGGTTTCCAGCACGTGCTGGAAGAAAACGAGCACAAACCTATTGCCCAAACAGCACAAGCTGATTGCCCAAACAGCACAAGCTGATTGCCCAAACAGCGCGAACCTGTTGTGAAACAGCATGAACCTGTTGTGAAACAGCATGAACCTGTTCTGAAACAGCACAAACCTTTTCTAAAACAGCGCGAACCTGTTCTGAAAACAGCACAAACCTATTGCACAAACAGCGCCAACCTGAAGAGAAAGCATGCAGGCTTAAAAAAATCCACAATCATCTGCATGCATAACAGGCTTCTTCTCTTTTCGCACTACCATTACCATTGCCATTACCATTACCATTGCCATTGCCATTCTCATTCTCATTCAATTCTCAGAGAACCTTCTGCATCATCCCTAAAGACACGCTTAATACCACGAACAGTTGACAGATTAACTTTATTTGTCTGATCTTGTCTCGCAAAGCGGCCATGTACTTTAATAATTCAGTAAATGCTCGGCATCTCTGCCTCTGCTTTCTCTTTATTACTAATGTTGACTATATATAGTCAAAGCCAACTTCTACTTCCATAGCTAGGCTTCTATATCTCTATATCTCAAAGATCTTAAAGACCAATAATCATCGTCTGTGACGCCAAGTAACACTGATACGATTGTACTAGTTTGGACGAGCTTAAGGAATGTAGAGCCAATGTAAAGTTTTTTCATCCAGTGGATGAAGAATTTTTGGAGGAGCTTTTTTACAAGTTGGGGGGAGTGCCAAGACAGGTCCTACAGGCTCCAGCCAAAGAACTATTCAAGAATCAAGGAGATATTAAGGGTGCTAGAGACTCTGCGTTTCAGTGTGTCAATGATGCCATTGGCGTACCCTGGCTCCCAAGAAATCTTTCAACCCTCTTTAGAGAAGGAGATGAAGCGGGTAGTTGTTTACTCCATAGAGTCCCCACTTCTGACCACCTCGACTTCCACCTGGTATGGGCATCTCCTTATGTTCGATCGCGGATCATCATGAAGTTACGAGATCAGACTTGGATCGACGTGTTGAAGCGACTTGTCAAAGCTGGCAGTGAAATAGAAAAAGGTCCTTCGTTTGAACTCTACGTTCACTATTTAATTCGATGTGGTGGATTTAGGTTTCCATTTAAGGATCTTCAATCAGACGAAACAGGACTCTTTGACCTTCCGAGGGACTCGGAAGGATTATTTACCAGGACTATAGCAGATTTTTCAACGTTCTCCAAAACAACAGACAACTTGTTTCTACCATCTACACCCAACTTTGCGTGCATTGATTTTGCATTGGGACCCAACAAGCTATTTCAGGTCACAGTATCAGAGGATCATCCGATCAAGCAAGCACCATTCAAGGAGATAATTGAATATATTACCGGACCCTGCTCGAAGGGAAACCGATCAAAGTTGAAGGGAAGTGATGATACTATTTTCCTCTATTTTGTGGTACCAGGTTACATATATGATAATTTTAAGGTTCAGAAGTTTGTTATTAACGATAATCAGGATGCCAAGGCAATACCTGGATACTTGAAACATGTAAGACAGCGTGTCATAAAAATCGACATCGAAGCTGCATATTCAGGAGGAGCAGCCGGTACGAATCTGAAGAATTAAATCGAATACCAATCAAGTGGATGAAAATTCGTCCTGTAAAAGAAAAGCACTATACCTGTTCCTTGAGGATTTTTTACAATGGTTCATTCTTTATGAATGAAGCCATCATCATCCACTTACCTTTTAGACGAATAGATAGAGCGGTTTAACCCGTCCTCCCTTCTACTGGGGTATATAGAACTTTATAAAGCTTCCTGTGATCATCATGCGATCTTGTGTGCAAGAAAGGGCAGATTTTTGTGATACTATTATCAAAGAGTTTTGTAAAAACGGATAGAGATGAAGAATCCTGTGGAGAGCCCAGTGAGAGTCTGATGATGAGACCCAAAACCATATTATTATCACCAGGACAGCTGGCATAGGAAATTATCCTTTCTCGTATGCTTTGTCATCTGGATGCTTGCCACTTGCGGAAGACCCATCAATTATCATCATCCAAGGCGCCAGAACGTTTAACCAGGAGCTAGGATGACAGCTCCGCTCTAAAGACATAAATGTCGTTTTAGCCCCATGGTGCGTACACGGGATGGCAACCTGTGATCAATGAGATCATATTTGTTATATGTTCGGCCAATTCAGTGTCAGTATGTGAAGGCGGCGCGTCTTGAATCTCTAGGCGTCCAGGGACATGGAATAAAAAAACATCAAGAATGTGGCCAAGGCTGCCACGCGCTTGACCGGTAAAATGTGATACAATATTGGATTGTGTCGTCAGTATATTCATAGTTCTCGATATATTAATGCTACATGCTGTTGAGGGCATCAATCTCGCCAGAATCATTCCCTCTCACATTAATTACCTTGGGAGCCATGCTAGACGGATGGGAGATTAGGAGGAAAAGGTCCTTGATGTCTGGGATATCCACGCTTGTTTATAATCTCACCAAATGTTCTGTGTCTTGCGTTCATAGGCGGTTAATCGCAGTTTGGTTTTCGTATACCCCTTGAAGAACGTAAGCAAAAGTGCCTTTATGTTTTATATTTGATGCTCATCAATTTACCCTTTTTACTTGTCCGAAGGTAGAATGACGCCTAGCCAATGGATGCTATTGCAAGTGTGTCCACAGGTCCTTGGAGAAGTTCATTGAGGAAGCTCGGTTCCATCCAGGACAGATTTATTCCTAGCACTCTTCACAAAAGTAGCAGAATTACTTGGTGGAGTTGGCTTTAATTGCCTTGACAAGCTCCTGCAAGATTGGTTCGACAATCTAATCAGAGTCCTTTCGGAGCGGCATCAAAGCAACTCTATGTTTTTGGTTGTTTTGAACGAGGCGCAGGATATGGGGAGGGGAGGCTAAATACCAGTGTATTAACAACAACGACACTAAGCGACCAATATTATCAGCATTCTTTCATGGATTGGAGGGCTTATCAGAGGATTTACCACGAATTTGCATAGTTCCTTGCGGGATAGGCTTTTGTATTTATGATCCTGCTTGGGTTAAGAGAACTGGCAAAGCTTCAAGGAATATCGAGAAGTTCTCGATGACTTGAGGTTCAAGAGTGCAGTATCGTTTCCTAGATGGGATAATCAAGCAAAAGTCCGGACATACTTCAAGACACTCGTGCGATATTTGGTCAATCGCGTGGCAGCCTTGGCCACATTCTTGATGTTTTTTTATTCCATGTCCCTGGACGCCTAGAGATTCAAGACGCACCGTCTTCACATACTGACACTGAATTGGCCGAACATACAACTAATATGATCTCATTGGTCACAGGTTGCCATCCCGTGCACGCACCATGGGGCTAAAACGACATTTATGTCTTTAGAGTGGAGCTGTCATCCTAGCTCCCGGTAAACGTTTTGGCGCCCTGGATGATGATAATTGATAGGTCTTTCGCAAGTGGCAAGCATCCAGATGACAAAGCATATGAGAAAGGATAATTTCCTATGCCAGCTGTCCTGGTGATAATAATATGGTTTTGGGTCTCATCATCAGACTCTCACTGGGTTCTCCACAGGATTCTTCATCTCTATCCGTTTTTACAAAACTCTTTGATAATAGTATCACAAAATCCTGCCCTTTCTTGCACACAAGATCGCATAATGATCACAGCTTTATAAAGTTCTATATGCCCCAGTAGAAGGGAGGACGGATTAAACCGCTCTATCTATTCGTCTAAAAGGTAAGTGGATAATGATGGCTTCATTCATAAAGAATGAACCATTGTAAAAAATTCTCAAGGAACGGGTATAATGCTTTTTTTAAAAAAGACAAAATTTCATCCACTTGATTGGTATTCGATTTAATTCTTCAGATTCGTACCGGCTGCTCCTCCTGAATATGCAGCTTCGATGTCGATTTTTATGACACGCTGTCTTACATGTTTTAAGCATACATATGGATTCTTGACGACCGTATCTTTGGAGGTAAGAAAGTTCTGAACTTTAAAATTATCATATATGTTTCCTGGCACCGCAAAATAGAGGAAAATGGTATCGTCACTTCCCTTCGACTTTGATTGGTCTCCCTTCAAGCAGGGTCCAGTAATATATTCAATTATCTCCTTGAATGGTGCTTGCTTGATCGGATGCTTCTCTGATACTGTGACCTGAAATAGCTTGTTGGGCCCCAATGCAAAATCAATGCACGGAAAGGTGGTTATAGATGGTACAAACAACTTGTCAGCTGCTTGAGTGAGCCCTGATAATTCATTTGAAGTCCGGATATGCACCACTTCTGGGTTTGCTGGAAAATCAAGAAATCCTGTTTCGCCTGACTGAAGATCCCTAAAGGGAAATCTAATATCACCACGTCGAAATAAGTGATGAGCATAGACTTCAAACAGTGGGCCTTTATCTATATCCTCTCCGCGTTTGACAAGTTTCGCCAACACATCGCGCCAAGTGTCATCTTTCATTTCCTCGATAATCCGTGATTCGACCCAACGAGATGCCCATACCAGGTGGAAGCCGAGGTGGTCAGAAGTGGGAACTCTATGGAGTAAACGACCACTAAATTCACTCGCTTCTTTTCCTCGTGCAAAGAGCGCTACAAGATCTGCTGGGTTCCTGACTGCGTTAATGGCAGCATTGACGCGGGAAAACGCAGCGTCTTTAGCGCGGTTAATATCTTTTTGCTTTTCAGATAGTACATCGACTGGACACTGTAGAACCTGTCTTGGCACTCCCCCCAACTTGTAAAAAAGCTCCTCCAAAAATTCTTCATCCATTGGATGATAATCCTCTACATTGGCTCTACAT